AGCTTATATGCTCATAAAACATCATATACAAAAGTATAAAAAACATAAACATAATTGGTTGTAACAATAAAGTATAATGTAAACACTCCATATATAGTATATGTGCATATATGACGCCTGCGCCAAAACAGTGAAATAAAGGACAAGGAGGTTTTGCTGTTCTGCCACCAAATATATGAAGGAACCCAAAATGTTCACAACATCCTTTTTGTGGTAGAAGGACATCTGTGTCTGTAGATTTAACTTTAGGTAAATGCATCTCTTGGTAACTCTTAAATGTTGGTTAAGGAATTCAAGTCGTTGCTTTTTACATTTCAGTAAGTTGAGTCCCATTTTATATCATATCCTGAATGAATATCAAATGCAAAGGGAAATTTGTCCTTTAAAAGGTTTAAATGCAATGCCTGAAATGTGTTGAAACAATTAGTTAAACCTTTATCACATGAAAAAGTCTGCATCATGCGGTTGCTTTCGGATGACTTTAAACAACTCTGAATAGGATCATGTTTTTTTTTTTTTTTACAATTTGAATTTCTGATACTTTCAGTGTCGGAAAAATATTCTGTAGTCCACATCAGTCATTGAAAATATATTAAAATAATGCCTTGCTTGCTACTTACTCCAGTTAAGAATACAAATTCACCACAAAACAAGAATTCAAATGTAACAAATAAAATATTTCCATAAGTTGCAATGTGTTATTTTGTTTAACCTCATACAGGTTGGAGCTCTGGTGACCAAGAAAAGAAACAAAAAGAGGGGGGGTGGTTTGATTGAAGTGCTGGGACAGTGTCACTGAGGCCCTCTGTATGGTGCAGCTCTGTGTTTTGGGGCAGGGGGGGTCTGGCAACTCCCCCCCCCCCCCAACCAGGGTCCCAGATTACCTGTAAGTGCTGCTAGTTGCTGCCACCTTTTTCTCCTGTGCGACCTGCAGGAAGTGGCTGCTTTTCACTTGGCCTCCAGCTGCTGCAGCAGCGGGTTGGCCTCGCTCTCCGGGGTTTTGACACTGTCTGTCCTCACGATACAGGTGGGCCGGTGGCGGTTGAGCATGAGGATCAGCTGCTGCCGCTCCAGCTTCAGCTCCTCGATCTGGGCTTTGAGGTCGGAGTTTAACATCTCAAGTCTTTCTGACTCCTAAGGGGAAGAAAAGAAGTGGGATGGTTTCCCCGTTGCCAACGCTCACTCCAACATAGAGGCAGCGCAGAGTTGTGTCTCACCTTTTGGAGATAGTCTGTCCTCTCTTTCTTTTTGTTTCGACATCGCGCTGCAGCCACTTTGTTTTTCTCTCTCCTTCGTTTCCTTCGCTCTTCGTCTTCGTCTCTCTATGGAACAAAGAGCAGGAATGTTTCACCGTGTCTAAAGGTGGACCTAAAGTATGCTTTTACGAATAAAGCAAAGAAACAAATGATATGCCTGCCATGTGTTTGCATTGATGGACCTCAGTCGGTCTTTTAAAAAAAGCAAAACAACAGATAAAGAAGATGATGAGCAGCAAAACTAAATGGACACAATTTGAGATGAGACATTCTAGGAGAATCACCAGACCATTTAGGGATGCTGCTATTATGAATAACGCTTTTCCACGATTGCCATAATGAGTAATGAGATCACAGTATTTCGAACAGGCTACAAATCCCTAAAATATTCCTGGTTATTGTTGAAATAGTGGAGCTTAATCATGTCAATATGAGAAATGAGGTAATCCGACTCATCAAAGCTAAGAATCCATGTAATGCATCCCACAGACACAACATTCAACACGAAATTCCCTTCCTTGGAAAGTGATTCCCACTCCACACCACATAACATGTCCACCAATGTCCACTAGATGGTCCTGTTGATTGAGACACGACTCAAAAAACAAAGGTGGTGTCACTTCATATACAAGGTCTTTTTGTTATTAACAAGTGATCTGTGTTGTATCAAGATAGTTTTTCTTGTACAACACTTACACTTAATGGAAAAAAAAACAAAAAGCTTTTAATAAAACCAGATCAAGTTCCAGCAATGTATCAGATTAGCTGGAAGTATAAGTATCCCATTTGCTCAGTGTGTCCTTTACCTCTGTTTTGATGACAATGGACCTCTTCTCCAGATTGTCCAGGAAGTGCAGGGGGGAAAGCATTGTCCCAAACTCCTGGAGATGACCGAATTTGAGCTTGTCAGTGAGAGTGGTGGCTGAGATCCCAGCCAGCGGGCCCAGGCTGGGGAGGGAACCTGCTGTCACTGAGGGATCTGGGATTTGTCCTGGCATCGTGTCAGACTCAGCCTTAACCACAGCTAAGGAGGGGGAAAAAGAAGGGGGGACAAACTCAGACAGCAGCCAATATGGATCACTGAAAAGTGTGTAAGTGTCAGCCTGCACCGAGACATACTTTGGAAAACTATAATTTTAGTCGGACGTAAAGGAGACGAAGAAATGCACCTGCTCGGAGCGCAGCCTTTGAATTGTTCCTGGGGTAACTGCAGGCGGTTATCACCAAGAAATACCCGTTAACTGTGGTTTCCTCCCTATCAGACCTCGTGTGAGGAGAGTGGAATGTGGCCACCAACAACTAGCATGCTCTGGTCAAGGTGGAGCAAACGTAGGCCGTTCCCGTTTAATGTTTTCTTCACGACAAAAACCAAGTGTGAGGCGTGTGCCACAAACGGCTCTTTCATTCTTGTGCGGGCAAACTTGTGATAACGAACAGATAAATGCTCGTGAAAAAAACACAACAAGCTGCATGAGGTATGCCAGCAGCCAGCCAAATACACAGGAAATTACTACAAGAACTCAGCGGATTTCCAAGCCACATGACAGAGCCAAAAACTCCTCCTTGGCCCTGTACATGCTGACTTTTATCCCACACTCTAAACAGACATCTGGAAGGAATGTAACAGCAGAAAACAGCCACCTGGCTTTGTAACGTCTGCCGAAAGACATCTATTGGGCAATTTTAGGAAAGTGATTTGCTTACGCTTCACTCCGTTAATTTTGCAGACGACAGAAATTTACAAAAACCACAGGAAAATCCCGCAGTTTAACTTTCAGTTCGGCACTTCCCCAAACTTAAGGTCAACGGAACAAAGTGGAACTCTCAAGGGCACTGTGCTGGAAACGGTTGTGTTAGAAATGACGCAAAACAAAAAAAAAAGCACAGGCCAGTTGAGAGAAGTCACAACAAAACCTCTCCTGGATCATTTGGAGAGAAAAGTCAAAACCACACCATTAAAAAAAACTGCAGTGGTCCACAGTCACAACAAAACAAGCACTCCAGCTCTCTCTAAGAGCCACAACCTTATTGTGGGAGGACCTATGGACTTATATTCTGAATTAGGCACTTGTTTTAAACTCTACAAAGTCGTCTGAGAGGCCCCCTGGCTCTGGGGTGACTCTGCCTGTGGGTAACTTGTGGACTCATCCCCTGGCAGGTCACATTGCATGCTGAATTGGTCAACTTGAAAGCGGAAGTTCTTTTTTTTCAGTGCGGCATTTATCTTACGTAACCTCGTCTTTCCATCAATGAGCCGCAGTTATGAAAGGTTACACCTTTTTTTTTTTTTTATCCCGATCGGGTTTAAAGTTGATCACGTTCCAACAATCGCCGCGCAGCAGTCAGACACCGGACTGAATCGGAACATTTTGTCCTGAATTGTTGCACGCCGTGATTCGCCTTAGAGGAGCCAGTAAAAGGATGGGGCCAGCGTATTTCTGCAGCACGCTCCGCCAGAAGTTACACGCGCTTTGAGTTGTCAAATTCAGAAAATAAAAGGCGACAAAAGCTGCCGTTTTAAGCCTCGTCGACATCATCATCAGACCGTCCGGTCGCTTGTCCGCAAGCGGTGCGCGGCGCGCCGGACGCACAGCGCGGCACGGCGCGGCGCGGCACGGTAACAGGCTGCAGGACATTACTCAGCCCGGATCCTTTCGAAGTTTGCTTTACCGACCTGACTTCGATCCCAGGTGCAACAGATGTCCTTTCTTCTGGTCAGCCGAGGGTCGAGAGTAGATTTTAAAAAGTGGAAATCGTTGCATCAGACCGATTTTCTTTACGTGATCCCAATCTGGGAGGATTTGGGAATGCGGAAATTAGGCGATGCCAGCCAAACGTAAGCAGGGATGTAAAAAAGTACATAATGGGGGAGCAGAAGTGGGGAAGTCGCGCTGCTCCTCCCATAAAGAAACCCAGGCTGCACACTGCTGCAGCGGCACTAACGTGGCTCAGATGTCCTCATGTGAGAGCCCTTAGATTCAAAGCCACTTACTCGAAAACGACCCATCTCCATCGGTTTTTCCTGGTTATTCACTCTTTTTTGCACTCACATGGAAAGCCTTTTTTTTAGCATTATCAACCCACACGTCCCCTCACAGATGTACACATATATGTGTATGCACATGAGTAAATTAGGTCTATATTAAGAAGCACTTTTCTTAAAGACATCAGCAGCAAACACCACTGTGAACGTAGATTTATTATTATTAAGCAGCATAAATAAGCAGTCAATGCTCATTTTCCATCTTTTTTTTTTTACTCATAACAAATAAGTCAAAATCTGAAAGGTAAAAAAATAAATCACAAGTTAGATAAGATATCATAAGATATATATATATATATACTATTTAGCACTGGATGTTTTCATGGAAAACTTTCAACATTTTAACAATGAGGCATAATCACAGTTGATGACACTGAGGTATGAGAGTACTTAACATAGATGAATGTGTAAGTACAACATTTACAGCAATCAATAGACTACTCACACCAAAAACACAAAACCATACCGATACGGACAAATTCCACATTACACTTCAGATCTAGTGACAGATCAGATATATATGAACTTTGAAAATTATTTGGAATTTTATCTGCATGCTTTTTTTAAATGGAAAACTTCAGTCCCTCCTGTTGGATTCAAAGCCATGCTTTTAGCTAGGTCTCTCGGTTGCTTATGTATTTGGAGAAAGCTTATATGCTTGTTTAGTCACACACAAGACATTTCATGAATGTATAACTTGAAGTGTTACAGCATATTTGGGGCATATGTTGTTTATTTCATTTGAAAGTCAGGAACCTGCAAACAGAAACTCCAGAGGCGGCGAGATCAGGCAGGCCGCTTTCCTCTGTGCATTATAAGGCTAAAAGGGTGGGAGAGTTAAGGATGTCGACAGATTCGGCCTTGCTTCCCCCACCTTTCAGGGTCTCGAGTCCCTCTGTGAGAGAGTCCAGCTCGGGACAGGCAAACGTGAACACAGACAGGTAGCTGCTGCAGGTGGGGGTGGAGGTGACCACGGGGGTGCTGAGGGGCTCCAGGTCGCTGGACACCGACTTGTACAGCGTCTCCCAATCCGAAACCCCCAGGGAGCTGCTCAGATCTATGTCTGGCACGGACCGGGCCGTCTCCATGGGGGTCTTCTCCTCCGAGCCCGGCAGCATATTGTCCAGTAGTCCCTCCTTAAGGTCCAGGGAGGGCTCCAGATCGCAGAGGTTTATTTCAGCGCTGGCGCACAGTAAGATGTTGGAGTTCCCGGAGATGGCTGTGGACGGATCGCTGGGGACGTCCAGCTCCTGGAGTGAAGGAGCCTCCTGGATACCGTCCTCCGGAAGTCTGTCCTCGTCCGGGCTGGGCGGCAGCTCGGGGGACTCTGTGGACTCCTGGAAAATAGACTCCAGCTCCTCCGACATCTGGCACACCGGCTTGTGCGTGGCTAGGATCAATTCGAGCCGTTCCTTCTCCTTGAGGAGGTTGGCTATTTCCGTCTCCAGGGCTGATTTCTCCTCCTCCAGCTTGTCTGTCTCCTTTGGACGAGATCGGAATCCAAAAATCACCCACAGGGGAAACACGGCTGGGGGTGCAAGCGACAGCGAGTAAATGCATCACTGTTTACTTACAGCTTGCAGCGTATCTGTGAGCTCCCTCCGTCTGTTGCGGCACTTGGCTGCGGCCATTTTATTCCTCTCCCTTCTTAACCTTTTCTTCTCCTCCTCCTCCGGAGACAACTGGGATGCAAGGGAAATAATTTGGTTATCATCTTAAAGAATGAAGGCATGCCGTCCCCTAATCCACTTCATCCGCTCTGAAGAATGGCTGAAGCATGTTTCGCTGCAATGCGTCTAAAAATAGACCATTGTTGCAGACTTGCTGTGACCTGAATATAAATTGACTGCCTAAGGAAGGCACACAGCCCCCACGCGGCGTGATCAGAGAAGCCTGCACAAAAGTGGCACAACACAAAAGAAATTCTGACCGGCAAATTGAGATTTACAACCTTCTGTCCGCTTGCAGACTGACTTCATCTGAACTAACCTACCTGCTCTGCTTTCCCCTTTCTGGCTCCATTTTTTCCCTTGCTCCCGCCTGCTTTGGGTGTTGCCTGCTGCGAGCTTTGCGGTTCATTGGCTTGCTTTCTACCCAGAGACGGGGAGACAGATGTAATGATCGTAGGCTGGACCATCCACTGGAAATCTGGGGTGGAGGAGATCGCCGTAACAGTTGGAATAAACGGAGTGTCCTGATCGCTCATGTCTTGGGAGACATCCTGAAAATCAAATCAATAGAAAACGAAGATGAAATCACAGATGTTTCTATTTCTGTCCATGGTTCCCAATAAATCTGACAGTGGGGAAAATCATCAATAGCACCTTGAAAATCATCCTCTTTTGCACAATCAAAAACAGAGGATATCCCACGTGTTGTCTTTTCTTTAAATATGCTAAACCAGAAATAGCCTTCTTCAGATCAATATTTGACTTTATCATTGTGTCTGACGTCAACGCTGACGCAGGGATGCTGAGGAGTCTCCTGAATGGATTTATTTTTCTCAATGAACCGCTGCATCGACACGCTTATAATCGGTCCCAGGACGATGGGATCATAACAACCCAACCTACATCCCTGTTTTCTGGCATTTCTACCTCCGCTGATGTTTGCCTTGGCCGTGTATCAAAAGCATCCGGATGGGGTTTTTTAAAAATCAAGCCATTCAGTTAATTAAAATCTTATCTGTCACTTTCCCCTCCCCCACCACGACGATTAAAAGAAAAACAAAACACACTCAACACACCGGGGTTAATGTTTCGTGGACCAGATCATATAAAGAGTTGTTTAATTTGCTCGTCAACGGGATGCCACCCCCCCCCCCCCCCCCTTACCCCCCCTCCTCCTCCTCCTCCCTGGGGCTGCACGCTGAATCCAGGATCAACGGGGCCATTCATACCTTCGCACTGCTCTCTGAGGAGGAAGCCGGAGAGCTCGCCTCTTCTGGCGCCTTCTGGCACAGCGTCCCGACAGGAGAGTCTGTCCGCAAGCTGGGAGAGATCAAATCCATGTCAGGCGTCGGACTGTTGTGATACATCACGCCGGAAACAAAAATAAACAAATAAACACACACACACACACTAACACAAAAGTCCTGATCAATGACTAATGTGCGCGTGGCCTTCCGCCGGGCAGAGCGAGAGGGCTCTCTTCTCCAGGTATATACCTGGTAACTGGACGACAAGAATGCAAGCCCCTCCTTTTATGCTCTGCTAGAATTTTATGAATGAACCAAGACTGTACCATCCTGGGAGGAGGGGGGGGGGTCAGACAGTCTGCCACAAAGGTCTGTTTTTTTCGCTTTATGTTTAAAAAGGCTATCTTTCCCCCCCCCTCGTGTCCCACCGGTGAGGGTTCCTCTCCTTCGTGGGAGACTTTTGACCCCTCTGGTCGCGTGCGCCCACGCCTTGTCGGCGTCGCGCGCCAAACAGCCTCTCCATTCACAAATATCGGCTCGTGCGGAGAAAGAGAAATGGGAGGAGGGATGCGAGCCTGTTCATAAATCCACGTATGGCACAGTTTGCTGGGTGGTGACGGCCTCACATGCGCATAGATTCATTTAATCAACGGTGTGATATATTTAGCTGTTAGTGGATCATAACAGGGTGACTTTGTTTAATAAAGCAGGTCTGTTCGTTCAAGGTCAGGTAAGCATGGCCATTTAAAACACACACACACACACACACAAATGATTTTTTCCTGTTTTTCCTAAAAAAACAAAAACAAAGACTGTTTAATTTCTATGTGATGGACAGTCTGACACAGACCAATCACACATCTGCTGAAAAATGATAAGAATCCAGGAAAAAATCCAACGTTGCCGAGTTGTTTACATCAGCACTGATGGTGAGAATCAGAGACTGGATCAGCTGTGGGGGGGGGGGGACATGTTCCACCATGCCCTGACAACTTCTACCATTCCATCAAACTACCCAGGCTTTATCCACCAATCCTAACAAAGCGTTCCTCCTCCTTCACCCTATTCTCCGATCCAAACTTGGGGGGTGGGGGGTTCAGACATGTGGGGGTGGAGAAGTCACGTGTGATGACCGGGAACACTGGGGTAGGGGGAGGAGGGGGTCATGTGACAGGAGGAGAGGAGCAGCAGCATCCTTCCCTCCCATCATAACAGCAGAAGCCTGAGCTGCCGGGAGCAGCCATGTCAGGACGTCACAGGAAAGTTCTGTCGGAGGCGAGTAGGAACCCAGCAGAAGCTCCAAATGTTGCAACACTAACCAGTTAACTACGACCTTTGTATCAGGTTTTACTGACAGAAAGTGAAATTAAGATTTATTGACAGTCAAAAGGTAAACCTTTTTACTTCATTTGATATTTCCAAGCAGTCTTGAGTCACTTCACACAGAAGACGGCAACCCTACAACCTTGTAACTAAATATGAGAATGGCATTCAATTGATTGTTTCATTAAAAGAAACATTTATCTATGTAAGATGAGACAAGCCTGCTGATGAGGTAAGAATACAAGATATTTTCCCTCATAATCTTGAATAGTTTTTGTAGTTGTACTCTTAGACATGGAGTATGGAAAATCCAGAGCCACAGGAACACCCCTTAGCCACAGAGCATCAGATATCAGAGTAAAAAGCCAGTGATCAGCACTGATGTAGCCTGCAGAAGCAGTGTCCTCTCTTGTGCTTACTTCCAATGCTGAATTTCCAGCTTTTGGTCCTTAAAAACTGACTGCCATTCACATCTGACAATATGCAGTCTCCTGAAATTGTATGGTTGCTTTGTTGTAGTGTTTTAAAAATGCTCTAGCTTCAGGATTTTGAGAAAATCTGACATATATACTTATATGCAGTATTAATTGTTAACTACAACCTACAAAAAATAGATTCAGTCAAAGCAGTGGCACACGCACTTATCTATTTCCATACAGCTGCCATGCTCTGTACATTCTTCTCAGCTTTTGCAGGTTGGGTTTCTGGACATCCTGCAGGAACAAGAATGCTTAGTCACTATCAGATTGCAGTGCTATCCATCTCCCTGATTCCTGCATTGAGTTTCAGATTTGAAAGGGCTGCTTCTTTGTGGTACCTCCTGGTTGTCCAAATGAAGGATGTCTACCAGCGGAGCGATGGAGGGACGGCCGTGGGCACACTGGAAGGGCAGCTGGCATGAAGACAAGGATGCAACCAAGCTACAGCATTCATCTCTGCTTAGAGTGTCGTTGAATTTGATGGCACCTGAATAAATAAAAAAAATACACGGGCAAAGACAGCGATTCATTGAGATTTCAGGGTCGGTGCCGCAGAGGAAATGACGGCAAGCTTGAGACGAAGTCTGATGTCTTTACCGTGGCACGCTAGTGATGCCAGTACCTTCAGGACACTGAGAGGCAAAGTTCCTCTAACTCTGCCTGTGGACCGGAGTAACTGAAACAGGGGAGTAGAAAGGATGACATACCTGGCCCTTTTTCAACGAGAGGATTTTCAGATTACTACAGAAGACCAGCAGGCAAAAATACAGGTCCCATCTCACCTCGATCTGTTCTCGAAGATGCTCCTGACATGGGATAAGACAGAGGGGTTAGCGGAGAACCAAATCCTTACTTTTTCTAAGCCTGTGTTAAAATAACGCCTTTTACCTCAACAATTGGCTTAATAACAGACGGTCGCCCCCGCCTCAGCTCGTTGCTCTCTTTTTCCATAAAGCATAATGGCACCTTTCCCACAAGCACATGTGGAGCGGCCGCCTGTGAGAAAGTAACTTCAAGGCCCAAATTCCTCATATGAGTCTGACAGGATCTGCAACGAGATGACGTTGATGTGATTACATTTTATTTAAAAAAATAAAATGAACTGAGAGTGTATGTCAAAATCCTGAAAAACAAAGATCATGGGACTAAGTGGTTTCTGAGCTTTAATACAGCCTGATGTGACTGACAGTATGTAAACCTTAGAGTGGCAACTGCTTTTTGAGGATGACTGCCTGATTTTATCTGTGAAAAGTTGAAATGATTCCTACGTCATGTCTGATAGGACTCGTCATTCATTCTTAGAAATGAGCCTGAAATGAGCACGCTCGTGCATCATAGGTGGACATAATCTAATCTGGGACAGGTAACGTGCTTTTGAGCCAAAAATTTCCCAGCTTTACAAAAAGCTTCCTGCCTCTTCCTGCAGTTAGCTGTCATAACTCTGTTTGCTGGTAGGTGAACCACCTAACCTGAGCAGCCTCAGCTCCTCCTCCGTTACGCTGATCTCCAGAGGGGGCAAAATGATGGATGAAGTGAGGCGTTTCTCCCCGGGGACATCTGGATCGTCCTCATACGAATCTACAACAAGACACGCAGGTGTTCCTATCGTTTCATGTCCCAGGGTGACAGTTTTTTTTACCCCATTATTCTGTTTAATTCACACAGGTGATGGTTTTACCTGCAACAAAATTTTCAAGTCGAACTCTCTCGTGTGCAGCGTGTTGATCCACCAGCACCAGCAGGTTTCCTGAGATTACATCAGAAATTAATTCAATTAATTTATAGCAGAAAAAACGCAAATATGACACACAAAATTCCGGTTAAAACTCTAATGAGTCTCCACACACCTTCGGGTCCTTTTTGTGCCATGGGCTCTTCTTCTCTGGTGTCGATAAGGCACGCAAGAAACTTTTTATCTACTTGATGAATAACCTGTAAGATATGTGCACAATTTTTTAAACAAACATTGAAATTTCTCACTGCTAAAAATACGATTGTATTTATAGGTTCGGTTTACCTTCATTGAGTGAATCATGGTCTTCGAAAAGCGGTAGGGAAAGAGGATGTTGTGGACCTTCACAGCCAGTCCATCGGCCTGTCCACTGGAAATATCCACGCCGACCTGTCAGTTCAGAATATTAAAGACAAAACAGGTTTTATGACGGTACATAACAGAGCAGATGAGACCAATACAACATTGTAAAACCATTACATCTCGTTAAGTCTAATTTGTTTTGTTTACCATAGGGGGGCGGACAAATACAGGGTTATTCCACTTGGAGTATAGCAGAGAAAGCGTTGGGGAGCCCTCACCAGGATCATCATCTGTAAAGATTGACAAGACAACGTGCGGTCATTTAAACCATGTCAACAGTACAGTTTTTCATTGTGCCTTCAGCCCCAACAATCGAACGTGGCCGTCTACCTGTTGCTCTACAATCAATCCCTGAGCTAATCACCCTTTCTGGCCTGGATTTAGGCAGGAAAGGGAACACTAGATCCACCTGAAAGGGGTAACACCTGTACTCCATCCCTACAGTGAGGGGACAGACATGTGAAAGAAAACATAAACATTCCTACACATAAAAACAATCCACGTCACAGTGGTGAAGTGGGTATTTTTTTATCAACACCTCAAAGGCTAATTTACGGTCTGCATGACAAGTATGCCAACTAACCCTTTTTGGAGATGACGCTGATGGCCATATTGGTGATATCAGATGTGCAGCGCACTTGTGTTTCCTCCATGGCTGGGTTTTCATATCTACTGAGCCCAGTCATCCTGTTGACATAAACAGTCTTTCCAACAGACGTGTCAAAGTGATGAAGCCAGTCACTTGATGTTAAATCATCCTCCTTCTCAGCCATCTGAGGATTATCACTGCAGCCGGAGCCGCAGTCAACAAGCACTGCAGGGCCCTGGAGATTTGGATTTTTATTACTGGCTTGGGGGCCATCGTTACCACTTCTGAGAGGTTTGCCCTCTGCGGTATTCCTGGATGTGTGCTGTGAGACCTCGGAATCTTCTGCCCTGGTCTGCTTTAATTGGCTAAGTTTAGCTGCCACGGATATTTTATCTCTGTTTTGAGCTTTGAGAGCAGAGAGTGTCCTAGTGCCTTGGAATCTACGCTGCATTTCCTCTTCTTTCAGTGGCTGTACGGCCCCACCCTCACCGGGATCGCCCTGGCCAGCAGAAACACTCTTGGGATTTAAGGCAGAGCCGTCTCTTTGAGGAAGCCTGGACCTGCTCAGTGAATGGGGATTTGGTAATTTCACTTCATTGGGTTTCACACACATTCTTCTAAACTTGTCCAGAGATCCCAGCTCAATAAAAGCTGACACTTTTTGATTAGAACTGACCCTGGACATTTTCGAGGGGATGATAGAGGTAAAGTCTCCATGAGAAGATCTGTCTGGCCCTAAATCCAAACAGATTTTGCGCTTTGAAGCGGAGGACTTTTCCACACATTTTGCTGCCAGATTCTGGGCCTGAAATGCTGGCCTGCTGCTTTGGTGCCGGTCCTGAATCTGCAGACCTTCATGAATGTATGGATCCGGCAGACTGATCTTCTGGTTGCTTACTAAAATTTGTCCATGTCTGTCTGTACACTGAAAAGTTTTCTCGTTAGAATTTAAATCAGACTGAACCGATTGCACGATGCTGGGTTGTGATTTTGCATTACTGACTGAAGTTACATCGAGTGATGATTTCTCTTTGTCTTCTGAACGTTTGTGTCCATTTGGTGATTTTAAAATGTCCTCAGCTTCATCAGCTTTACTGCATGCTGACTCCTCTTCATCGTTTAAATTGCATCCAGACGCAGGCTCAGCATCGCACTGTTGCATCTCTTCCTGCTCTGTCATCAATATCTCCTGTTCCTGTTTTTCAGTCTCATCATGAGACTCAGAGCAACCAACTGGTTGCTTATGATCTGCGTTCTTACGATGAACTGATTCAGATGCCAGTGTCAGTGCAAAGCTGCAGTCCACAGTAGAAGCGGCAATACTTGTTTGGGGAATTTTGTCCCCATTTGATTCTTGATCTGCTCCATCACTAGCAAACGCTTTTGGAGATACGCAATCCAGGTCATCACGAGAGAACACGAACAACAAGTTCTCCCTCTTGAGAAACGCCTTAACTGCTTCTTCTATGCACAGTAAAATCCCATCCCAATCTTTGAACTCTATCAAAGTTTTGGACGGTTCAAGACAAATATCATATTCTGAGTAAGGGCATTTAATGTTGATGACGTACACTCCGTAGAGCTCCTGATTCCGTTTGTGCTTTGGACTCAGGATGACAGACGGCGCACCTGGACTGTCATTTTTCGTGTTGGAACTGCTCAATCTGCGCAGGAGGACATTCAGCAGCTTGTGGATCCGTGTTTTCAGCAGCAGCCTGTGGTTCACATACAAAAACTGCACGGTGTTATTGTAGTGGCCCTCTCTGCCCAGGTAACCATCTACCTCAAACTGTCCACGAGCGTAGCTGATTTCTCCAAGCTTCTCTGCTCGTGCAAGAGTGTGTATCTGAGCAAACCTGTAATAGGTGTTTCTGGCTTTGGGGAGCTGGACCATCATGGCTCCTGTGCAGTCGTTCTTCAAGGTGAAAGACACTGTGGGGTGCATGAGGGAAACAGCCTCCACCCTTTGTCTGATCCTCTCCCCCTCCAGGACAGCATCCAGCCTCCTCCTCCGCACTGGCATGTTGTGGAAGAAGTTACAAATGATAACAGTTGTCCCTGCAGAAGGTCTAGAAGTCTCTGCTTCGAAGACATTTAATGCTTTGCCATCTTTAAATAACTTAACGTGGGTTTTCACTGACGATTTGGTACGGGATGAGATTTCAACGAGCGTTGCTAAAGACACTAAACTTGCCAAAGCTTCACCTCTGAAGCCGTACCACTTTAGGTTGTCCAGGTCTTCGATGGAGCTGCATTTGCTTGTGTAGTATCTATTTCCAACCATCTCCATATCTTCAACGCTTAACCCAGCGCCGTTGTCAATGACTTGAACTTTACACGCCTCCATGTCCATCCTGACCCCCACACAGGTCGCCCCGGCGTCGATACTGTTTAGCATGAGCTCCTCCACACACTGCTGTAGGGAAGGTATGGCGACTCCGGAGCGAAGTCGTCCCTGAACCTCGTTGGGCAAGCACTTAATCATATTGCGCTCCCTTTTGAATTATCTTAGTTCATATTGTGCTACCCTGACCTAATCCAACGTCCAACGTCTTTAAAGTGACCGTTGCAAACTTAAATACCCTAACGCTAGCTAAATTACTTCTTTAAAAAAATAACATTTTGGCCAAAACATACGGACAAGTTTTAAGGTTCGTTAAAATAGGTAAATAAGACAGGTATTCCGGCCACCATAGGGGTGGGTGTGGGGGGGGGGGGTCTACGGCTGCTGTTTACAGTCAACGTAGCACAAAAAGAGATGTCCTTATCCGTTTACTTCCAACAGCTACAACTGACACTGCCATCTTCTGGTTAGAGTGAGACTCGGTCAGTTCCGGTGTCCAATCTTTGGAACTAACCCTGGAGCAGATTCTTGTTTCGACGACCAATCAAAACAGAGTATCAGTCAGACTGCATCCTGTCAGCCATAGACATATATACATAGACGCCGCATTGAGGGATGCACCGTACGTAGACGTCGCCGCCATCTTGAATGTGGCAAAATGGAGAATCTGAGTCCCGCACTTCTGCCCCCCATGCACGTCTACGAGCGGTTCTGCTTTTAATATTTTACTTCAATTAACCAGGTGGCTCAACCTTTAGTTTAAAAACATGCCCCCCCACATTTCTTTGGTTGGCATAGCAGTCATTCATCTTTGCATCCATACTATGTTAATAATTAATTATTTAATAGTCATAACTAAGATAAACTTTAAAGAAAAATATTTTTCTTTTTTAAATTGGTGGTTGGCATTTAATGGTAAAAGTGCATTATCACCACTTACAATTACATAATATCATGGCAGATAAAAAAAAAAGTCAACATCACACATTTCTGAAACATCTATTCCACTTATTGCAATAAAACTCAAAACAACAAACCTTTGTTTAGTTTATTACTTAAACAATATAATATGCAGAACTTAATAAATTCCAGTGTGTTCAGTGCACTTTTTTATCTGAAATTATTAAAACACTAAATAAATATGTTAATGTTATAGGCACAGCCAATGGGTTATTTCATTTCACAATGTTAAAGGATGAGTGCTGAAGGCTGTCAATCGTTTTCTCATTCTTAAACTCTGCTTTGGTTATGTGGGACTTGGGGCTCCCAGTAGATTTCAGCCATTCTTGCATCTCTGTCACTTTGCTGTGAGGGCCTTGGAGCTGACCTATCACAGTTCCATCTCTTGTGTTTTGGACCCAACCAACGAGGCCAAGTTTCTTCCCTTCGGCCTGAAAAAAGAAAGAAACAGTTATTATAATATTTTAGATATAAATTGTAAATGTTTTGTTCATGATCTCCATAACAATAGTAGTTCCATCTTTACGTCTTAGATAATGTGTCCTATTTATATTGGCTGAAAAGAGTCAGTGGTGTTATCAAATGAAAAACCAGAAAAGGTAAATAAATAGGGAAAGTAAATACATTTAGGGCTGAAAAGAAAACATAATTCAAAGTACACTTTTAATAATTTGTAACGATCTCAAGAAAAGATTAATCAAATGTTTTCATAGACCATTTGAAATCCAGGCAAACCCTCCAGCAAAAAAGTGCACAAATTCTAAAAAGTATTGTTGCTTACCAGACTACTTAATATCCAATGATAATAAAACAGGCAGGGAACCAGAAAAATTATTTCATTATGGTAACCTTTTCATTATTTTAAGCGAAAGAAAAATGTTTAGCTAGGTTTTAACATCAATGTCAAACTCACTTGAGTGTATTTGCGAAAAAATACACCTTGCACCCTGCCAAAAATTTCATAATCCACAGAAACCAAGTCCTCACTGGACATAGTGAACCTAGAAGAGGAGAAATAAGCGTCCCTTACTGCTCCTTTATGTTAGAAAACATCATGCACTGTTAGGGCCGCATTACAGATACTAGCTAAGCCAACACTGTTCCCGTATGTCTAAGCAGCTATAAATCAATAAATGTATCATTTATAGTTTGCATTTATGCTGAAATCAACACAAGCAAGCCTTTTTTTCCTTCCATGTAATTCACCTTAAAACTGTTTGGATGTCGGCAATCGCTCAACCGGACTCGAAAGTTCTAGGTTTTGAAGCATACGGGGACCGTTTCAGGAAGTGACGTTTAATGGACCAATCAGAGAGTACGTGTTTGGCCTTTGGTTTCTAGGCAACAAAAGTAAACGTTGGAAGACGACTCCATCAGTTTTTATTGTGCGACAAGCAAGAAAAGCCAAAATCTCTAAAAGTCTGGACCAGATTTTGGCCATATTTTTTTTATGTAACACATTAGGCGTTGAAGGGTGAGTAAAATTACTTTAACTGAGTCTTGTTATTTGTTCCGCAAACCCTTCCATTTGATTTATTTTTGTAATTGATATTCAGCCCTCCCTGGACTCTATATTTATTGCTGTTTTGGTTTTGAAAAATTGTATCTTATTTTTTATTTTTCTTTCTTTTAGCTCTTGATTGTATATTAGATTCTTCATTGTCAAGCTTTTTAAGACTCGAAGAGATTAGGGAGTAACTGGATGACATATTTTTCTCCTTGTTTAAATAATTTAGGGCATAAAAAATCTAAACAGCTGGACTCAACAGTGAGGACTCAAGTGCATTTGAATCTGCAGAAGAAAACAACAGTAGGATGTTCAACAGTAATAAAGGCACAAATACATACACACGAAGGCAGGATCCTCAAAGGGGCCAAAGATCAGGAGTTGTGACTTTCAGGAAAGCAGATGGAGCAGAGCAGCCATTTCCAAATAAACCTGTCACCCACAAAAGACTTCCAAAGACCCAAGTCCCACTTGTTGATTTTGAAAAAATTACTCTTTCAACACAAAGAAGGCACTTGTTCCACAAAGAGTATCAATCAAATGATATTCGAGGGACAAATGGATCCTTGCAATCAAGAGATGACCGTCGTAACTTGCCAAAAGAAGAGCTGCAGTTGGCCAAAGCAATTAATGAAAAAGAGCTTATGCTACAGGCAAAGCTCTGGAAAGTTGGAGAAAAAATAAGACAAACTGTGAGTGCTGGCACTGCTGGACATAATGAAAACAAGAGTGAGGATGAGTGGCAATACGGAGGACATGTTGAAAGAGGGAACGCTCAGGCAAAAGCCGGGATATCGGAGCATCAGGTGATAGAGACAACAAGAAAAAGAGATGCGTTGATAAAAGAAAGCTGGCACGATGATTGTAAGCAACAAACAAGTAATCTAAATCATGGGAATGGAGATGGAATTTGGAGTAGACCTGAAGTCCAGCAGCATGCTAAATGGAAACATGAGGAGAGTCCTCATTCAAAAGGTCAAGGAGTGATCTGTAGGAAGAAAACTAACGAACTGTCAAACAAAACAAGACTACAAAATGTGAATCTGCATTTAAGAAGAAAAGATGAAGAGTATGGAATTTGGGAAGACGATGAGCGAAAATACAGCAAACAAAAGAAGGCCTCTCTGGGCGATGCAGGCTTGACAAGAGGAAGGAAATACAAAGAAAAAACACATCCAAGCACTTTATATGATCAGCCAGAGCTGCCTGAGAGGAGTCTGGGAGCAGAAAACCAAACGGTTGCAGGCGGGAAACTGTCTGGGGAGCCAACTCTCCCTCTTGTCCCCACTTCTTTTTGGGGTCAACATCAGCAAGTGGAGCCTGCTGTCACAGACGACTGCTTTCAGCTTTTTCCCTGCAAAGTCTGCAACAGAAAGTTTAAAAGCGACAGACTGGAGAAACATATCCAGATCTGTAAGAAGGTAAAACAATCGCAGCGCCAGGTCTTCAATTCCTACGTCCACAGGACAAAAGGATCACAGGCCGAGGAGTTCTTCAAAACACACACCAGAAGCAGGACTCCAGAGGTAAGCCAGTCATCTTTAATGCTTAAAGATTTCCCTCACAGCTACACTGACCAAGTGGCTACGGTTTGATTTAAGGATCTTAAATGACTTAATCCAAAGACATCTGCATTTATTTTAGTTACTCATTAACTGGACATAGGCTCTTCAATACAGTAATAGTATCAGGGGATATTTTTAAAAATGACAACAAATATATATTGTATCTTTTTTGTCCAGGCTATAAGGAAGAACAAAAGACAAAACTGCAACAGAAGCACAAGCAATCAGTATAAGAGGTAACTCCCGGCTTGAAATGTACAACCAAAGGTGTCCAAGTGAGCCCACAGGCGACAGCAGATCATCAGGAGTCAGCCCACCAGATGGGACCTATTACATGATGAATGCCCCTGTTCATTATTATGTGCCCCATTTACACCACATTTCAGTTTTGTTACACATTTGTAGGTTATTAACAAGACAAAGGCATCTCCCATTTCCATATATTTTTTAAAGAACACCATCTTCAGAACACAGAGATCTGACACTTAGGATAAGAGGCCACAGTTTGGTTTTATTTATGGCTTGTACACAAGATATAAAGCAAGAAATGTGACAAAGGTAAAATGTAGAGAACAGTTAGACCGTCAAACAGAAGAAATTATCAATCCATCTATGTGAATAGTAAACAAAAAAAAACTAAACGGGCAGTATTGTGATAGCTCCATAAATTCGAGACTGAATCATTTGCGTGACGATACTGTCAGTGTTACAGTGCAGGCAGCTCAGCTGAGCACAAGGCGAGCTTAAAATAGAAGGTTTGCACCAATCTGTACCACTGTAAATAACCACCAATTGTCCAAAAGTACGAGGTAAACCTCTGAAAGTCATAATAAAACCAGACACTTAAATTAAAAAACATAAAGAGTGTGTTGAATTAAACGGCTGTGACTGTAATTCTCACCGTTGTCCCAACTTTAGTTTCTTCTTAACAGACTTAGTTCAAACAAAACTGAGCTGAACCAGGAAATGCACTATATTTTCAAAATGGATAAATAAAGACAAAGGACATTTTGTGCAATCGTTTATCCAGCAGCAAGATAATGACCCATAACGCCTGACAAAGGTTCAATATGTGGGGAGGTTGAAATGATCAGTCTAAAGAAATAAAATCCATCTAGATGGTAAGATGCAGTGAATGAAGAGCAAAAGAAAAGCAACAAAAGCTGAAAGACAAACCATTCCTACAGCTACGTTCACAGCTTAATTTATTCTCATTGCTCCTTGAATCCTGGAAGTTATCCTGCTTTTGATCCCTGGAAAAGAAAAAAGTCTACTTTATATCAAAATTATATAAAAAATGTTGGCGTTTCAGGTTACCTTTGATCCAACAGCAGTCATTCACCAGGCCAGAACTGCTTAAACTGCTAAAAGAGGGGGCCAATCTTTCACCAAGAACAGGACTCTAATTTGGATTTATCATCTTCAATGGGTTCTTCTTTTACTAAGCTTTTTTTTTTTTTTTAAAGATCTTACAAACATAGACAAACTTCCATCTTATCTCCAGAAGAGATGGAGGTGATCTTAAACATTTTCAGGACATGTAAATATATGATTGATGTAGGTACGCATGCAATAAGAAAAGCTAAACCAAAAAGACCTCACACACACACACACACACACACACACCCACACAAACATGTAAAAAACAAACAAAAGAAGGCTGTGGTCTTTTGGCTTTCATTTCACAAATGATGCAGAAAAAGGCAAGTAAAAGTTCATATAGCATTAAATACAGATAAAAATACTTGGAGAGGCAAAACAAGTATTCTAACATATATGCTTTAAAAAAAGGTTCAAGTGTTTATACGTCACAAAAGAAACAGACCTGTGCTGCACATAATAGTTCAAGAGGAAAAGAAGGCACTAAGTAAAAAATATGAAATCAGTAGTTTTGTGTTTCACACAAATTCACTTGAACATGCACATCTTAAAGTGTATATATAATATTCTGTCTTTTTTTTTTTTTTGGATGACACTTTGAATTGTACGAGCTAATATTTCCAATAAGATTGATATGAGTTTAGGGGCTGTAGTATATCTGCCACATCAGAAAATGACTTGTAATGAAACTATATGAAAATAAAGCTACATTTTCACTGAAAGGTGATGCGAGCATACCGGCTGTCCATCTTTGCATAATTTAACACTTGGAGGCGACATTTGTGGAAGCTGTTTTTTAACCAGTCAATAACAAAAACTAAGGTCTGAGGCCCTTCGGACTGCAGTCGGGGATGCCCAGGCAGAACGTGTCGCACTGCAGAGTAACAGTGTGATGAGGTTGTCTTTCTGGCAGAGGCTGAGGTCCAATGCGTCACACACGTTGAGCCCAGCCAACATTTGGGTGTGCTGAAATGAGCTAGATCGCAGCAGATAATTGAAAAACAACTGTGCTATGTATTGCAAATTGCATTTGCAATACCGTGCGGTCACACAGCACCCTGTTAAACATCAATGCTGTATGTAACCCCTGAACGGGAATGAGGATGTGGTCGCTGCTGCGCGCCTGACGGAGCCTCTCCCTCCCCGATAACCGGCTCGGATATTTCAACAGGTGCAAAGATTCTTTTCCCCCCTCAGAACCAGGACATCTCACACGCTGGCTCCGGCAGGCCGGCCTCCGTGACCTGTGAATCCATCTGTTCTTCCTCCTCCTCCTCCTCCTCCTCCCTGTTCCCCAGGCGAGCTGTCAGGGCGCTGGTTTCTCTTATGGTCCGGCTCCTGCTGAGCTGAGCGGCGGATGGCTGCCCAGAGCTTTTCGTTCTCCTTGTGCTGCTCGCTGACCTGGAGACGGCACACAACACACACCTGCTGCTGATGTGGGTGCTCACTGATCGGCATCCGCACTAAAACGGACTGCGCGACAAGGGCACCTGTTTTTCCAGCATCTGGATCCTCGTCTCTTGTCGGGCAAGCGTTTCCCGCAGCTGAAAAGACAGGGGTTTTTTTTACTGCAGCTCTGCGGAGCATTGGATAGGTCGTAATTTACACTGGGGGGGCGAGTGGCTGGGATACCTGCACCACCTCGCTGCTGGCAAGGCAACACGCGGCAGGTTCTCCTTTTCTGCAAACACCACTCTCCTCCAGTCCGTTGACCTTTTCAAAGCTCATTCTTCTGGTCTAAAGATACATATTGATATATGTTTGTTCAGCCAGTGATACTATAAACAGATGCATTTTAAAGATCAGAAATTCTGCTCCATTCTGTGAAAACAGCAGCTGGGTTTGTATTACCGACAGGCCCGTCCTGCTGCTGGCTGCTGCTGCCGCCGCCTTCAGCTCCTTCAGCTCCTCGTACGGCAGCGTGACGCTCTCGGAGAAAGAGGCGAGCTTGCTCTGAATGCCTGGTTTTGACCCCTCAGGCATTGGGATGAACTCCGCATCCTCCAGCTCCTGCATTAGTGAGCCATAGAGAGGTTTCACTTTTCGGATTCAAAAGAGCCATTCAAATGAGAAATTCCGATGGGCGCTGTTGGACACAGACCTTTCGGAGCCACAGAGGACAGGAGCTGTCCCCGGTCTGATTGGTCATCGACATCATTGGCGTGTCCAAGAAGCACCCTTCCGTGTTAACCTCCCGCGTGCCCCCCAGGCCCCCGTCGCGACACTCTGTCTCTGAACCGGGCTCCATGTCCAGGTCCACGGTGGATGTGGATGCCTCCTGGCCCAGCCCTGAATACAAGACACGAACACAACAAACACTTGTATACCAATGATGGCGCAGGGCGACGGCACCAGTTCACAAATATGCAGTTACAGAAAAACTTTCGCCACTACCGATTGAGAGTCCACTGCTGTTTGAGCGGATGGTCTTTGAGTTGAGCACTTTTTCTACAAGAAAAACAAAACAAAACAACAAACGTTAATGGCTCGGCTGCTATTTCGTTGTACCCGTGTCAGTAAAATGGTCATGAAAACCGACCCATGATGATGATGGTGTGCCAGCCGCGGCAGGAGAGGTCAGGCACGTGGTGGAGGGAGCCGAAGATGGGCCTCGGCATGGCGGGGCAGACCTCGGAGCCGAAACCCTTATCGGCGGGCATGCCCAGTCTCCCGTTTCCTGCATTTCCCCATGCAAATATATGATTGTCTGCGAAGGGGGGGGAAACAAAGTGTGAGGAGGCAGGGAGGAAAGTGGAGCTGCCAAACGGCCTTACATAAAACCTGTAGGGTGCACGAGACTGCCGATGCACCAAGAAAACGTTCCCACCTTCAGTGGCAGCAATGGTGAATCCATCTCCACAAGACACTTTGGTCACCGTCTTCCCTCCAAAGGGCCCAAGAAGGACCTGGACACCTTGGTGCCTTTTGAAGTCCTTCACACCCAGCTGACCATATTTGTTGCAGCCAAAGGTGATCAGACGGCCTCGCTCTGCAAAACAGAAGCCAAGGTCCCTTTACATGAGCCGTTTTCTCCAATTTTAGCAGCAATAATTACAATTATTAGTTTTGTTGTACCATCAATGGCAGCTGAGTGAGATTTCCCTGGAGCTATGAACTGGATCTTAAAGCGTGACAGCTGTTTCACCAAGGTCAGGGTGGTGATGTATGGTATGCCCTGGTAGCCCTGGCCGATTAAAAACACAAAAATTTCATCAGCCATCTTAAAACGGTTATCGCGTTGCTGTGAACACTGCTCGGTACCTCTCCCGGGTGGTTTTTGAGACCAGAGATTCCCTGGTTCAGCCCTAGTTTGTTGAACTCGTTGTTCCCACATGCTAAGACTTTGCCAGTTTCGGTCAAAAAGAAGGTCCCATCACTACCACACGACACAGAGGAGACGGTGGCCCCTTTAGGGATCTCAATCTGAACAAATAGAACAGAAAGGAGCTGAGACAAAGAGACACAAGCAGGATTTTTTCTTCTCTGTGGGATGGGTTCAAACCCCACTGAACTGGACTTCTGACTGAGTCTTACTTGCATCGGTGAAGAAAAGTCATCCTCGCATTCCAAACCGAGCCGACCTGAAAGCAGGAAAACAGGATCTGTCAACATCCTGAGAAGCAAACTGATGCCAGACCAGAGCAGGAACCCTAACCCACCGTACTCTCCGCAGCCCCAAGAGAAGATTTCTCCACTCTGAGTCAGCACCACCACGTGGTTGTCGCCGCACGACACCTGGCAGACAGGCCGCTGCTCAAAAAACTCCAGGAGCACGGGCTCCAGAATCTCCATGCCCATCTCGCCCTCCACCCCGATGCAGCCGTAATAGTCCGAGCCAAACATGTACATCTGGCCCTCGTCTGTGGGAGCAGAGGCAGGTGGTTAAAGCCGGGCGAAGCGCTCCGTCTCAGGGAGCGTCCGAGCGGAACGAGCTGCTCTCCCACCGGTCACGCAGGCGGTAAAGTCGGCGCCACAGGCCACCTGCTGGATGGCCTTCCCTTGGAGCTTCTCCACCCTCTTAGGCTGCCGGTACGAAGCCTGGTCCCCGTGCCCCAGCTGCCCCACCATCTTGGCCCCGCCTTGAACGCTCTGCAGGGGTTGAGACGGTTTTAGTTGCGCGGCGCCTCCTTTGCGACGGCCCCTGAACCGTCGGCTCCGTACTTACAGCCCAGGTGAACAGCTCTTTTTCCACGGTCACCACGGCAAAGTGACTCTCCCCCGCACAAACGTGCTGGGCACCGCTTCCTCCTTTGAACGAGTCGATTTTCTGGGGCGTGAACTTCCCTCCGCCCCAAAAATACACCTCCCTGGAGCGTGTGGTCACCACGGCAACGGGGGTCTCGGTAGCCGTACTCAGCCTATGGTTCAGGTACAAAAGCGCATCAGTCATAGTGAGAGCTTTACAGCGGAGAGAGCGGCAGGTTCGGCTTACTTTGGTTTCTTCATTGCGGAATTCAGAAGGATGACTCGCTCCTCAAGGTCCCTAACAGAGAAAGAAGCAGTAGTTATGGCAGTGTTTTATTTTTATCAGGAGAGTTTTTTTTTAATTCAAGACCATCTCACTGTCGGCAGCAGGAAATGAAAGGCTGGTCCAGAATCTGATCAGCAGTGGGTCTCTTTGCAGGATCCTGAGACGGAACAGGAGCATGTGAGGGCTAAAGGTGGGAACTGTCCCGTCAAAAGGCAGCACTGCATTTCCAACCAAGACTCACTTGATCGAGACACTCGTACCCCAGCTTGATCAGTGCAGCCGAATAAGCATCCAAGTTCACTTCCATTGTCCAGTTACCTTGGACTATTTTCACACAGAGGTTCAGAGGGTTCTGTACAGACACAAACAGCAGAGGAGTTTTCACTCTAGCTATAAGGAAAAAAACTAAACAAAACAAAAATGCTTCACTGACCAGTAGAAACCAAGCCAGCCTACCGTTGCATCAAAGGTTCTCGTAAGAGTTAACATCTCAAAAAGCACGCAACCCATGGCCCAGATGTCTGATTTGAAGTTGTATTTGGCTCCCTGGCACAGTTCAGGTGACATGTAATATGGAGTTCCCACACACTGGAGACCCACGCAGAGAGAAGAGAGAGAGAGCAAAAAGGAAATGTCCACATCTTACTATGTCTGCCATGATAATAAAGAGCCGAAGGAGAAAAACCGTAGAACATATGCTTTTTTGGTGATATCTCATTCTGGGGGACTTACAGTTTCTGCCATTGAAAACTCAGAGTCGAGTTTCTTTGCAAGGCCATAGTCACCCAGCTTTATGAGGTCGGTCTTGGTCAGGAAAATGTTCAGAGTTTTTATATCTCTATGAGAAAAAAAAAGACAGTGTAATAGAATGATCACAGTCCCATGCTGAAGCCTGTCACAGAGAATAAGAAAGTGATGAGCAGCTCACCTGTGTAAGATCCCTGCCTTGTGAATGTGGGCCACAGCGGAGGCGATCTGGTAAAGGTACCATACCACCACCTGTGGCGACAATTTAAAGACAGGATAGGTAACCAAGAGTAGTTGCATTTGAAATAAACTGCCTCCAATAGTGCACACTCATACCTCCTCAGTGAAAAGCTTCCCCTTTTGCTGGACGATTTTATCGTACAGATTTCCTCCTGTGATCATAAGGCCGTTTAACATTCTGTCATAGACGAGTAACGTCTGCATTTACCTTCAGGGGGGACTTCAAAGTCTTTTTGCTCTTACCATTGCAATACTCCAACTCAATCAGCAGGGTGTTTTTATCCATGAAGTGATTGAAGTAAGCAATTATGTTGTTGTGCTCCAGCATGGAGAGGATGCTTATTTCATTAGTGACATCTCGGCGTTCCTTTTCTGAGAGCGAGTTCAGATCCACCTCCTTCCACACCACCAGAGAGTTGTCCTAGGAGGGTTGATGAGAGCAATAAATAAGGGTCCGTGCTGGGCCCATCAGATCATGACGGCCGACAGAAAAACCCAAAAGGAGGAGATATGTGAAATAAGACAAAGCATGTGCACAACCCCCAGCTTTTGATAATAAAGAAAAAACAATCAGAAATTGTATCTGCGTATCTTAAAGGTGCGTGTGTGTGTGTTGGCCTCTTTGCTGCTCAAGGGACTGTGTTTTCTCACCATCTCATCACACTCCAGATGTTGACAGAGTTTAAGCATGCTTTTTCAAATGGGGAGGGGGGGGGGGGTAATAAAGCATTATAAGAAAAGCTAGAAACTCATTTATCATGTTCTAACTCAAGAATTTCACACACTCACTGAGGTGACAAATACCAGTGAGGTGGAAACAGAGGGACGGTGAGCAGGTCAGGACAACAGACACATTTTACTTGACCAGATTAAAGTACAAGAAATAAAAGGTTCAGCAAAAAAATAAAAAGTTGTTGGGACTTTGAGGAACTGTCCCCTGCCTTTGTGAGAGGCAAACTGTCTCAGCTTACCTCTGCTCTTCTGTATAGTGTCGCCTCGCCAAACGCCCCCCTCCCGAGGATCCGGATAGGAATGTAATGTAACTTCTCCTCTTCGCCATTAAACGTGCCCGAGGTTGACCTCTCACTGACCACAGACCCGCCACCCAAATCTGAATTTAGCGAGTCGAAATGTCTCTCATAGGCCTCCAGTGACATGTCGTTTTCGGGGTTTGTTAGCCAGAGGCAAGGATGGAAACAACACGAGCAGGCCCAACGACAACACTTTCAGAAAGAGTCCTATTAGACCGCGCACACGTGTAACATGTCACCCTGTCGGGGGGGAACACAGCCCTGTCCAGGTGAGCGCGAGGCCAGGTTCCTCAAAGCCACCGCGACGCCACAAATGGGTAAAGTTGCAAATGCGCGAAACTCCAGGAGTTACACGAACGTCAAGTTCGACACAAAAAAGTAACAAACCGTAGCCAACTTTTCTCCTGTGTTTCAAAATATAAAGCTTGAGCCCCAAGCGAGCGGCGGTGTGTTTTACTGCGAAGGGTACACCACGCATTTCCGGTGACGTCAATAATCTGTTCTGACCGCTAACTTGATTTAGCTGCGACGCGAAAGTACAGCTACGGTAAAAACAGTGAGGCCAGAAAGAGTTCGGTCAACATCACGGTGCCCTAAGAAATGCGGTTGGTCTGTATATTGAACATAAAATCTGTGGAGTGATTAAAATAAGCTGTTGTCGGATACTTGGGGCAACAGTGCTTTGACAACTGTTGTATCAGTAGCTCAAACCCGAAACTGTCAAACACACGGGCTTATTAGCATAAATATTAAGTCTTGAGGAGTGTTTGTTGTTGTTTATTTTACAAATACATATTTTCTCATTGCCCTGATCTGATTAGTCCGTATTAACGTAAAAATACTTTCCCCACTGGTTTCAAAGTTCTGTTTATTTTATTTTAGACCAATTCCTCTACTTTTATCTTACAGTTTATGCAACAACGCCCTCTACTGGTTAATTCTGAAATGAAGATGTCTTCATCTGTCCATCACATGCACACCTCATAGACCTATGGGCACATTGTGATGAAAAACTATATAAGAAACACAAAACCAAAACATCTCAATCACTAGCTGAAGTGTTTATATATGATACTGCTTCACATATGTTGCCTGGCTTCTGTGCTTTCTATGTCAACAAATCTTACTCAAAATCAAAGGGAATTTCTTAGTTAGGAGCACTTACCTTTGTAGATTTCCATCATGCTTATTTATCATCAAGAGTCTGAGTTTAGTCTCATGTCTACCCTCTAAGTTATTCACCAACCCAGACAGATCCTCAACATATGTGATCTCTAGCACCTTTCTTGAAGATGCAGCTAGTAGTTTTGTCAGTAGAGTTATGACTACATATCCCCTGGAAAACTAACATTACAGTTGTAAATGAGAATAACACATAATAAAGCTAGGCATCGGATCAATCTGCAAGCATATGCCCAACTTGACTGAAATGAGCATAAGTGCTGTACTACTACTAACAAGTGCAATCTTACTTAATACATAAATAAACATTCCCAATCTGGCAGCTCTCATTTTTTATGCTATGTAAGAATGTGTTGAGGTCTTTGAAGTTAAGAAGTTTTAAGAAGTTAAATTAAAGGAACTTTTGGAGAGGTTAGAAATAAATATGGTGCCAGTATGCCTTTCTTTTGTTTAGTATTGATCTATCAGTGCTTCTTTTAATACTCTTTTTTGGTTAGGTTTCTTTTACATCCCTTTGGTTGTAAAAAAAAATATATTGGTCTTATGTTGTGAAATCCACAAGAAAGGTGAAAAATGGAATTACTCTGCAGAACCTCTCAACTAAAAACTCACAGTAAGACTAACACAGTGTAATTCCCACCAAAGTCCAATTAAAAAAAAGAAAGCAGTCCATTGGGACGACATGTCATCTTGTGTAACTTGAAGACAACATCGGTTCAGAGAATTCGGCTGACAGGGAACGCTGGAAGCAGCAGAATGGCTGGATCATTTTCTCATATAGTCCACAGCACTGCTGTGTCAGATGTACTGTACTTCAGTAATTTGGAAAAAAATTATGATAGTCATGGTCCAGGATGTGTTTAATGATAGTCATTAAACCAGGATTTATTTTGTCTGTTTTGTCCATCTAATTTTATTTAAGAAAACATATGTAGTATCAATGCAGTACTAATATAGTACTTTGCTCTTTACTTCCTCAGTACAGTTAACACACCCAAGTCTTTCACTTCGCGTATAAAAGGGGAGCCGATGGTCAGTGAGAAGTACGAGCAGCACGTCAGTAATGGAGAGCTCACAGAATCACACAAATTACAGACAAGGCAAACACTTCGGACTTCCATATGAAATATTTGGACGAGGTATGAATTTGTTGTACAGTTCCTGATCCATTCTGTGTATTTTTTCCTGTAGTTGTCTCTTTTGTCACCGCTTTCTGACAAAGTAGCTGCACATGATTAATAACCATCATTGTGACATTGCATGCGAGTACAATTCTTTAGAACGAAGTAAAGGTGCATATGGATACTATTGGAAAGATGTTTTAAACTCTTCTAAATAATGCTCCAACATTGTGACCAACAAACTAAAACGCATGGCTTTTGCTTGGTTTTCTATTTGGTATTGCAAGAGTAGCAAAACTGCTAAACATTTTATGTGCAATGATCTCAACTAAGTGTCCAACAGTTGCAGAACGATGTGCTTTTCCAAACCACAGAGTGGTTATTCTGAGTCTGGGACTGCTGAACGCTGTATTATTCATATCAGCTGTCGCCATTGGTGTGAAGTGTGAGTACAAGAAATGACATGGAAGTTTCAGTTCCCTGTTTTGGGGATACACAGCTGATCACACACTTGTTTTTACTCCTTCACATTTATTTCAACATTCTTCATAATCATTTCCCAACAGTTTAACATTGTGACAAGCCTGTGATTTTAAGGCGTTAAATCACGAGACAAGAGAGGATTTGTCCACTACAGTGAAGTGGTAGTTTGCACCGTGCACAGTTAGACATGGGCTTTTAGTCTCTGCAAAGGATGTTTTTTCTCACCTGTCCAGGTGCTGAGCTCAAAGCGGGCTCCCTCCAGCAATCCCACTCAGCTACATCACAGCTCATCAGTGAGCTGAGATTTTTACGTAGCAACCACAGCGATGTGATCGAGGCTGAGGAGGAGGCCAAGAGGGAGCTGGGGAAAGTGATAAGTAACCACGCACAACTGAAGAAGAAAACTGAGCAGCTGAGGACCATCAGTGATGATTTTTGGAAACAGATTGTTGCTCTGAGAGCTGACAAGGCCAACCTGCAGGCCAACATATCCGTTTTGGGTTGGTTTCATTGTTACAGTATTTGTTCCCATTTGAATCCACTTCCAGTAAAGGGCCTGAACTTAAACAAGATCTTTGGTTTCTCAGAGGGAACTTGTGGAAGCTGCAGCCCGGGCTGGGACCTCCTAAACTCCTCCTGCTATTTCTTTTCCTACACTGAGTCCAGGACAGTCAAGAAGAACTGGCCAGACAGCAGAGCGGACTGCAGAAGACGTGGATCAGATTTGATTGTGATCGATAATCCAGAGGAGCAGGTTGGTTCAAAGTAAATGAGAACGAGGTGGAGGGAAATGGCCTAATGAGACGTCCAGAGATATGACCGGTGGAACTTGTTTCTGCTTGTGTGTTTACACAGACATTTGTGAGTAACAGCATTGAGGATATGAGATCCGGCCGCGATATCTGGGAAAATGGATTCTGGATCGGCATCACTGATGAAGACACAGAGGGAACATGGATATGGATCAATAATGTCACAGAGATGGAGCAAAGGTGAGAGCTGCATGATTACTCATCACAGATTATTGTTGGTTGTTTTCAGTGTTCGGTGACAAAAAAGATGATCGATGCCACACTGAGACACCATTGTTATTGAAGCATTCTCACTTCTTTCAGGTACTGGATGGATGGAGAACCAAACAACGCTGGAAACACAGGGGAGCATTGTGGAGTTGCTCTTCCCTCCAGTGATAATCCATGGAAGACCAGATACGATGGGAAGTGCCACCAGCAAACGCTACACTGGATCTGTGAAATGCCAAAAAAATAAACTCCAAACTCCCACTTGATGTACTGCTTCAGTGGTGTGGGCCATCAGGACCATGAATGAATGAAGAAATACATACATTTATTAGATTTATGCATAAAACTATGGATTTCCTGTGTTTGTAAGCCTCTGATTTGCAGTGGTATACAGACTGCCGTCTTGTGATGCTGGGTTCAGTGCTTGGTTGGGATTTATTGATTTCAAAGCTTGTTTATGTTTATTTTTTCTGGCATCTTTAAAGCATTTTGTTTCTTGTTGGTGATTTTCAAAATGCCAATAAATTCACACTGATACTGACATACTTTTTCCATCTTGAAATGACCAACTGTTGGGCTTTTTATCCAAAAGTAGCATAATTACTTATAAACACAGATGATTTTTTATTATAATGTCATTTTTATCATAATGTGTCATTCTTACAATGTTTTTCCCAGGGTGACCTGAGAGGGAAAGGAAATTAGAGAAGTAAGAAAAGCTTAATCTATTTATCCTACACAGTTATGGGACCTTTGTGAGACCAAACGGAAACCTGTTCCTCTTCTTCCTCATGTTTTTCTTCATGAGTGAAAATGCCTGTAGTCTTGTTTCAAGTTCTGAAAGAGATCTCACACAGCTCTCAAATAAGATTTTTTTTTTTTACTTTTGCGCCTCCATTTGGTCTCATGTTTATACATAAAAACTATCCACATGAAAGTCTATTCTCTTTCCCAATTTCTGTTACAGTCAACTTATAAATCTCATCAAGAGTTATTCATAAGTACCCGTCCTTCATCATCCTCACCATCTCTGGCTGGAATGCAGAAGACTTGAGAAAGAGATTTTTTCCCATGTCAGCACACAGCTGTACTGATCATGCTTTGGCTTTGTGTTGCAGCCTCTGGCTGCAAAAAAAGAACCAATTGCAAAATGTCCCTGTAATCTGTCAAAACAAGAATTGCAGAAAGAACAAAATTCCCCCATGAACTGAAAGATTCCTTCAGGCAACACAGAAAGCCTTCAGAAAAGTGTAATAAAGTCCCCAGTCATTTTTCTAAAATTGTAAAATATTAACACAAATAATTCATTGTAACTACAAAATATTTCTAACAGAAATTTGTCCTTTATTGCCTAAGAAAATTCACTTTTGACCATGGTCATGTTGGTGATAAATAATGCCTCAAGTAATGTATTCCCAGAGTAAAAGGGATTGGGTACATTTCTTAGAATCGTTACTGGAGTTTTCCAGAAGAAATTTCGCCTCTCATCCAAGAAGAATCGTCAGTTCTAACTGATGCTGGAGAGCACTGAGATTAATACACTTCACGTCCAGTTGGCTAAAATGAACTTTTCTACCTTGACCATAACCTGGATGACTGAGAATCTTCACAGATATCTTAGAATCCTCGTAGATCAGACGGGTCAGCATATTAACATCCTGTTACTGTTAAGACAAAATGTGCATCCTGTTGCTGGGAAATAACTGTTTAAAAGACTTGAGGAATTTTCACTTCTCTTTTTTCGTGAATTCGAGTTTCAGCTGGAGTAATCATTGTGACTTAGAGGGCTCAGCTAGATACAGAGCGCATCGTGTCAGGCACTACCACATACCTAAACTAAACTAAACAGCAATAATGCAGAGGACAGAACCCCAAGGGAATAACTTTGAAGGGGGATTCAACACCCTGATCTGTCAAGAGGAATTGCAAGATGAGGAGTATTCCACTAACAACGGCAGACACCAACCGAGCGGTCAGTAAATGAGGTTCATGCACATTTTGTCCTGACAGTCACGCAATTAAAACATTTTTATCCATCTCTGACTAAAGTTTGTGTGACAGAATGTGATGCTCAAAGCACAGATGTATTGCCAAAATGTGCCAGTAAAGCATGATGTGGTCTTTATGATTCTTTATGATTCTGATATTCTTCTCGTTTTCCAGTGCCTGTCTTCAGTCTGACTTTGGGGAGACGGAGCAGACTGGCAACGCTGATCCTGACACTTCTTGCTGCTCTTCTGCTTATTGTTGATATCAGCCTGGGTGTCCATTGTAAGTAAATGGTACAACTGGATGCTCTTCGCCTGGAGATGAAATTCGCTATATATTATTTTTTAATCAGAGAAATTCTTTTTAAAACACTGATTTCCTGACGTGTCTACTTCTGTAGACATGTAATGTAAATGGTCGTTTTCTTATCTAATTAACAGATTTGACTTTTACGGAAGTGCATTGCATTCACTGGATTAACAAAAAAGAAAAAAGAAATTGACAGCTGTTCTCGTAATTACAATTTAAGGAGTCTCATTTTTTTTATCCAGTGCACTTCTGTAGACTTTAATATATTCTTTTAAAAAAAAACCCAGAGCAAATGTTTAATTTATAGAAATGTATCAAAAATGAACACTCACCATAAATCCTTTACACTTTCAGACAACAATCTCAAAGATACCCACCTCACCACTGAGGATACAGAACGCATCGGCAGGGAGCTGGCCAGACTCCAGGAAGATTACAAAACTGCAGTGGAAACTATGAAGGGTGCCCAGAAGCAGACGGACAGTGAGAGAAACAGTCTGACAGAAACCAACTGGGAGTTTGAGCATCAGACAAAAAGAAGCCAAGACAACAAAGACCAGATTGATAAAATGACGATGGACATAGCAAAATTGAGATCACAATTACAGATGATTAGTGAGACTTGTTTTTATGCTTACTATTGCTTAAAAATCAAGATCACGTGCTTGTTCTTTAAATTTATGCAACGGTTTTATTTGCCCACAGGTCACGGCTGCAAATTCTGTCCTCCTGGATGGTTCTTTATAGACTCTTTTTGTTACTACTTCTCCTTTTCGAACAAATTTGGACTCAGATCGTGGCAAAAAGCCCAAGAATTCTGTCAACTTCAAGGAGGGAATCTTCTAGTCATAGACAGCAAAGAAAAACAGGTCAGCTATATTTCTGGTAAACTATTTTGAAGTAGAATTGCACCTTTTTTAACATTAATTTCATGGTTATAATTGGTTAGAAAATTACTGTGACTCAGTTGATGACTCACCAAGACCCCTCCAAATGGGATGATGGCTTCTGGTTTGGACTGAGAGATTCTGAAGAGGAGGAAACTTGGAAATGGCTAGATGGAAAACTCCTGGTTGAAGGGTATCAATCCAAAACCTTATATATAAAGAGAACTATTAACACTGTAAAGTTAACAATTGCATTCTTCCCAATTGTTCAATTTTACCATAACCTCCATAAGCTGTGTGTATATTGATGCCACTGTATCCTGATGTAACTGCACAATATCTGATGAAACAGAGAGCTTTTAGCATTTTTATGCATCTTTTTTCCTGGTCTAAAATGCATAATTTCTATCATTTGAACTTAAAGGGATATTTGTCTTTTAAAGTTAAGTTTGTAGGGAAAACTGTGTGAAAGTAAACTGAAGGCGTGAAATTAAGTAAAATTATACAAATGATTAAAACTACTTAAGGAACTCACACAATTCTTATTGACGCAAATATATCTAGAAAATATATGCAGCACATCTATATCTTGTATGTGTTTCTAAGAATATTTATCCACTCTCTCCTACAGTTACTGGCAAGATGGCGAACCAAATGACGCCGAAAGAAATGAGGATTGTGCAACAGTGTTTGCCAAGAAAAACTTCTTCAAGTCTTGGAACGACAAAGCATGTGAATCCAGGAATCAATGGATCTGTGAAAAAGCCCCTACCTCAATGACTTGAGGTTTCAGAATATCACATACTGTATATTAGGCTGAGGTTTCTTACCATTAGACACTCCTCTGTAACCACTGCTAAATCAGAAAAATAAAGGTGGTCTTTTGTGAATAAGAAAATACACCCTTCCTGCATTCTGTAAGTCTTGAATGTTTTAATATATTTATCTGATTAAATGATCATCAGAGTGTGTGAGTGCCTCTGTAAAAAGCAGAAGCTGGTGATTCTATGTCCCAGGTTGTGGGTGATATTGCATTCATGCTTTTTCTGGGCACACTGAGCTAAGCTTAGCTAAGCTAACTGTCTGCAGGCTTTCTTTCTGCGAGCAGTCCAGATAAATGAGAGGGCGTTTTGACAGAAATTTAAAGGAACTTGAGCGGATTTATCTGTGTCAGAATTCATGATAACAGCCTCTCCTTTGTTACCTGGATAGATCTGAGCAGGACTTTGGAGATGAATGAATGCAGCATTGGTTGATTAATGTACTGAACAAACTCCAGCTTAAATCAGTAACTTGTTACTGCAATCACATCAAAAACTGTCCACTGCGACTGCTAAATTTAACCAAATGATTGCGCGGTTCAACTCTGCACTTTCACCTATATGCCTTTTTCGTGTGGCCTTAGACTGAGGACAACATCGTATTTACTGTCATTTATGGGTTGAGTTCAGAGAAATCCACCACATGAAAAGGAACTGAAAGTGATTCTGAGGATTAGGAAATAAGATTACTTGCTTCTCCTTTGAGTACTGAAATTGAACAAACATGTCTGGATTTTGGGGCTGAGGACAGTTAAAGGCCTCCGATCAAAAATGTTTAAATCTTGACGCGATTATAATCACAGCAATACGACCCAACTAACATGTTAAAGTTAAATTAAGGCTGAACCCATGTCATCATCAGTTAGTGTCCATCGGGCAGCACAAGCATGAGCACAAACAATCTGCTTATCGCTGGCCTGAGCAGCAGGACAAACAGATCAATGTCCACGAGTTCCAGCGGCATAATGGAGAACTCATGGTCAGAAACAGAAGAAATGTCTTTTGATGAAAAGATTTATCAGGACCTGAGCAGAGATGGGCCATCATTTTCTCAACGCCACACATTTGGAAGAGGTAAATTCAACCAAATAATGTTTCTTTTCGACCACATGCTATTTGTCTTTGTGGAATTTACCATATTTTGCTTTGACTTAATTAGCTCCTCAGTCAGTTCCAAATCTAGGTAAAAATACCATGTTGAAATACTTTCAATCGTTAACTCATGTGAAATTTTCTGTTATCCACTTGTGACATCTCAGACAGCAAAAGGTCAACCTGAGGAAGATTTAGTTCTTTCTGAAGAGTTTCTGGCGACAAAGTATTATGCGCAGAGATTAACATTCAGAGGAACATTTTCAAAGGTCTCTCTGTGGGGAGAGGAGCATCTGCGTTTCCACGCCACAAACTGGTGATCCTGAGTTTGGGTCTGCTTGATGCTGTCCTGCTAATAGCAGCTGCTGTCATTGGGATTTACTGTGAGTAAAAGAGTTCACAGGTACACTTTCTAAATCATCGCCACTTTTTAAAATTTTCTTTAGCAATGGGGTCTCAAAACTATCTTTGTGTTGGGGAAAATTTTGAAGTTTCAAGATTTTTCGTTAATCAATACTGTGTTTATTCACACAGCACATCTTATATTGTACTGTCAGACTTGACTAGTATCTCAGTGCGATATTAACAATTCAGTCCAAACGAATAAAACAGCTAAATAATACTCAATCTGTATATGCAATATAAACCCCACTGAGATTCATAATTAAAGCCTCCACCAACAGAAGCCTGGTTGTTTCCTTTGTTTACCTGTCCATAAAATGTGTGTGTACGTGCGCTTCCAGACATGCTGAAAATCAGCAAGTAGGGCTTGAATTTACAACCCTCAGTTAATGCCTGTTTGAGTACTGACAGGAATATCTGGTAACGGTACACAGGTGCCATGGGCTCTCATCTCTGTGTCGCATTAGGCGCAAACTGATGTTGAGGTGTTTTAAAGGCTAAATGTTGGTGTGATATTAGGGAAAAGGTCACAGGATCATCAGAGATAGCAGGATTTATCCTCTGAGGATTTTAAATGTCTACTAAAAGTCACAGCAATCCATCAGTTGCCGGTGAGATGTTGCTGTGAGGAGCAGTGGAATGATGGAAATATTTGAGCTGACATCAAATTCCAGCTTTTTTACACCGCTTTCTCGGACTGATTCAGGTGCCAAAGCGAAAGACCTGCGGATGTTAGATTCAGCCGCCACGCCTCAGCTCCTCAAGATGAACTTCCTCCGCAACCACTCTGATGTCATCAAAGCCAAAACCGAGGCCCAGGAAGCTCTGGAGAAAGAACGCCAAAACCACGTGCAGCTAAAGCTGCAAGTGATGCAGAAAAAAGCCATCACGGACATCCTTCAGGGGAAAATTGAAATACTTCAGACAGAGAAGATCAACATCCAAAAAAATAAAACTACCTTAGGTAAGGCAAGCCAGCAATCGGCCTCCTGCATGGTAACACACGGAGTGCCAGCACAGATTATGTTACATTGCATTGTTACAAAAAGCACGCCGTTAAATTTTTCTTCTTTCCAAACAGAAAACAACTGCGGCAGATGTCAGCCAGAATGGGTCTTTTTGAAGTCCTCCTGTTATTATTTTTCTCATCATCAACCTGAAGGGCGTAACTGGTCCAGTAGCAGAGCAGACTGTGTCAGCCGAGGAGGCGACCTGCTTGTGATCAATAACTTTGAGGAGCAGGTGCTTATATCGTTAAATCAATTGATCTAGTTTTTCAAGGGATTCTGTTATTTAAGCTGTTATTTGATTTTTCAATAATTTCCCTAAAAGGGAATAGTATAACACAATTTTTTAAAACCACGATTGCCTCCGGGAGATTCCGCTTCTCCATTGCATCGTTCCAATAATCTGTCTATAATGGTAAAACAAAATGACACTAACTACTGTATAAGCTGACATCTCTTGTTTTCTCACAGCAATTAGTAAATGACAATATTCCGAAGCAGAGCTACAGTGGCGTGTGGTGGCAGAGGGGGTTTTGGCTCGGCCTCACTGCTCTCTCTGGGAAATGGACATGGATTAACAATGTGACTGATGCGACCACACTGTAAGCATCTCACAAGCTAATAACTCTTTTTCATTTTATAGACATTTTTAACAATATTACAAAATGAGTGAACGTGACCTCTGGATGATGATGATTGCTTACCACAGGTTTTGGAGAATCGGACAGCCCACTCAACCTCTGTTTGGAAATTGTTCTGCTTTTCTACACAGCAATGATGTAACAAAGACGTTCTACAGTGGGGACTGCACGCGGCTGAAGCTAAACTGGATCTGTGAGATGGAATCACAGAAAGTGTAACTCCTCCAGTAAACAGGATTTCTCACTGGAATAATGATCACTGTGAATGTTTGTGAGATTCAGGCTGTAATCTGGAATTTTACCCATCATGTTTGGTATGAAGTGAATTGTTAAAAGGAGAGTCTGTCCTGGATAATCACATCGTAGTTGTGGCTGGAATAAAGCGTGCTCGGTGTAAAGAAAAAATAAAGAATCGGAAAAAATAACCAAAGCCAAAGAATGTTTCCTAAAAGAATCTTTGTATGGCAGTTGACTGAGTCCAAAAGTGCCTTGTTTTGGACATCAGAAGTGCTCTGGAAATAAACACGCACCCCCTGTAAATATTTAACTGATGAAGTTCACTTTCTGTTTGTAATGTTACTCACATATGCAAATAATTAGGGGGCAATGTCCCAACAAACAATCGCTACAGGACAGTTCCTCAGACTGCTCTCACTTCTAACAGTCAAGCATGGAGGACAGATTAACTTCATATAATAAACTAACTACTTTGGAGGAAACTACTGCAGATGACAACCCTCTCTACTCAAACCATGAAAAACAACAAGGTATGCCTAACATACAGGAAACTAGCGATGATGGAGACAGTGTCACATTCAAAAACAGCATTTAAGACACTTTACCCTGCTACTTTATTGCCATCCTGTAACTTACTATGTGAATCCAATTCCTAGGAATTTGTTTGAAGCTCAACAACTGTGCCATAATTTTTTTTTGTACATATTGATAATATTCCACTGACTGTCATTTTAAGGCTCATAGTATTGATTCACCACTTTCTCGTGTAGTTTCCATGTCCACAGTCAGACCTGAATCCATCTGGAGTCATCACAGACTGCTCACTGTGAGCCTCGCGGTGCTCGCCGCCATTCTGCTGGCTCTTGATATCGGCCTGGGAGTCTATTGTAAGTTATTTTGAATCAGTAAAACTCAGGGATGCAAATGAAAACTATTCTGAGCATTTCAATGAATAAGAGGTTCTTCTTTATTTGATGGTGTGACCACATAGCTGAAGTGAAAGTTGAAGTAAGCTTTATCAAAGCATAGGTTGTCATATGTGTGTCTTTAAATGTGGACCATTACTATTCCACCCTGTAAATAGTGTATTTTGCCTCATGGTTCTGGGTTTTACAGCTCAGATTCACTACTTCTGTTCATCCTCGAAGCTTGAATCAATATGATTTCTGTCCATAACTGGCGGTAGCTCTGAGAAAAAAAAAATCAATCTATATCTGTTGATATATCTGCTGCATGAGTGTGTCATGAGATGTTCAAACTATTTTTATGTTGGCTCCCTAAATATCAGATTAATTTAAAATTTAAGTTGAAAGTTCAACAGTGGTCAAAGGTGCTGAGATTAAAGGCAAATTAGGAAAAGATTCCTTTAAAAACTTTTTTCTTTGTGTGAATGAAAATCCATAATAGCTGAAAACAACATTTCTGATTTTCTTTTTGTCAAATCCACTTTCCCAGCAACTCAACACCACATTGACTGATACTTTGAAAAATGACTAATTTAAATTGTGTATCTCTAGAATACAAATTACAGAACAGACTTGTAGTGCTGAATTAATGATGTACAGATGCCTTGAAATAATGTTCTACACTAATTTTTCCAGCACTGGTACTTCACGATGCTAGTGTTTCCTACAAATCTTCTCAAAACTTCAGACCACAATGTCATTAGTTTATTAACACCTCGTCTTCACTCCTTTCAGATAATAATCTCACTGACGGTGCCATTATAAAGGACATCAGCGGTGAGATAAGCAAACTGCAAGCTTCTTACAATGCTGAAGTCCAAAGCAGAAATGATGCCAAGGAGCAGTTGGTGAAAGAGATCAATGAGCAGCTAGTTACAAAATGGGAGCTCGACCACCAGATCAGAAGGAGCAACGACTATGAAAATAAAGCTGAAAAGCTTCGGCTGGATATCGCTGGATTGAACTCCCACCTACCGATGATAGGTGAGAGCCCTTTTTCTTGAGCCTTTACACATGTCATCAATGTGGCCCAGGCCACATGGCATCTCGTTTTCTTATCTTTGGCAACAGAGGACGGCTGCAGACACTGCTTGCCTGGCTGGACTTTCCTGAACTCACGCTGTTACTACTTCCCATTTTCCGACCATATCGCACGCACATCGTGGCAGGATGCCAGGCAGTTCTGCAAGAGGCAAGGAGGCGACTTGGCAATAGTAGATACCAGAGAGAAACACGTAAGACACATTCGGACAATGCTGGCATTTCTTGAAAAACCAGCTTTTATAAGCTTTCATCAAAAATAATTTCCATTACATTTCATAAGCCCAAACATTAACATACTTGCGTGTGTCATATCCTGTTTTATCAGCTGGCAATAGCTAACTTGATCAATAACTATAAAGACCCCACAAGACCATTTACCCAGAGTGGCTTTTGGATTGGACTAAGAGATATCGAAGACGAAGGGACTTGGAAATGGCTGGATGGGACAATACTGACTGAGGGGTAACACTTAATTTTAAGAGAAATTTGGCAACTACTCTAAATATTGTGATTTTTTTTTGGGGGGGGGGTTCAGCAGTACAACAAATAACAAATGTTAAGGATTATTCAGAAATGTAATGATGCATCAGTCACTTACTTTGGATAGAAATAAGTGAAAAAGCCATTGAGGGTTTTAATAATTTTGTATCAGAGCATCTATGACAGATCAGTGAAAGAATCTGCCATTTGTTTGCAGGTACTGGAATGATGGAGAGCCAAACAATCAGAACAATGAAGACTGTGCTGCTGTATATCCAAAAATAAACCCCTTTAAGGTTTGGAATGATGCACCATGCAATTATAGCCTGAAGTGGATTTGTGAAATGGCCTCAAGGTCTGCGGATTAATTAATGTATCCCACAGAGAAAAAGGACACATCTAGTTTTGGATTAATTGTTTAAATGAGGAATAAACTCCATGTTTGAGTGTCATGTAAATTGTGTTTTTATTGTCATGTCTGTTTAGACTACAAAATGGTACATTCTATGTGTACTTCAATGATTAGTCTTTATTACAGATAAATATTGTTACAGATAAATAGGAGGTACACTCTTCTATGAAGACATGTATTTCTACTGTACAATCTATACACCAGATCACCGGTCCAGCAGGAGATCTCTGGGCTTCAGATGCTGCAAACTTAAAGTCTCTGAGTCATAAATTTCATGATGCAGACATTTATCATGGCATGGACTACAAAACATTAACTGAACACTGAACCTGCGTGTTTGTTTTTGATCAAACATTGTGAATTAATCTATCTTTATGCAAACCCCTGTTTTTGAGCTTTACTAATTGAAAGGTAAAGATCCACCATAAAAATGCCCCGCGATTCTATACAGAGATTTCTACAACAGCTGGTGGAGCCGAGATGTTAACATATGACGATTTAACACTACACGACAATGAGATGGACAACACTATCTCAAACTGCACATGTAACCTGTAAACTTTTCACACCTATAACAACTAAAGCCCTTTTGTTGATTCATATGACTAACCTGCCAACCTATTTTCATAATTTTGAAAATCCTCACAGAGCTGCAAAGTGCTCCCGCAGCTGTTTGAGGAGCTGCTGAGTGTCAACATGCTCTGGAAAAGCATCCTCAGACTTCTGTGCCGCCATGTAGCTGCTCTGAAGGTCTCCAATCTGGACGAGGACAAAAACAACCAGTTGGAGTAAACTGCTTGGAAGATAAATTAGAGGCTCATTAGCACATTACCTTTTCGTAGAGGATGGAGAGATTGAAGTGTGGTTCATACATATGAGGGCAGAGTGAAGCAGCAGTTTGCAGGAAGGCTTTGGACTACGTAAAAAGAGACATTCAAATAGCAAATATTACAGACAGGAAAAATATCTTATCAAAATGCACCGTTTTTGTGTTGATATTAATCTATATAACTAAAGATATTTTAATTCCCATCATCCACAACAGTTTCTGATCTGTACTACAAAGCCACAGAGGTCTTAGCTAAGACTCTTTGCTTGTTGGATTTATGGTGCTTCAGTGTAAACTGCAAATTAATCCAACCACTGAGGAATGTTTACAAAAAGTGTGAGTGTTGTCTTCACCTGTTCAATATGACCTTTGCGTAGCTCTAGCACAGCCAGGTTGTTATATGCTTCAGCATGGTCGTTATTCAAACCCAGAGTCAGCTTGAAACACTGATATGCCAGTGTCAATTCCCCCAACCCCTGTAAATACACAACACATGTATTTCACCTCCATTTGACTGCCATTAGATTGTGACTTTGGACGATCAATGTATACCTTATTCATCTTTTAACAATATGAAGACTGCTGACTCACCACAGCCACATGTCCAATGTTGTACCAGACATCAGCCTGCTCTTCATCACTGGACACCAGGGCCAGAGCCCTCTCAAATGAGGACAGCGTCATATCGTACTGCTGTGCGTAGAAACAGCACAGGCCCAGGTTGTTGTACAACTGGCAATTATACACTCCCATCTGGAGCAGCCGTCTTGGAAAAAGAAGATAACGAACCACATACAACTTCAAATCCCATCAACTGTAAAAACGCATGAAGAAAGTATTGTCTCGTGAAGTTTGCCGGACCTGTAGAAGCGTAGGGCGATCTCAGGCTGATCGCTGTAGAAGTGATTGCTGCCTATGCAGGCGATTGCCTCGACGTGAGTGTTGTCCTGCTTCAGGACGTCTTTGTAATACTCTGTGGCTGAGGACATGTTATTCATCTCCTGAAAGAAAATCAGACAACATAAAATATAGCCTGTAAGTATGGTCAGATCTAATTTATTCTGTTAAATCATGACAGTACTCTGAGCCAGCTGTGTTGAAGTATTGTACCTCATGAATTCTGGCGATTCCTGTAAGAAGCGTGACCTCACCAGGGAAGTGGTCTAGGCCTTGCTTGAAAAGGTTCAGGGAGGTTATTGGTTGATCCAAACGTTGATAAACCTACAGCAAAGCACAGACATGTTGTATACATTAATTAGCTCTGGAAAAGTATTTTTGAATCTTCGCTAACTTCTTAAGAAAGTATATTCCTACAACGCCTCTGTAATTACCTTTGCAAGGTATAGATACGAGTCTACCACCTCTTGATGGTTGAGAGCCGACCGGAACTGTTTTTCTGCTTCTCTGTATAAACCAAGCCTGCCAAGATAGAAGGACTTGGTCAGAACAGAGCTTTGTTAGAATAAATGCAACATCAATAAATGTCAGGGATGTGGGTTAGGTGTGAGTAACATGCCTGTAGTAACATTTTCCCAGCTGAACCTTCCACCACCAGTCTTTGAACTGTGCGTGCTCAGTGGCTTGAGCAGCCAAATCTAAAGCCTGACCAAGAAAACATTTACCCAGATAAAATTATACAAAATAAGCATTACATTTGGCAAAACAATTTTCTTTGTAGTCGAGATATGTCTTTGGTACTCACATTTTTCACATCATTTTCATGATGAAAGATATATTCAAACAGTGTCTACGGAGGGAAATGACGATTACTTGTCATGTAAAGATTGTTTGATAAACTGCTTAAAGCTATAATGTCAGTCTTACCCTGGACAAACTGGGTTTTTGGGAGTACTTGGCCAGATTCAGTCTCGACAAATTTATAAACGGGCCATCTGGATTGGTTAACATTGATGCCTGGACAAAGAGTGAAACAATATGTCATTGAAAATGTATCTATATAGTTAAAAATGTTATTTAAACAATATAAGAAAACATAAGTATCCTTCTAACAACAATGCTACAAGTATGTGTAATACAATTATAATACCCACTGTTCCCAAACGAATGAATCTGCCAGAGGCACTAGTGACGGGACGTGCAGTGCTTGCTGTGCGTGGAGTTTTGATGGCCTGCTCCATTGTGCCAGGACGACCTGATTGTGTGCTTGGCCTTACAAATCCTGTGATAGGACGCCCTGACTGTGTCATAGGCCTAAACACCAGGAAGAAATGATTAACTGAACTTTTGACATTCCTAAATATACATTTAATAGTGGTTAATCTATCAATTCGTATATTTAATTGGTAAATTTTGGTCAAATCCAAAAATAAAAAAAATACCTGACAGCTGGCGTGGGACCTCCACCCTGACTTGTCCCAGGGAGCCTCAGTGATGTTCCAGGTCCTGGAAAATGGTGTGTTGCTCAGTTTTTTTTCAGTTTGATATGGGCCAGAAAGAGCAAACGCAAACTTACTTGCAACTTGTGCAATAGAGCTTTCATCCAGCATCATCTCAGCAATCCCCTCCTCGTCAACTTCAACCTCATCGATGTACACCATTTCTGTAAGGGCACGGGTTTTCAAACTCCATGCAGCCTATGAAACACAATTTTTTTTATCATACAAAGATATTCATGTATGGCTAAAGGGGTACATGTCCCAGTCTTTGATGAACTATGAGCATGGACAAATAAGTGGGAGACAGGGATAAAGTGCACTGTTTGTTACCTCTGAGATAAGCAAGGACGAGTCCTTAAGATAGTGTGCAGCGAGTAATTGAGAGAAGAGTAAAGTTGACGAAAAAGGTGAGAAATGGGCAAAGAGAAGAAATGAAAATGACACATGCAAAAGAGGTGACAGATAAGCGTCAAATACAATAAAAATACTGATACTGATCTGTGATAGAAAATGAGCAAAGAATGATTCAGATAAGTACCAGCAAATGCAACATTGTGAGATACAAGACATGCATTCGACTAATCTGGATTATGAAGGCAGCTAAAGTGCGTTAGCAAGCTAGGTTATCACTGCTAGCTATTCCACCTTACCTGGTCGTAAGGATTGTCTTGCAATATCTTCGTGCAAATATCTGCACATTGTTGAAGTTTCCGCCTCCTGAAATAGCTCCATGCTAGAAACAAGGGGTCCATCGTCACCTCCATCTCTGTGGTAATTGGGAAAAAACGATGTTAAGTGAGTTAGCAAACTGCTAAACGAAGATAGGGCTAAGGAAAAAATAAGCTTCCTCTGTCGCTAGGCAACAGCGGAAGAGGTCGGTCGTCAACGACTACAACTTCCTGTATGGACCCGAAAACAAAAATTATCAACCAAAAGTAAATAGTAGTAAAAGTAAATCAATTACATCAAAGCAAGAAACTGTCTATTATTACTCGATATGAAATATATCAGAATGGTATTTATATTGTTTAATCTGGAAACCAGAAATACCTGCTGTCAATATTTTACAAATTCAACAAAATTCGTTTAGCTAAACCGTTTTCTCGGACTTTAATGTTGCATATTTAATTGAAGCTAAGATAATTATATGTACCTTTTGGGTACATGTGAGTGTTAGTTAATTAAATTATGCACACATTCGTTATTTTTCAACGTTTTTGTTGAAAAAAAACACCTGACAGTGATCAATTTGCCATTTTTGTTTGACTGAATCTGATATAATTGGTTTTAATATGAATACTCAAATTCAGATATTCGGATTGATTCATTTTACAAATGTAATTGTTATTGTATTTTGGAAATCAAGTAATAAGATAACGTAACAGAGATGTCCTCTCCAGCTTTATGGTCTCGTTGATGACTCGAAGAATGTGATTGGACGACAGGATGTGGCGTCATGCTTGTAGGCGGCGCTTGAAGGCTAACAGCACAGCTCCATCTTTGTAGGATTTGACAGGAGCTTTGACCTGTGTCGAAGAGGACCAGAAGCACGGAGTGGAAGAAGTACACTCTCACAATGGACAAAACGGCATAGACGCCTGTTATTAAACCAGACTCATAGAGCTTTCATCCAAGCAAGCAGCAAATATCTTAGTTTAACACGAACCTGAAAAAATGACTAATTTCAGCGCCCTCGCTGGAGTGGTTGAAATCCAACGGAACTAATGGGACACGCGGGCTTAAAATAAATCCTTTTTGGTGAATGACACTGTACCAGAGAGCCTACGTGATAGAAACGGAGAGGCACACACGGAAGTGCAGACATGGCTGACAGGACTGCTCCCAACTGCCACCTGAGACTGGAGTGGGTGTACGGATACCGGGGACACCAGTGCCGCAACAACCTGTACTACACGGCCGCCAAGGAAATAGTCTATTTTGTCGCCGGTGTGGGAGTTGTGTACAACACTCGGGAGCACAAGCAGAAATTTTACCTGGGGCACAACGATGACATAATAAGGTAGTGTGTTCACACGCGTGAAGTGGTTTCAGCACCGCGGACAGCACCAGGCTCGAAAATGCCCTGACAGGGAGATGTTGGTGGTGCTGGTGTCACCTTGTGAGGTGTAATGTGATATTTTTCATCTTCATGGGGAGTACAAGGGCACACAATGCCCATAGTTTGTGATTGGGTTTACTGTCCTGCTTAAAGGCACCTCAGTAGGGCAGATAGTTTCAACCAGCCACCAGTAACTGTGCTGCTTGTCTTAATGGCAAATCCTCTGGTTGCTCGATTGCATCATGATCATAAGCTCAGAACTCTAATATATCAGACATATGGCAATCACACACTGAGGAAAAACTATACTTGGTATTATTATCTGCTTGATGTTTTTGAAAGTGTGTAATTCATAAAAAAAATTGGTGGTTTAACTTAAGAGATTTGCTATCCATTATGTTTCTGTTGCTTGTCTTTTATTTCCCTCACAGTGAGATGTCTGTCTGACTCTCCTTGAAAGAAACCGCTGTGTTGCTTGTGATAATTCATGTCTGCATGAGGAGACAGATATTTTTGGAGAAAAAACAACAACAACAACAAAGAAAACCAGCCACTGATCTGATGACACAACATAACAATGACTTGTGTCCAACGCCTCAGTGCTTATGTTGACATGTGTGTGCAGGGGTTGGCCTGGAGATGACTAGCTTCATAAACGGTGACGGTTGTCAGCTGGGCTCGTGTTTCATTATTAATCGCGCCGTACAGATGAAGTTCCTGAGTTCAAACACATAACAAGAGGTGGTGCTCAGGAAATCATGCCGTGACAACGGCAACTTGCGTCCCCTGAAGTAAATGTAACAACCATCCATTTTCTATACATGCTTTGTCCAATTCAGGATTCAGGGTCGTGGGGAGGGGGGCTGGCGTCTGTCCCAGCTGTCATTGTACAGGAGAGGAGTACACCCTTTGTGGGTTGCCAGTTCATCACACGGTGTGTGTAAAACAGACTGTGAATTTTTGGTTTCTTGTTTAGATTGAATGGTAAATATTCAGGCAGAGTGGATGACGTAATGCCTTTTATTGTCAGTTTCTTTCTTTTTCAACATTTTTTGACCAGTGAGAATTCTAAGGAAAAACAAACATTCATGGAGCTAATATTACAGTTACAGATTTAGTGCATCTTAACATCTGTTACACAGCATCCTGAAACTAATATTGCTTCAGTGTTTGAATGCAGAGTTCTGTCAGTCCATTCAAAATCTTCAATTGGTGCTTTGATATGTTGAGATCCGCTGTCTTAGCATACTATTCAGACCACTTTCCTTATGTTTAAACCATTTATTTAATCACTCATGGCCCACGAGGTTGGGTTCCTGACATCATCCATCAGTAAAGAAATGATCATGGTAAGTCAATGCACAAATCTCTAGGCATTTTTCTTTAGATTCTCAAAGATGCATCTGAAAGAGATTTCCAATTCACCAACCATTAAATTCTTCCATTTTAGTTTTCCATGGTCTATTTTGGTTGCAGCTTCTATTTGATTGACAGTAGCTTATTAGTTTAGTCCTGCCTATACGACTATCTGGAGGATTTTCTCCACTCTGCAGCCCGTTTGAAAAGTCCCAGTCTTGAGAAATACAGATAGACAGGGTTCAACAGTTTGCCTTTTTCCTCTCCTATTCATTATTCTCTCAGGCCGCTTTTATACAAGTTAGAAATTCAAAGAACCCACAGCTACTGCTGACACTCTGCTCACTCCAGAGAATTAAGTCACTTCTCTCTGTAGTCATGATGAGCTGCAAAAAGGGAACCATTCACATGAGCCTGCCACACAAATTCTTTAAAGCATATGTTTATTCCCTCTGAGTTTCCCCTCAAACATGGCAAATCATTCTTCTAGCGCAGAGGGAGGTATATTTATGTATTTTATTTGTAATTCGAAATTCTCAAAAGTGTGGGAGGATGGCATGGTAGACTACAGAGGTGGGCCAGCCTTCTCCATTTAGAGTCTGTCATGGGTTCAGTCTTTGAAGATCTCTTCCTCTTTTTCCTGCCTCAAGAAGACACTAAAGATGAATGTCAACGCTCAGTGAGAAGAGGATGCTAATTCCTTTTACTTTTAGAGTATATAGTATTTTATGTATTTGTTGATATTGGTAACGTTTTTAAATTTATTTTGCAAATCCAGACTGAAAGTTACCAAGAAGGTGTAAAGGACAGGAATTAAAGGCTGCCTCTGGCTACAATATTGTCTAAGCTTGTATATGGACCACAGCCAGGGTTATAGATTACAGCTGCCAGACTGAGACTGGTCTTATTTCAGCGGGTCTGTAGAGATGCTGTGAATACATTTCTGTCAGTGCTGCTGCAGAGTGTGTACACTATGTGTCAGGTTTGTTGAGAGTCTCACCCTCTATTCTTCCCTAGTTATAAAGAACTTTGTTCAAGTCAAAGTGTAAAACTCTGTCACTCTATCAAAGTATTTTGTTGAATTATATTTCAACAAATTCCTCCGTTTGACAGAGATGAATCAGATTAATATAAAGTGAGTGTAGGCCTCAGACATCGGTCCTGAGAAATCCTCTGCAGTTAAAATGTATTTTTAGAGCCCTTCTCTTCATTATCCACATCTGTGTTCAGTCGTACTTTTGAGTTAAACTATAAATCAAAACCACGAGTAACATCTAAGATCATAGATAAACACTATCACATTGATGACATTTGTTTTTGCTAAGACTTTCCGCTCCATACCTGCGAACATCCCCTGAATATCAGTGTGATGAAGACTTGGTTTACCAGTGATGGACACAAACTCATTCTTTTATATATATAATACAGCAACAGGTACATAAATTAGTAATGGACAGGCAGGTAGTTTTAATATTTTGGAATAAAAAAAGGTCTAATATGATTTAATTAAGAATAATTTATTTACATACCACTTGTTGACCTCATTGAATTAGATAAAAACTAGGCTTAATGGAGTAATATTACATCTTAGTTCTGGTTTGTATCACCTTCTTGAAAAGAGTAACTTTTCCCTTGGCGCAGGGCTTCACTCTTAAGATGCTTCTCTATTAAATAATTATTTCACTTTACTTTCAGTTTACTAATCAATTAACTGTTGAAACTTAATCTGCCAGAGCCACAGATTAAGATTTCATGAAAGACTAAACAATGTTTAAACACCAGCTAATACTCTGTAAGAGCATCCTCATCTGTGCCACCACTTGTTGACCCTTCTTGCTTCCTGTGCTATTTAAGATCTAATCAAGAGTGCCACTTATTACATTTATTTTAGCTGTTTTTAGTTACTGGAGCAGAAAGCCTTAAAAAACACTTAGAAGGATCCTGGGAAACGTCGCAGACTGTGGAGCTTCTGAAATTAGGTTTCCTTCTGGCTTCTTTTGAATAGACTATGGGTTGAAGGAGTTTAAGAAAACTGGGGAATATATGTATGTTATTAAGCTTATTTTATCCTTTCTGTTTTTAAAGAGTCAGGAATACATATGCAGTCTTTAAATTGGTTTTCCTGAAAGGATCCAGCGAGCTGTGCCTATACGCCTCCTGCACTACATTATTGTGTCTTCACCTTGAGAAATCAGCTCCTGAGGGTGTTTGTTTGCCTCAAATCTGCATGAAAACATGCTGTTTGATTGCAGCAGTAATTACTGTAGCCAGTTTTGCACGACAGCATTTGGCAGATGGAAGGCAGCCAAACATCCGAGGCCGATATCAAACAGAAGAGCTGTGGCAAGGCGCTGCAGGCTAAATCATTAGTGATGGCATTTAGCAGATCTCTTCTGATGAAGAAATGTAAATGAAACCATGGTCATGTAGCGGACTTCACCATCTGCACTGTAGCATGCATTTCCTATGCCTCTTAAAATACATTAGGATGCATAAATCAGTGGAAGTTCAAATCCCAAATTCTTTCGTTTTGCTTCTCCTTTCATGCTGCACCAGTGTTAAACGAGGCAGACTTGCTCATGGCAAAGTGTATCTCTCTGCTGTGTCTATCTGCATCTCAAAGTGTTCCATTCATTTTTCTCTCTTCCTCTGAAAGTTATTTTTAGACTCTTTGCCCTGATTATATAAGTAAAAAAGGTAATATGAGAAATGCACCAGGTTAGAGAGATGTTCAATAAAGAAGAAAGAAAGTAGAGCGGACAATACAATGGTGAGTCTTTGGGAGGACAAAATTATAAGTGGAGTCACTTCTTCTGTACCTCAGCTTTCAGAGACACATTTCCAACCTGCAGGAAAAAGAATAGGGGGGCTTTAATTGAAGTAAAGACAATAGAGTTTGTGGGGAAATTGTCAATGTGCTACGTTGTTACTCCCCAGTTCAGGAGGCCTTTCTGACCTGATGTGCAAAGACATGTCTGGTTTAAGAATTAGGAACAGTGGCTGCTTAAACAGACAGCCTGATCATAATTATGGGAGCTCCTTCATGGCATGAGTAATGTAGGCCAGGACAAAACAAGAAGAATCGGCTGGTGAACGTGACTGGAATCTGCAAAGAGGATGGGTGGAGTAAAAAGGACTGACAGCTTGATACAGCAGGCTGTTGCTCAGCTGTGGGAATGCTTGTGGGTGGGGAAAGGTTCGAATGGAGAGGAGGAAGGGATTATGTAACAGTGTTAAAAACATATGGCTGGTGAGGGGAGGAAACCCCGGATAAATAAGGAAAGGTGAAAGGAGCCAAGACTAGTTCAGGGGATGCTGAACAATGGAGCAAAACAGGACAACAAAATTCATATATTCACTAGTAGTGCTTTTTATATTCCCCAAACCCCCCGTAGGCATGAATGAAGCAGGCTGCGTGTGTATTTTAGCATGACTGAGTTAATTGAACCATGTCACCTCATCAAGCTGCCTCTCTGCTTCCATGCTCAGCTCCAACACAGGCTTAATGTGTTCATTTCATCCCAGTGGTTTCTGCTGGGAGGGCGAATCCCTCGCCCACAGTCAGCAAATACATGGAAGCACGCAAACAGCAGAGCTTACTAGACATTTTTGTAACCCCTGTCTGTCTCTTCACAGTCTCGCTCTCCATCCGGAACGTGTGCTGGTGGCTACAGGACAGGTGGGCAAGGAGCCTTACATCTGCGTCTGGGACTCCTACACCGTGCAGACGGTGTCCATCCTCAAAGACGTGCACACACATGGCATCGCCTGCCTGGCCTTTGACCTGGAGGGACAGGTACAGCCACGGGGCAGCAAAGATCGTTTTGAATGTCAGGATTAAACTGTCCGAGTGTAACATAAAGGCAGTGGTTTCCAGACAGAGCCTAAATTGTTACCAGAAAGGTCCAGACTGAGCTCAGTAGCAGTACTCAAACACAATTAGCTTTTTGCTGCTCACTGGACGGTATGAGGTCCTTAGTGGTGTGGCAATTCCCGCCGTAAGATATAGATATAAATCTGCACCCAGAAACACTCTGCTTTCAGGATTTCACTCGAAAGCCTTGACCTACAGAGCTTGCTATTATTACACTGCGAGTTTTTAACAGCAATTCAAGTTTTCAAGTACAAAAAATACACGTAATTGCCCCGAGGCAATAAATACAGGTTTTTACTCAGACACATTTAGTATTATCTTTACTATTTTTTCAGTTTTCTTTATTTTTTTTATCTAGCCCTGTGCAGACCTGTACTGGATAATGTTTACACACTACTGTCTCCACCTAATCCTCACTTTATATTCTTCTTCTGTATAGAATCAGTAGCTTTCTAACTTTCCATGTCTTTCTTTCCCTTTCTTGAGAGCTTTAAGAGTGGTGTTTTCCATCCTATATTTTTTACAAAGATACTTGGACATGATTCTTTGCTATTTTCCCGCTTGGGTTGTGAGCTGGGGATTTAGATGGAATGTGACAGTGTTTAGCGTCTCTGTTTGCTCTCCACATCTCCCCTTCCTGGATCAGAGGAAGTCAGAGCTGAACTGAACAAAGTCCAGAGGAAGTCAGAACAAGTCAGGCTTGAGACACTTCATGTGGATAATAAATCTATGAGTATGAGTTGCACTTGTGTTTTCAAGTCCAAACAGTTCAAGCAGTAATATCTTTGTCTAATTTTGTTGTTCCAAATTGTCCTGTGGATGAGGCTACATTTTAGATGCAGTTACATGACTGCACAGATCATTTCCACATGAAACAACAATTTATCCTTGTAAAGGCACAGTGAAGCTTGCAGCCACGCCAACATCAGAGTACTGAAGAGCTTCTGCCCTCTATGTTAATTTGCAGATTTATTTTACAGGGTATTTACCAACTCAACTATCCCAATTTGACATGTTAGCATGCCAGTATTTGGCATTTTCCCCTTAATAGTTTACATTTGCAAATGTTTTTGACATGATCCAAACTCTGCTCCAAAGTCCCGCTTTCAGCTATAAAGTCTCAAAAATCTGTAGGTCACTTTTGTACTTTGGGGCGAAATTTTCTTTTCTTTTTCTGCAACAGTAAACAGCACACAGTCCAACCTTTTTCTCATCCATGACAGGTGAGTGTTGTTAGAGTTAGAGAACTTATATCGGGTTTCAGACAAAGTCTGTTGTATGGTGAAAGTGCAGTGAAAAACTGCTGTTGCACAACAGGTTCATGAGCAGAGAGATACTTTCCTCTGAGTCTTAAGTAGAGAAGTTTGACATGAATTGCACATCATTCTTGTTGTTTAGGGAACAGATTTTCATTATTATTTTGACCATTGCTAAAATTATAATTGATTATTGAAGTGATTGAATATTGGGAAAAAAGTAAAATTTTTCAAATAAATCTTCCATCTGAAGTAACTTTAGTTTTACATTAAGCAAGAGAAACACCTATGTGTAAAACAGAAAAAAAAGTGGTCAAAACAGGCTGACACTTGCTTTCATGCATTGGATTTTTTTTTTTTACTGTTGAGAGTATGATTATTTTCATGACAGTTCACCAAAAATAAAAATGCCATGTATCCAGTGGACCCCTAAGTCATTAAAGGTTGTCCTCTGCAGGACAACTAAATCTAAATTTCTAGAAATTTTACGGAAAACCATCCACTAGCCGTCCATTTGAATCAGTTGATAGAAACCCCTCAGAGCAATGCCTCAACCATCATCCACATGGGTTCACTCGGTTTCACCGCTTCGCTTGTCATCAGCAGAGACTTTCAGATACAAGTTAAAGCTTTGTAGAAACCCCCTCACCAGACAATTCTATGAATAGCTGAGCATTGATTCTGCTGCAGATCAAAGAGGGCATCTTTAAACATGCAAAGCAAGCTGCTGAGCAGAGAAGGATTTTCATGATTTTCATGTTGCTCTCTTCCCTTCTGCTCCACTGCTGCTGATGCTGCCTACTCAGTCAGCTATAGGTGGCTCCTCCAGCAAAAGCACTCAAATGTGCTCACTGGAAGTGCCAGGGGCTGGGCAACTGTTCTCTTCTGCACTGTAGTCATTATCAGTCTTTCATTGAGGCCTGCCATGCTGCAGTGGCCTTGGCTGGGTTTGCAGTCCTGAATGTAAGAAAGCAGATTCTGCTCCATTTCTTATGCATTTTTCTTTGCTCTCCTTGCAGTGTTTGGTGTCTGTTGGCTTGGACTCAAAAAATACAATCTGTGTGTGGGACTGGAGGAGAGGGAAGGTTCTGGCAGCAGCTCCTGGCCATACAGACAGGGTAAAGACTTTCTTCATCCCCTGTCTTTGTCACAAGCTCTGCATCGACCTCCTCAATTAGCTATAAACCCAGAATGGAGCGCAGCCCAATGGGGACATAAACAACTTAGACCTGATTGATTGTGAGCTTTCCAGATCCGTCTGAGAGGGTGCTCGGCTAATGAAAAGGAATTTTAAAAAGATGAAATACGGGCAACTGTTGTTTTCTAATTCCGCCCACACATGGGCAGAACAAAAACAAGCCCTTTTTGGTTCATCCTCCCACAACCAATTCTATAGGCTTTAAGCGTATTGTCATGCTGTTGTGTTGTGTTCCAGTTCCAATGCTAGTTTCTAATGAGTTCTATGTTTTCCTGTACAGATATTCGACATTTCATGGGATTTGTACCAGCCCAGCAAGCTTGTCAGCTGTGGTGTCAAACACATCAAGGTACTGCCGTTTTCCGGTCATTTTTACATGCTGTGATTTCTGGTCCATCACAAGACACCAAAAGTTCTTGGGCTTCATTTGCATAACATCTGAAAACAGATTAAGATTTTAGAAAAATTTAAAGAAACTGGTGGCTGTGTCTTATTTTTCTGCCTTTTCTCACCACTTTGTCTTCAGAGTGGAATCAAAGTCCTGAAATAGATTTATGCAAATTCACTTTATTCCAGGGTCTGTGGTTATTAGACACTTAGCATAAGTAGGACAGGCAATGACTCAGACTCTCCTCAAATTTATCGTAATCTGCAGTGCAGAGAGAAAAAATGTTCTCTTTTCATGAGGGACCATGACCGGGCCTCCGCCTTTCAGATTTTTTCATTCAGCTTTTGAAAACCCCTCTACGATGCAAACTGCAGCTGTGGCCACTCTCTTTTCCGGCCCATATCACTCCGCTACACAAAAGTGGTCCACATAAATCGTCAATGAGATAATGCATGGTGTCCTCACAAGTCCTCCCTTGGGATATGTAGCTCTACTCAGGGCCACAGAGGATTATTTCCAAAACATTGGGAAAAGAATGAATCGTACTCGGATTGGAAATGTGCCTCCTGGCTCTGTGAGGCTACACAGAGTAGCATGCTCACACGTGTGTGATGCAAGGAGGGAGGACTACTGTACTTATTTCTTAGTGGTCTGACCTATCACTGATGACTCCCTTCTCTCAATCCAGCTTGACCTGCCTCTCCTCTCGTAGTAATTCCCAACCCTGAACTTTTCCCCCACTGCCACAGCGCAGAAATCCCCGCACCCCACCCCCAGTCCCTGCTGAATCCCTGAGTCGCTCTCCTCTTCTTTCAATCCCCTTTTCATCCATTCTGGTTTTGTGATGCCAAGGCAATCCAGCAGTTGTCCCACATAATTCCCCAGCCTTCACCCCACAGACCATGTGATATCTGCTCCCTCGGCCTGTGCTCGCTCAGCGATTATAGCACTCAGAGCATGCAGGAGATTTAGCCCCAGTAATCCACTCACTACCAGGCTGAGGAAAACACAACCTTTATGACCAGGACACTTGCTTCCTCGCCCAGATCCTCATAACTGCTTGTGTTTTGGTTTAGTGGTGACAAATGAGACCTTTGTTTTACCCAACACACACACACAACCATCTCTACATTATCTCCGTGTGTCTTACTAATAATTGAAAGGCACTACCATTAGCCGTGTTAATGGCAAGTCATCCAAATTGTAAGGTCTGATCATTTATTATTAAAGCTGCTCATTTTCATCTGTCATTTAGAAAACAAAATGTCAATGTTCAACCACAGGTTGAGACATTTTTGGTTGAATGTAGGCTGGATGTTAATTTATAACAAAGATTGTTATTACTCTACTATAAGGGCAAAAATGCTAATTTAGCCTAATTTAAAAATAAACTGAGGCGGACACAAGATCTTGAGGGATAAGCTGTTATCCCCATCCTGTCTTATTCAGTGTGTGTTCAGATAAGGAAAGAGGCTTACGCTGACTTTCGGCTACCTTTTGCTTTGGAACTTTAAGTTGAATTTTCAACTATTATAAACATATTCTTTCATGTAATTGACAGCCCAATTAAATTATCTGGAAGTGAACATGAATTAAGTCATTAAGTGCTTGTTCATTTGCATATTAATCCAGTGCTGATGCAATTTCAGAGTGTGATTCATGGCTGTAATATTGTATCTTCAGCTCAGTTGAATTCTCAGTACTTGTTACTCTGTTGCTGATGGTGAAACAAGTCTGAATGTGTTAGTGAACATTTGCCCACTGAGGCCCGGCTTTAACTTGTGGTCCCCGTCAAAGCATTTTGATACCATCACTCTGTTTCGACAAAGTCCCAGTATTATTCCACAAGCTGCATCTGGCAAAATCGTCATCCAGGAAAGTTAAAGGTGGTGTTTGTGCTGTCACTTTGAGCCTATTAGACCTACAATTCACAGCCTCCTAACATGCATCACACAGACAGCCCCGTGCATCAATTAGGGTCCTTCAAAATTCTAGAGTTTTCAAGAAAACCACCAAACCGTTGAAGTTTACTGGTGCTGCAGTAACCGTCTGATTCATTCAGGGTCAGTGGTTCTTGGTGTCTCTGCGCAGGGGCTGATGTGTTACAGCACTGTGTGTGATAATTACATTTCAAAAGTCTTTGAGTTATGATAAAGGTTACTGAGCTAATAACCACTTATCCCGTGTCATTGCCACTGTGTCAGGTATTGTCAAGTGAATGTCGAAAGAATGAAGAAGGTTATTTAGGGAAAGTGGCTCTTCTAACCAAGGTTTCCTCCTTCACTCGGGGGCGTGCATGCCTTTTCTTTCCTGCTCCGAGCCTCATCATAAACCCCTCCAGCATCCCCATCTCTCCTCAGTAATTCAACAGCGAACGGATTAGCCAGTGCTCATGTCTCGCTGCCTTATCACTTGTGGGCAGGGAAGGCAGTGCAGTCATGCTGCATCTATCCCCACTGTTACAGCAGAAAATCCCCAGGCAGCAAACCTGCACGTGACTCACGTCCACCTTTAGGTCAACCACCACAAAAAAGTCTAGCCTGATCTTACATTTTTGACCTTGAGTGCTGTTCCCACTTGCAAGCTCACATATAACATATAAACACTCACTAAACGAGGAGCTGTGGATTAGATAAGCTCTGTCAAGGTATGCGCAAGCCTTTAGATGGCAGGGCTGTATCTGAGTTGGCGATGCCTGTCTCTGATAATCGACCCCTCCTGTTAGCACGCTGTAGCTCGATCAGCCAAAGCGATCGACATCAGTGAGGGTGTGACATGCTGTTGCTGTCAAGGATCTCATTTGTTCATTTTGCTAATACCTTCAAGCTGCTTGTCAAAAAACGAAAACATCCACATATATTTACACCGGGGCGTAAATTTAATCATATTTCTGCATCACGAGGAGATAAATCCCCTGCAGGTACAAAATGTACAAACATAACTGCCATTTTCCTGGTGCTTCTCGGTGATGAATGTGTCTCAGTTTTACGTGCAGACGGCTCTGTGTTTCAGTATTCGAGACGCCTTCCCTGAGCTTCATCCCTGTGATCTCATCTCCATGCAGACAGAGTGTCTCTCTTCTCCCGTGTTAGATGGATTTAGCCCTCAGACGAAGCCGTGTCCATGCATCCCAATGACCTTGTTCATAAATAATGAGCCTGCGTGTATGCATCTGCGTCTGTGCACGCTGATCAGGTTGTTGCAGCACTGACCCCCAGCAACAGCTCTTAGTGTCACTTATCCTGGAAAGGAGCATTTTAATCTGGTTTAACTTTGCATTCTGTCAAGCTCCTTGTCAAATATTTCTAATTATGTTTGTGTGAGTGTCAAACCAAACATGTGCTCATTTGTTTACTCTTGCTTGTTTCAGAATTCTGTTTGTAATTGCCAGTTTGCTTTTTTAGGACAGGATTACTCAGGGGATTATTAGCCACAACGCTCTTTCACAATTTCTGTCTGTGTTTGTAGTTTTGGAGCTTATGCGGTAATGCTCTCACACCCAAACGCGGAGTTTTTGGCAAAACTGGGGATCTCCAAACCATCCTCTGCCTTGCCTGCGCCAAGGATGAAGTCACATATTCAGGTGCCTTGAATGGTGACATATATGTTTGGAAGGGGATCAACCTGATGAGGACGGTTCAAGGAGCTCATGGGGTATGTTGATATCTTAAAATACTGTATATTGATGTGCTCTGTAAGTCTGCCTGCTTTTGCTGTCATGTATGTATAAGGATAAAGATTTATATATATAGAGAGAGAGATATAGAGATAAAATACCTCTGCAGGTTAAGAGCCAGCATACTTGCTTCATTTGATTCTGCTCGGTAGAGAAGGATCAGCCTTTTGCTCCACAGGATTAAATGATATCTATGGGATCAACAGCTGGGTTAGGGGGTAGGCGAATGGGGGAAGGGATAATAACTACAGTACATGTTCATTGCTGCTTTTTGTATCGCCAAATGTTTCTGATCCCTCAACAAGGGGCCCGCTTCCGCATCCTGCACCTTTAAGTTAATGAGACCCCCAATAGAGCTTTCCAACACTTGTGAAGCTTATATGACAACTGCTCTCAAAGAGGCTGGTTTGTTAAGCAAATGGCCGGCTGAGCTGCAGCACTGCGCGGGTTCTAGCTGGGACTGGTTCTGTCGCTGCGCATTTACTGTGCAGTTCCTCACTGACAGCCTGTCATTTCCTCCAGTCAGGAATTTTCAGCATGAATGCTTGTGAAGAGGGCTTTGCGACCGGAGGGCGGGATGGCTGCGTCCGGCTGTGGGATCTCAACTTCAAACCAATTACTGTCATTGATCTCAGGGAAACAGACCAAGGATATAAAGGTGACTGCTCCCCTTCTTCCCTCTATTAAGAGTACAGAGAAGCTGAAGGCAAGCCGTATTCTCCTGAGACACTGAAAGAGTTGTATAATGCCTCAGAACAAACTTTGTTGGATAAAAAAAGCAGCTCTCTTTACCTTTTATGCTGACCTCACTAATATTTTCCTTCTTGTCATCCATTTCTCCCATCTCCTTTATTTATAATCTTCAACCTAACAGTAGCTAGAGGTGACAATAGCCGAGGTGGGTAATGTCATTGAGGGCGGAGTTAACAACCATGTCAGTCTGTTTGTAACAGTCCCCATGCTGTTCTTCTCTTCCTCTTGTCGTTAGTAAGTCCAAGCTCTGCTGCAACTTTTGCATCATATGCAGGTGTCACCTTCATTCAGAGTCTTGTGCCACAGGCAAAGCATATTGTTATTTTCCCATGTTGTGAAAGAAGCAGTAAAGCAAAATAAATCTAATCAACGTTGTATATGGACAGCCCTACCAAAGTAACTTTACTTGTTCCAAGCATCATGGGGAACTAGTCACATGTCCTGTGGCAGTATTATCTGTATCACTGTCTTCTGTTTCTTCATCATATCCCAGACTGACTTCATGATGTTGAGATAAAAAATCTATAGGAAGACTTGATGTTCCTTTTATCACCCTACACAGTTCTGGTCATATGTTTGAAGTTCTTGTAGTTTTGTTTTGTGCGTTTTGCATGATGGATAAGAACTCAAACATCCGAAGAGGCCCAATCAAACTTTTGCACAGCACTGTGTGGGTACAGCACGTGCATCCTGCATTCTACTCTTGCAATATTACCCAGATTCAGTTGGCTTCAAAACCTGTGCAGTCCTAGCCTGCAGCTGGCTATTGTCACCTCCTGTCCTTCTTATCCCTGCTATGTCTCCTCCAGTGGCAGTAAAAGCAGCACACATCTGTGTCATGTTGGCAAGATTTATTTGTTTTGGCTCCATTTTTAGATTTTGTCGGAAATTTTGAGTGTGTTTGTTTGGATTAGGGCTGTCTGTGCGCAGCGTGTGCTGGCGAGGGGATCACATCCTAGTGGGAACGCAGGACAGTGAGATCTTCGAGGTGGTGGTCCATGATCGCAACAAGCCCTTCCTCATCATGCAGGGCCACTGTGAGGGTGAGCTGTGGGCACTGGCGGTGCACCCCACCAAGCCCCTGGCCATGACGGGAAGTGATGACCGCTCAGTCAGGTGAGGCTTCAGTCTGGGGTCGTTTAGTCCTGATACTTCATCCATCACAAATGACTAGATAAATGAACAGAGTCATGCAATGTGTGTTTCTGCTCTATTATGCAACCGTATTTCAAAACATTGCAAAGAAAAATAAAGATAAATACTGTAACTAAATAAGTTTATCACTCAGTTGTTAGAAAGTAAATAAATGTAAATGGTGTGAACATAAATATATGTAAAACTATTTAAATGACTTATTACAAGAGTCAATTGAATCAGTTTTTGATTTTTTTTTAACAGTTTAATTCCTTCTCACTAATCTACTTAATCAAAATATGGAGTACAAATCAGGCAAAGGTCTAAATATATATTTTCAAAATAATGCTTCTAAAAAAACTGGGCTGCATGTTTTATTTTCTCTTCAATTATTTTTCAATGGTTGTTTTTTAATGAATCAAATAATGAATAAGTTGTTATTTGGAAAGCGAGAGAAACCAAAAATATTGTTAAGTGTTTTTTACTGCCGCTTCTCTGACAGTTTCGGCCTGCAATTCTGTCACGGCTCCTCTTCATTTTTCCTACTTTTCTGTGTGTGAAGGATATGGAGCCTTATAGATCATGCGCTGATAGCTCGCTGCAACATGGAGGAGCCAATCCGCTGTGCAGCCGTAAGCACTGATGGTATTCACCTGGCACTGGGGATGAAGGATGGCTCATTCACCGTTCTAAGAGTTAGGTGGGTCAAGCTATTCAAAAACCGAGAGGGGATGTTTTGGTCCTAAGTGAACGTGCAGTGAAATGGAGTGCTCCTTTACCTGGCATCCATTTTAGCTCTTCATTCATTTTTCCTTTCAGAGACATGACAGAGGTGGTCCACATTAAGGACAGGAAGGAGGCCATTCATGAGCTGAAGTACTCCCCTGACGGGGCACACCTGGCTGTTGGCTCTAATGATAACTCGGTGGACATCTATGGAGTAGTACAGCGGTACAAGAAAGTGGGCGAGTGCATTGGCTCCACAAGCTTCATTACACACATGGACTGGTCCACAGACAGCAAATACCTCCAGACCAATGACGGCAGTGGCAGGAGGCTCTTCTACCGGATGCCAAGTAGGTGTAAAAACATCCACTGCTCTGTCAGCCGATGATTTTTGCTTCTTGTATTCAGTGGAAGACGAGCTGCTTTGTGTCTTTTGTTGAGGTGGGAAGGAGGTGACCAACAGGGAGGAGCTGAAGCTAGTTCAGTGGGCTTCATGGACATGTGTGTTGGGCCCTGAGGTTAATGGAATATGGCCCAAATACTCGGACATAAATGACATCAACTCTGTCGACGCAAACTTTAACAATCAAGTCTTGGTCACTGCTGACGACTATGGATTAGTCAAACTGATGCGATATCCATGTATAAAAAAGGGTAATTATTTATCTTTTTTTTTTTTTTTAGCATTTTCAAAGGATTCTGCATTGTTTGATTGATGGAATTCTTCTTGATTTCAGGAGCAAAATTTAAAAAGTATCTGGGTCATTCAGCTCACATTACTAATGCTAGATGGTCCCATGACTACCAGTGGGTCATAACCATCGGCGGTGCAGATCACTCAGTGTTCCAGTGGAAGTTTGTTCCTGAAAGAAAGTCGAAAGAGGCGCTGCATATAGCACCACAAGGTGAGATGGTCTAATCTTTGTGCTCATCTTTGTAATATCTAATATTTGTAATATGTTAGATTTGACCTCTGATCAATTGATTTACGTTTATGGCAGAGTTCCATTACTGATATAGCTTATTTCACAAAATCAGGGCCGGCTGCCAACAAGTCAGTAAATAAAGCTGATAGGAATTTTTAATGTATCCCCATTGTCTTGTTGGAGAGACATTGGGGACTTTTTTGCGTAGCCAAATATATTCTAATTTCTATAGCATTTTCTTCCCCTTTCCTTTAATAAGATAAGTGACAAATGTCGCTCATTTGAGGATCTGCTCAAGATGAACCTCTGTGAGTGCTAAGTCTGAACTGTAACATGTGAAACTGTTATACTCACATGCAGCAAAATAGTATATATTTTTCTGATTGAAATATGTCGAACAATTTTCGAATCCTGAGCAATCGATTATCAGACCTTTCTCCTCCAAAAAGGATACCGATACAATTAGCTCTCTCAGCTGCATCAAATAAATGTGGAGTACTTACAGGTATCTATTTGAATTAATATTGTGCTCTAACTCTCAGGAAATTGATGCATTTCTGAAACTATTGTCATTATTACTCTGTAATTATTCTAACATTAGAATATCTGTCTCCGTCACATTATCTATGCTAATAAAACCTATTAGAAGAGAGAATGCGCCATCGTATATTTATTACCTATAATAGCTTTTGTGACTGGCTCGTTGTTACATAATGTGCACTCTGTACCTGCTCGCCTCATGAACTTGATGTGTTTAAGCACCAGAGAGAAATGTACCAGATTTCTCCCCTCACATTCTTTTGAACAAACTATCATTCCTACAAAGTGCTAGAAAAGAACAGCCATCACATTAATTAACGCTAAACCGATAAATGGGAATGGAGCTTGGAAAGTATAATTGCAGCGTCATATCCAAGTCATAATTTTTCAAGAGACAGAGTGCAGATGTGCTCTCTGAAATTACACCACATACTAACTGCCTTTCCTTTTAATTTTCCAAATGGATTTTGTGAGTGGTTGCCTGAAGCTTCCAGCTTATTACCTCGTCTTGGCTCCTTTGTCCTGTGCTGCATCAGCATTTTTGTAAATTTGTCTTGAGCGTTGTCACTGTGCAGCATGACAACCAAATAGATAGAAGAAGTGTACTATTATTATAGTATTTTTACAGGAGCAATCCTCACTCCCACAGAGACTGGATGCAGTGTTTTGTTTTTTAACTGTGATCTCAGAGGCGTATATGTCTGATTAAGAGCAAGAGGAGGATTTTAACTGGTGAGCTGTGACATAATCTAATTTCTGCCTTCAGAGACCTTGGCAGATTCTCACAGTGAAGAATCAGATTCCGACCAGTCAGATGTGCCAGAAATGGACTCAGAAATTGAGCAGGAGACACAGCTCACGTATAGACGGCAGGTTTGTGATCCAATCAAACAGGTTTTTGCAATCACACAGTTTTTTATCCTGCTGCATTACATGTTTTTAAACATGCATGCAGGTTTATAAAGAAGATCTACCTCAGCTCAAAGAGCAGTGTAAAGAGAAGCATCGAGCTATGGCCACGAAGAAGAGAGAACGGGCACCAGGCAGTGGGATCAAGCTTCATTTCATCCATGGGTATATGAGCTTAATGAAATAAGTGAAAAGTTCTCTCACATTTATTTTAATCCAAGCCTCAACATTCAAAAACATTATATCCTCCGATGTAATCTTTTCAGCTATAGGGGTTACGACTGCAGGAGCAACCTGTTTTACACCCAGACAGGGGAGATTGTCTACCACGTTGCTGCTGTTGGGGTTGTATACAACAGACAACAAAATACTCAGCGTTTCTACATGGGCCACGATGATGACATCCTCTGTCTGGCAATCCACCCCCTGAAGGACTTTGTGGCAACAGGCCAGGTAGCTGCCAAGACTCAAGGTTTCCGGGGGCATCAAAAATGTTTAGGAGTGGATGGTTTTACTTACTAGGTGCTGTGAAAAATCTCTTTGTCTCTTCAGGTTGGCAGAGATTCATCAGTCCACATATGGGACACAGAAGCGTTAAAACCTCTGTCTGTGTTGAAAGGTTTTCACCAGCTTGGAGTGTGCGCTTTGGACTTTTCAGGTATCGCACCCAGCCAAGGCAGAACATACAAATGACTTGTATCAAACATGAAAGAAACAGGTAAATTCACAAGACGGCCAATTTAGAGGCGGCTCAGAAAAATCTGTCTCTGCTGTCTGCAGCAGGCTGACAGCTTCCAGGTAAAAGCCATTCATCTCCCCTTCCTTAATTGGCCCCAAAGAGAAGCATGGCAGTGATATGTGTTTCAGTGTCAGTAATTCACCTGCTACAGATCAAGCTGAGCAGGACGCTTTGATGTTTTAATGAGAGCAGAACTTCTCTGAAGCGAAGCATCGACCAGCTTTCTCTATGCTGTGCTGAATGATTTTTTCCCTGTTCAGCGGATGGCAAAAGGCTTGCGTCGGTTGGCCTGGACGACAATCACACCATTGTGCTGTGGGACTGGAGAAAGGGGGAGAAGCTCTCGGCCATGCGGTTAGTTTACTACGTTTCTATTATAGTCTTGACACCGCAGCAGTTCGGCCTCTCAGCACACAGCAGCTGCCACCCACGCATCCGGACGGCTTTGACTGGCCATCCTGTTAACTCCTGAGATTTTCTAAGCACTTCCAGTTTCATATTGGACATTTATTGATGAGAGCTAAAGTGAGCCACTTTGCAGAGAAAGGCTGATTGATGGAGGAGTGGAAAGAAAGGGAATTACTTTACTCTCTGTGTTAAAGGGCTCCCTTCTGAGCAAAAATAGGCTCTGCCTGTGTTGGAATGGTTTCAGGAGGAGTTTGCCTCAGGGTCTTGGCTGTGAATCAATAGTTAAAGAGAATCATTTTGAATCATCTACCAGGTTCTTAAACTGCTGGGTCTGGGCTACTTGACATGTCAGATTTTTTTTTTTTTTACTGTCAGGAAACATTTAGAAATAGGTTCTAAAATCAATCAAGTCAGTGTAAAGGATGACTACACCTCAGATTAAGGTCTAAACATCTGACTGACTTCCTGTCCCACTTTAAACACCGGATGTAAATAATACATGTGGCAAGATATGGGACACACTAACGAGCCCGTAAATTAAAAGCACCTGGATTACTTTACCAGACTTTAATTATGAAATTCTTCAAAGCAAATGAAGCTGCAACAATGCTTGCCGAAACAAAAATATAATCAGCTAAGCCGCGGAGCTAACTAATTGTTTAAATTTCTCAAAGTTGTTTTGTTTTTGTTGATGCTCGGTTGCTCAGCTTAAAATCCCCCTTTGGCAGCTTTGGAGCCATGTGCAGGTTATGTGTGTGAGTGGCTCATTGCAGCTCAGGGACAGCTTGGGGCGGCTCTAATCTCCTTTGCAGACCCTGGTGGGCTGTGCTTTGAGGTGGGCAGAGGGAGATCGGGCCTGACAAATCCAGCTCATCTCTAGTTGGTTGAAGTTGGGTGGGTATATTACTAGACGAGCCTGAGGGGGGTGCAAATCTGCATAGTTGTTATGGATATCTAAACCATGGACGAAGATGGAGAAAGCGCAAGTGTGGAAGTTTACTATATAAAACTACCCTGAAGGAAAACTGAGACCCTTAAATGTCTAAACCATTAGCTGAATTGTTAAATGACATCCTTTTATTGTTGCAGGTTTTCTGTTTTGGAATAAAACCTAATTAGAAAAAGAAGATTCTTAGTTTTTCTTTTTTTTTTATTGATAACACCATTTTCTAATAATCTCAGCTCCACAAACCTCAAAATTGTCCAACTTACAATCAAAATGTCACATGAATTATTATTATTTTGGTGTTTTCAAATGTTCTGTGATGTGATCCTTGTTTTTCAGGGGAAGCAAGGACAAGATATTTGTTGTTAAGATAAACCCTTACCTGCCTGACAAGCTCATCACTGCTGGTGTGAAACATATGAAGTTTTGGCACAAAGCCGGTGAGGCCTCTGCTTTTATATTGCCTGGCTCTAACAAGCAGAACACTGGCTGGGCTGTGACACATCTCAGGGTGTACTCGCTGTCTGCTTCTCTTTCAGGTGGTGGTCTAATTGGGCGCAAGGGGAACATGGGGAAGACAGAGACTATGATGTGTGCTGTGTATGGCTGGTCAGAGGAGATGGTGTTTTCAGGGACTTGTACTGGGGACATTTGCATCTGGAGGGACATGTTCCTGATGAAAACCGTCAAAGCCCATGACGGCCCTGTGTTTAGCATGCATGCTCTAGAAAAGGCAAGTCACAGAGCCAGAAGGAGAGATTTTGTTTTCTTCTTTCCATGAGTGTAGATTTGAATCATTTCCCTAATGATAATGCCTGTCTCAGAATTTGAATTTCATGAACTGGTGTTTAGAGCCATCCTTTTATTGTGAGTGGGGTGTTACTGCATTTGCTCAGACAGTGGCTCGGTCTAACAGATAATTACAGCTTTTCTTGTGACAACGTTTTCCTCCTGTAGGGATTTGTGACCGGAGGAAAAGATGGTATTGTAGCTCTGTGGGATGATACATTTGAGAGATGCCTCAAAACCTACGCCATCAAGAGAGCAGTTCTAGCTCCAGGATCTAAAGGTAGAAGTCCATGGATCCACATGATTCTCTGTATATAACAATAATGACTTCATTGTAACATTTAATGCCTTTTGCTGAAATGAAACGTGTCTGAATTTTGCAGGGCTGCTCCTGGAGGACAATCCCTCAATTCGTGCCATATCTCTTGGCCATGGCCACATCCTGGTGGGGACTAAGAATGGCGAAATTCTTGAGGTGGATAAGAGTGGGCCCATCACTCTGCTGGTCCAGGTAGGAGGAACAAATTATGATACACATCTGCTAATACACTGTGTGCTGAATGTCATTTGAATTGGGCAGCTCATCTCAAGCAGGTTCAAAGTGTCATACTTTAAGAATTTTCACAAAGCCTTTAGTCCTTGGTGTTGCTTTGAGATACAATTTTACTGTAGATTACGTTGCACTTTGAATTATCTGGTCAAAGTATCCTTAAATGCACCAAAAAGGTGACAAAAAGCTGCTGTCGCGCCTTTCTCATATGAAGCCGATCTGTTTCACTATTTTTTAGCATTGTGTAAAAATTAATTAACAGCAGAGGTTATTTGGCAGGTAAACTGATCTAATAACTGTTGCTGTGCCAGAAAGAAAGGGGAACGTTTACCAGAGACACTGTGTGTGTGAAATATTCATGGTGGCAAAAATTAAACCTGATAGCCAAACAGAATGTAGCACTTTGTAAATCACTCAGCAGCCGGAGATGTGTATCTATTGGGTGGTTCACAGGATTAATCTTACAACCTAAGCTGTGCAGATTTACCGAGGGAATGGTCATAAACACTGATGAATTACTGCCACTTAATGGGGAAATTGTTAATTTAGTTAAGTGGTTCCTCAATTTCTCCAACCCTCCTTTGATATTGGGCAAGCAGAATAAAGTATTGATTGCCCTTTTGCTCCATGTTCTGTTGGGTGAAAGCAATTTATGAGAGACCAGTCAAATGTTGTTTAGACTGGGTTTTTTTCTTTAAATATCTAACAAGAGAACAAGAAATCATGTTGAATGAATAATCACTACATTTGTTTACCTTGTAAAGCAGGAGTACTAAAGTCTATCATGTGTAAAAAAAAAAGTTGAACATGCACAAGTGTACAAAATGACAGGCTGTTTACATGTATAGCAACTGTATATTAAATATTTATGCTTTTCTATATGTCTGCAGGGTCATATGGAGGGTGAAGTATGGGGCCTGGCCACTCATCCCCATCTCCCTCTATGTGCCACCGTCAGTGATGACAAAACCCTGCGCATATGGGACCTGTCACCCAGCCACTGCATGTTGGCTGTACGCAAGCTCAGGAAAGGTGAGTCACGGCTACAGGCCAGCGTATTTTCTGCCAGTAGAAAGTGTGTTGGTTTCTGGGATTTAACAGATACCTTTTTCTACACAGGTGGGCGTTGCTGCTGCTTTTCCCCTGATGGAAAAGCCTTAGCGGTTGGCCTGAACGACGGCAGCTTCCTCATTGTGAATGCAGACACCCTGGAGGACCTGGTGTCCTTCCACCACCGCAAGGACATCATTTCAGATATCAAGTTCTCTCCAGGTCTGTGGTTCAACTCCACCAATTCAGAACTCCTCTGAGATGTAAACAGACCTCTGAAGTCCCTGTTCCTTCCAAACGATTTCGGGTTACAGTATGTTAAAAAACTGTGCTGAATTTCAGCAGGTATATATATTTCCCTCCCACTGTGAGTCTGATGGAGATAGCTGCAGGCCTGACCTAAATTGATGGCATTCTCTAATAAGGCCAAACAGAGAAATAGTATGAGAGAAATGAGAAACAAGGTGGGGGGTTCAAAGACGGAGCCAAAAGCTAAAGGCTGTTGGCCCCGGATACTTAATCTTAATGTACAGTGGGAGGGATCCAGTTTCTCCACCCAACACCCATGAACACCTGTCATCCCTGAAAGAAAGTTAAAGTCTTCTTGCAGAAAATAACTTTTGGTTTTGCTCAGATTTGTTAGATTCAAGGGATTGCATATTTCCCTTCTGTACTATTAGATGTCATTTTCATTAGGCTGCATTATATTGTAAATGTAAATGCCAATGAAGGGTAAGTTCATCAAGTTGATTGATATACTCCTCTTTGTTCTGCTTCTGACGTGGCAGAAAATACAGGGGATCACTTGAGTCATTGAGTTTTAATTCATCCAAAGGCGTCTGAAGATGTGTTGTAGAATAACTAACTGATGCTTTATCCTCTTTTGTTGGCTTAGGAGCTGGCAAGTACCTCGCAGTGGCCTCAGGAGACAGTTTTGTGGATATTTACAATGTAATGAGCAGCAAACGGGTGGGAGTGTGCAAAGGATGCCTCAATTACATCAGTCATCTGGACTGGGACAAGAGGGGTAAACCTGCTTCTTTAAGTACAATTATTTTTCATGGCTTTGTTTATTAAGGAAATACGAACAGGCGCAAAATATTTTTCCACCACGCCAAAACCCCCCCGGGCTGCTTCATTCACAGGAAAACTACTCCAAGTCAACACGGCGGCGAAAGAACAGTTTTTTTTCGAAGCTCCGCGTGGGAAGAGACAGACCATCCCAGCCTCAGAGGTAAGCTGGGAGAAAAATTACAAGAGGAGCCGCCGTTGTGGCGGCACTGGCCCACATTTTCCCCTGGAGATAAGAGCAGACTCAGGGAAGGGCAGTGAAGCATTAACACGGCCCACTTTTCACCAGTATCATTCTAATTTGGGCAGTGGAAGTGGGATAGTGTTTACTGCCTTCTTCAATACATTATGACATTCAGGTATCTTGCAAAGCACAAAGAGGGGAAGAACATTTAGAAAATGAGGGTCAGAATTGATGGATAATGTTAGGTTAAGTTTCACATGTTTTCATCATAGTATTGTATCATATTGGTTGTGGTTAGGTTTGTTTAACGCTTAATGTTTTTAATTTAAACAAGTGCATAAATGGCACCGTGAATGGATCTTTACTTTATGACTTGGTTCAGGTGGAGAAGATTGACTGGACCACATGGACATGTGTACTTGGGACATCCATTGAGGGCGTTTGGCCTGTGATTAGCGAGGTCACTGAGGTGACCTCTGCCTGCCTTAGTAATGACAGGAGAGTGCTAGCAACAGGTGATGACCTCGGATACATCAAGCTCTTCAGATATCCTGTTAAGGTACATTTTTCATAATAATGTCTCTCTGCTCTTGACTAAGAACTCTGATATTTGTTTTAAATCAGTATTATTATCACAGAATTGTGTGTTAATTGATGTTGTTCTTCCTCTTCAGGGAAAATATGCAAAGTTCAAACGCTACGTGGCCCACAGCACGCATGTCACCAATGTGCGGTGGACTCACGACGACAGCCTCTTGGTGACAGTGGGCGGGAGTGACACGTGCCTCATGATCTGGACCCACGAGTCGGAGAGTCTTCGGGATTTCAAACTGTGTGACAGCGAGGAGTCGGACATTGAAAGCGAAGATGATGGAGGCGAGAATTGTGCAGTTCGTTCAGGGTTTTACGCATCAGAACAATCAGTTGGGACATGAAAATAATCACCTCTGTCATTCACTAGGCTATGACAGTGACGTGACGAGGGAGAATGAGATCAACTACACCATCAAGGCCTTATCTACCAACATGCGACCAATGACAGGAGTGAAGCCCCACCTTCAACTAAAGGAGCCCTCCGTCGATGAAAGGTATGTATGGTCTAAACTGTGCAGCATCTTCCCAGCATCTTAGAGGGATGATCCTGAGCTGTATTCATTAACACCAGTGTGTGTCCAGAAGAAAAGGCCAACTCTGTCTTCCGCAGACAACTTTTCTTCTCCTGCGTGAAAGTCTGCCCTTTTGCTGCTCTTTTGAAATAATTCCACCTTTTCTGCTCTTCTTGTTTCTTTAAATGGCTGTCCATGTCTTCTAATCCTGCTCTTATATTCCATATGAAGACAAGGGGTGGTGAGGTGAGTTTTTGTTGTCATGCTGATTTTGCTGAGGATAGTATAGACATACAGTAAATAAAAAGTCATGTAGTAACAACAAAAGGCTCAGTCATATTTGTAAAGATTGGCTCTAAAGATGAGGTGCAGTGTACCATGTGACTGCCATAATTATTGAGTGACCATATTGGACATATGATGGGAATGAATTAATCCTCCTTATAAAAACAGAGTATTAACTTGCAGTTTTTACGCAAATACCAGATGTCTCAGAAGTTTTTTCATGAAAGCCTGCAGGTTGAGATTCTTTTTCTGTGTTTTGACTGGAAGGATAGATTGGGCAAAATATTCAAGCAGATCTTGGATTTGATTTATTTGATATCTACTTAAATATTTGGCACAATGACTTTGGAATGATTTGCCTTGAAGGTTGTTTTTTTTATTATTGTGAACAACTGAAGGAAAATGGTGTCACCGAAGAGAATGAACCCCATGTCTCGGAGCAAATTAAATTAACATTTATACACAATATTAGTTCTTTTTCTGCATTTTTCACTGTCATAATACATCTTGTCTGTCTTAGACACTTTCTGTGTTTCAAAGTGATTGATATCCATATTATGTATTTTCTTTTTTTAACTGATGCAATCAGTCGCACTGAATCTTCTGGGCAGCAGTTGTCATAGAAATGGACCGGTTGCCGTGGTTACGGAGTGGTGCTGGCTAGTATCTTACTGTATGTCCTCAGTGGCCGAGGTCTCGAATTCCGTGTGTCTACGTCAAAGAGCTGTGAGTGTTTTGGGATTTTTTTTTATTTTTTATCTCTCATTCTTGTTTTTTTCCTTTGTTCTTGCTGCCTTGAAGAGGGTCGAGGTAAGTTTTTTTCTTCTGTCGGTATTCTGAATTTTAAGGTTTCTCACACATATTGAAATTGATTGAATTTCACATAATGCTGCAACTGTTGAAAAAGTGTGTTACTCAATACACTCTTATTCACAATTGCTTTCCTTACATTGTGTTGTCAACCAAAAAGTAATGGTGGACATATTCCTGAAGCCACAAAAAGCTGGGTTTTGTAATGTGAGTTTGCCAGATTCATTTTAAATGTGAGCTCAGATTTAGTTTTTCAACCGTTAGTGGATTTGGATTTAATTTTTTTGACATTTCATCAATATGTTGAGTAAAAATATGGATTTGCTGAGAATGAATATATCACCTCATCCTTGCTCGTACACTTTAGGGGTTGTGCCACAGCAGTCTCCTCATCCCAACTGTCTTTTTTAGGCCTCCTGTCAGCAGAGCGCTGCCTCAGCCAGAGAAGCTGCAGACTAATAATGTCGGCAAAAAGAAGAGACCTATTGAGGTAACACGTCCGCACATCCTCGCCGAAACACAACAGATCAAATCAGATAAACAAATTCTGAAATTGATGGAAGCAAAATCATTTTTTTTCTCTGCCATAGAAGCAGATGATTCAAAATTTCTAATGTCATTATTTCAGCCGGAGAGGCTGCATGCCCTTTCTGTGTCCAGACATCCTCTCTGGGGACTGTGGTGATGCTGGAATAGCATCTTAATGTTCTTCTGCTGGCAGCTAGCTCTGAGCATCTTTGTTGTAATGGAGTTAACCTTTCTGACTCTCCTTCCAACTTCTTGCGCTTCTCCCACAGGATCTGGTGCTTGAGCTGGTGTTTGGTTACCGTGGCAATGACTGCCGCAATAACGTGCACTACCTGAACGAGGGGGCGGACATAATCTACCACACTGCCTCAGTCGGCATCGTCCTTAACTTGACAACCTGTAAGCGTGTTGTTTACCACCTGAAGGGTAAACATGCCAGGCTTCATTTTAACGTTTGCTGGGGTGTGTGTTTCCTTACAGCCTGCCAAAGTTTCTATGTAGAACACAGTGACGACATTCTGTGCCTGACAATCAATCAACACCCCAAATTCCCCAACGTGGTGGCAACAGGCCAAGTAGGTATGTCTGTGAGGAGTCGGGATTGTTGTACGCTGCTCATCTCCACTACAAAGACACATACCAACAAAACAATTACTTTTTTTAAGTAATATATGTTCATCGTTGCTAAAAGAAACAGAAAATTAATAAATAATCGGCTGGTTTTGCCAATAAACATGATTGTTCTCACTTTACAGGTGATACTGGTGACATGTCGGGTAAGAATTCTTCTAGATTTACTTGGAACTATTAAATCCTTGTTAAATAAAAATGTATTAGCCAAGTGTGTTAGATTACTGCCATCTAGTGGAAATAGAAGTTACAGTGGCACAAAGAAACGAACCAGCTAAGAAAGATGGAAATCCTCTTATATTTTGAATTAAATTATATGCTGTTTATCTGTCCGGCCCCCTCAGCCACGTCCCCCTCAATCCATGTGTGGGATGCCATGACCAAACAGACACTGTCGGTGCTGCGCTGTTTCCACTCCGGTGGGGTTTGCTATGTCAGCTTTAGTGCCACAGGAAAGCTCCTGCTATCTGTGGGCCTGGACCCCGAACACACCATCACCATCTGGAAGTGGCAAGAAGGTGATGAAGATGATGCTTTTTTGTTTAAATTTTTTCCCCTGGTGTGGAATTGAGACGTCACACTTTTGCCCTGCCTGGTTCCTCAGGTGCCAAAGTGGCCAGCCGGATAGGTCACACCCAGAGGATCTTTGTGGCCGAGTTTCGACCCGACTCTGACACACACTTTGTGTCTGTGGGCATCAAACATGTGCGTTTCTGGACTTTAGCCGGCAGAGCACTGCTTAGCAAGAAAGGCGTGATGAGCTCCATTGAGGACGCCCGGATGCAGACCATGCTGTCTGTTGCATTTGGAGCTGTAAGTACCACCAAGGTTTACAGTGTTTATCCAAAAATATTTTTTTCTATTTACTCCTATGATACTGCATATTTAATTTATCTCATACATTCAATCGGCTAAAATGTAAAGTTCAAAAGGTCCAACAATGTCTGCCTGAAATGTGCTGTGAACTGTCTGTGAATTGCTCGCTGTGCTCTCTTAGGCCACTAGATTAGTGCAGATTTGTTTTCTTTTCAGAATAACTTGACATTTACAGGTACCATAAGTGGGGATGTGTGTGTGTGGAAGGAACACATACTAGTAAGAATAGTTGCCAAAGCTCACACGGGCCCTGTGTTCACTATGTACACCACACTGAGAGATGGCCTCATCGTCACGGGAGGCAAAGAGAGACCGTAAGTGCCTCTCTGTGAATCGGCACCTGCTACTGAAGTTGATTTGAACCTGTTGTTTTCATCCTGAAGCTGTCTTTGTTGTCCACACAGGTCAAAGGAAGGTGGCGCTCTAAAGCTCTGGGACCAGGAGCTGAAACGGTGCCGAGCGTTTCGACTGGAAACTGGACAGATCATAGACTGCGTTCGCTCTGTGTGCAGGGGGAAGGTAACCGACAGGGATCTGTACCAAGACCATTCAGACCTGGTTTCTGGAGTCTGACACGTTTTTCTCACTCTGCGGCAGGGGAAAATCCTCGTAGGTACCAGGAACGCAGAGATCATTGAAGTGGGGGAGAAGAACGCGGCGTGCAACATCCTGGTGAACGGGCACATGGACGGACCCGTGTGGGGTCTGAGCACTCATCCCTCCAGAGATGTGTTTCTGTCCGCTGCAGAGGACGGCACCGTCCGTCTGTGGGACATCCCAGAGAGGGTGACAATCTCAGGTTGTTTCAGCATTGTCATCTTTAAGTTAGCTGACAATGTTCTGAGCCAGTGCTCTTTGTTTATCTTCATGGGGAAACAGAAGATGCTAAACAAGGTGAACCTGGGTCACCCGGCGCACGCCATCAGCTACAGTCCTGAAGGAGAGATGGTCGCCATCGGCATGAAGAATGGAGAGTTTATCATTCTTCTCGTTGCCTCACTCAAAATCTGGGGGAAGAAAAGGGACAGACGCTCTCCAATTCAAGATATAAGGTAACGATAGGAGTAAGCCGGAGTTCAGGTCTTATTTCTGTCTGAGTCTTTGTTGTTTCTTTTGGGAGGAAATTTACCCCTATTTTCCTCTTAGAGGAAATACAAAAACAAAATAACAATTATTTTTTTAAATCTCAATTTTTGTTATTTTTCTTTTTGTGTGTGTGTCGGTTATGGTGATTCCTTTCCCTAATTCACCTTAAAACGTCTTAAATTATGTACCAAGAGTTTACTCAGAAATAACTCCACAAATGCTGCTTTCTGCTTTCTCCGTTGCAGGTTCAGTCCAAATTCCCGTTACTTGGCCGTCGGCTCCACCGAATGTGCCGTGGACTTCTACGACCTGACGCTGGGCCCGCAGCTGAACCGGATCAACTGCTGCCGGGACATCCCCAGCTTCGTCATGCAGATGGACTTCTCCGCCGACAGCGCTTACGTCCAGGTACAGCCTTTGCGAGCGGCCATACAGTCATGGATCAGGCCCTGTGCACCCACCCTGACGTGCGCTTCCTTGGAACAGTTATCCACAGGTGCTTACAAGCGACTGGTGTACGAAGTTCCGTCTGGGAAGCAGATCGCAGAGCAGGGCCACATCGACAGGATCACCTGGGCCACCTGGACAAGGTGAGGCCCTCGCCGGTTGGCTTTAGGACACAGTCACGCGTTGGGAAGTAAAGAAAATGATGTAGTCCTTGTGTGTCTAGTGTCCTTGGGGATGAGGTTGTTGGGATCTGGTCCCGGAACGCTGACAAAGCAGACGTCACCTGTGCCTGCGTGTCCCATTCGGGCCTTAACATCGTCACAGGCGACGATTTTGGAATGGTTAAGCTGTTTGAGTTTCCTTGTCCGGAGAAGTTTGTAAGTATAATTGCTTACTAATGCCGCTATTAAAGGAGCATGAAGTATGTTTATGTAAATTAACATTAAGCTATCAATTCTGAGTGGGGACACTGTAAGTTAAACATGCCCGCAGTTAAAAAAAAAAATCAACACAGCACCTTGGCAGCAAAGAAAGAAACAAAAGACGCTCAACTTTAAGCAGTAAAGATATTATTATTGATGGAGATAATGCAACTCTTTGTGGACGGTAATATGTATCTCAGGTTCTTGATTGTTATTATGTTAAAGTAAACAAAGTATCTTCCTCTTCCAAAAAAGATGAAACCTGTTGAAGGAGAAAGCCAAAAAAAGGGAGGATTTAAAACTCCTTTGAATATGGCTTCAAAGAACATATCCACACCTCAGCACGACGCTGTGGGAGGGTGCTACATTACCAGATTTTACAGGAATGCTGTTGATCTGATGTCTGTTTATGAAGGATACACACCCACAGACCAAATGCTGAAGCAAACATATGAAACATAATTTACGGATATTTCAAGTCACAAAGCCAGATTAATAATAATGAGCTAATTTACAGTTAAAAATGTGTCAGCGAACAAAAGCGAGATATTTTAATTTCAGTCATATACTGTGTTTTGACATAATTGAATACTTTGATATGAAATGCAGGTGAAATACATTTAAACTATCTGCAGCAAGCTAATTACAGACATGAAGCTCAAGTCATCTTCACCCAAAGTGCTCCTCAGTTTGACCAGTGAACATTTTATAGTGTCTTGGTAACTGAATCACAGATCATGATGTTGGCCCCTCTCTAACAACTTGTTTGACGTTTTAAAAAAGGCCATAAATAGCACCGGATTACATTGGTTTGTGGTGTCCAGTGTATGGAGAGTTTTTGTATTACCGTTGTGAATAATTTGCTTTAAGTGATGTTTCTATAAACAAACATAACAGCCTGTACACTGTGAACGTGACCTGTTTTTAGGCCAAACACAAACGCTTTCTGGGCCATTCTGCTCATCTGACAAACGTACGCTTCACAAGCGGAGATCGTTTTGTCGTCAGCGCCGGCGGAGACGACAGAAGGTAAGACTGCAGCCGACGGCGCTGTGGAGTGAGGCCACAGCTTTAAATGACACACCCTTTTCCTTTTTATGCCCCCTCTAGCCTTTTTGTGTGGAGGTGTGTCCACGCCCCACACTGAGTATTCCCCTCTGGACTGCCCCGCCACAGAGACTCTCCTCTCATCGATCTCCAGAGAACACAGAATCAAGGAAAAGGGGATGGTGAGGAGAAGGGCAGGTCTGGCAGCTTGATAGTGAATTTAAGTGTTGATTCGACGTACTGCCTCAAATCTAGGTGCATGCATATGTGGAAGGCTCATTTTCATTATAGACCGATTGTGAAAAAAGATGAAGGGCATACAGCCCAGCTCATGTGACGTCATGTTATAACTGAGAAGAAAACAAATCTAACGTGTCCATATCAGTCTGTGATGGGTTATCGTTGTCTCTTAATGAGCTTACCTGTGTAAGTTTTGCCACTCAGCAGGCCTATGAAGATGTGTTACTGACAATGCCATTTTTTAAAACATGTAGCAAACTGAATTAGCCTTAATCTAAGTGTCTGTGAGGGTTCAGGTTCTTTTTGTACCTTTTTGTTTTACTTTTTGGATCATGTAGTCATTTGTTCTATTTTTACTGGTAACTCCAAATCCTGTGGCCTTCCTCCTGAATGTAACATCCACTGTTATGTTCTGGATGTCAGCATGCCAAAGCATACTATGCACTGTACACCTGACCTGGTCACTGTGTTGCCCTGGTGGTTCATTTATGAGTTCCGTGGTTGTGTTGTTGACTGGTTGACCTCAAACCTCCCTCTGCGGTGTTCCCCTCATGACACGTTAACATGTGCTTACTCGTTGGAGGATTTCTATGTGGTTAAAAGGCGTGCATGGCTTACCGGAAGACAATCTGTCCGAACCAAAATCCTCAGAAAAGAAAACTGCTTTACCTGAATATTTCAACTCACTGTTGCAGTTATTCGGTCACTTTTTCTGTGTGCTGCTATGATATATAATTGTTGAATTTCCATGGATATGAACAGTGTGACTTTTCCAGCTGTAATGGTGATGTTTTGTGTAATAAGATATGTTGCGTAAGTGGAATGTTTATCAGAGAGAAATATTAAAAGTGCAAAACAGTTTCCTTGTATCTAATACTAACTACTAAACAAATGTTGCTGCATATTTTGATTTACATTTCATCAGTGTACATATCATTTGTAGATATTCTTTTTGTATATTTTTGTGAGATGTTTCTTAAATTTCACTTTAATAAAAAAAGCAACCATGAACTTTTCCCTGTGACATTTAAATCATTTCTTGCCTTTATTTCCAGTGACCTTCTCTTTGTAAGTGTCATCAATTTGTTCCTAGAATTTGGATCGAAATCTGAGACTGATTTAAAAGACATTAAACCATTGTACCCAATTGTTTGATTCCCAACACAGCTGATAAAAACAATCCACAATACATGTGTCCGTTTACCTCTGATAATATGGGGCAATGTATGGAGAATATATTTAGAAAACAAGCCAAGAGGCTTTCAGCTCAGATAACAAGGTTGGAAAAAAAAGTGGCTGATTAGAGGTGGCCAATATGATAACTTTTATTATGTACTGTCCCGAAAAAAGTCAAATGTGCATTATGAAAACTTAGTCTGTAATGTTAGCGTTTTTTTTTTTTACTGTAAACATGGATCTCATTTCTAACTCAATTCCTACAAGGAGTATTCTTTAAATATAGAGCTAAATTTAGGAGTAAAACAATGTTTTCTGAAAAACATCATGCAATGTGTTTTGTTTTTAAAGACAGTTTATGCGCCAATCCTCTTCTTTTTTTAATGAATGTGCATTTAATATTTTTAAATGAACGAAACAATAGCACAAACATAATTATGAATATTTACTGGCTCCCATAAAAATGATTTGAATGAAACTATAAAAAAACAACTCCAAAAAGCTTTTGGATTGCAAATAATACACAAAGAAAGAGCAAGTTTATTTTAAATTCGCTCCATTTATTTCAAATTACACAATATAACTTAGAATTTTATAGTATTGGCTTATTTACATATTTTACACATAAAGACAAATCTAAAAATGGGACAGCTTTGTTTTGTTGGCTTATATCACAAAGAACACCTTCTATCGGTTCAACTCATTCCTGCACAAAAAGAGAAAAGCTAGCAAATGGTTCTTAACCAGTTTCACTGTCACCAGTTGGAATTTTATTAGAAATTCAACATGGTCGAAAGCTATTCACTGTTTTCAGCCACTGGTCCATTAGGTATACCTGCAGTGTGTACTCTGTGATAACGGGCAGGAAAGCATCACCCTTAGTTTCCCCAACATATATCATCATTCTTTGTTCTCATGCACCTAATTAACAGCTGGATCTGCAAACTGACCCACAAGGATTTGAGGATTATAGCTTGACAGAGAAGGAGCTGCCACAGGAGCAGCCTTGTTCAGCCCGAGGGTTCTTGAGCACCTGGAAGGTGGAGCGGATCAGCTCCTGACTGAAGTCCACGGTGGCTCCCTTCACAAACTCCAGACTGTCCTGGTCCACGATAATGCCGACACCTCCCTGCTCAAACACCCTGGAGAAAAGCAGAATGGACGCAGTGATGGAATAACTGACGATAAAACAATCATAAGCGCATGAACGGTATAGAACAAGAACTTGAAAGCCACATCTGTAGAGTGATTACCTGTCATCTTCATTTACGCCACTATCAACAGAAAACTTGTATTGGAACCCAGAGCAGCCTCCTCCCTCCACATGGATTCTCAGGTACTCGCCCTTCTTCATGATTTCTGACAGTCTCTGGAATAAATGAACCAGTTGCAAGAAACTTGGATCAATTAACTGACAGAGAAATTGAAATCAAAGTGCTTTCAGTACAGTGCTTTCAGTGGACAGTCCCAAACCTCTGTAGATGTTTCACATTACAATATTAAGAGTGAGAAAGATGATAAGCAGAATCGATGTCCTAAAACACATCTCACACAAGCTGATAAGTGAAGCTATCTGTCATGCATCTTCCGTGTTTGAACACCATGGTTGTGCCAAAATAAAAACAAATAATACAACATATTGTCTTGTGCAATTCCCTGAACATTGAAATTTGTTGGGGTTATTTGTCCAAATATGTGTGTCTATCCTCACTTATACCTCAGGAAACTAATAATCATGTCTAACCTTCACACATGAGTCAGTGAGGTTCACTTTTTCCTCCGACGTGCCCGGTGTCCCGGGCTTCTCCTGCACAGAGGCACTGCTGTAGCCCCGAAGCACCCCTCTGCTAAAGGGCTGGAGGTTTTGAGGAAGCCGGTGGAATTGTTCACTCACACCGACGTCGTTCAAAAGGATGGATGCCCTACAAACAAACAAAAATGAAAATGAAAAAAAAAAATACTGATCTGCTCACATGATCGCTCAAGGACTCATAACATTACTAGCCTTCTTGCTAGCTACTGAGCCTGACGTTACTTAACAGCTGCGTTGATGCCTAGCTTGCTAACAACAAGGCGAAGAAATATCAAAACACAGCTGTTCTCGCTTCCCACACAATATTAACAAGCAGTCATTTCGTTCAAAGAGAATGTCATAATACACCCAAATACACGTTAAACCAATATTACCTCGCAAGGGTCAGTATTTTAGACTTTGACGCAGTTATCATTGCTCCTCTAAAGACTGACATCTTCCGAAACAGAAGTTAGCCAATTTCCCCTCCCACATGTCAGTCACAAACAAATCGCACATTATTGGCTAATAGGAGAGATTTTCGAGATGAACACGCCCAATTTTAAGGAATACGGGGATCTGATTCGTTCAATTATCTGCCAATCATAAACATTTTTAAACGAGTAAAATGGTGGGTTATTTTTTGCTTTGCAATACCTCTCAGGCACAGTTTCACTGCGACACAAAGGCTTTGGGAGTTTAGCCGAAAGGTAAAGATGGATGAGGTTGATATTATAGAGAATGGTAATATTTTATAGGCTGATGTTTTTGCTATCTTGCTTTAAGCACAGAGGGCAAGCCCAGTTGTTGTTTGAGTCCTGACAGTCTAAACTCTGGGTTTCAAAACCACATAACCAACCAATGACGTAAAGGGCGTGCCAGGGATCTCGTGATACAAGGAAATAAAGGCTTGTTGGTGAAACCAGTGCAGTGAAGTAATTTCGTCAAAGGTACGTGATGTTCACTTTATTTGGTTTGTTTAACTAATTTGTGTCATTTACTAAAGTGTTGTCGTGTTTTCTCCTTTTTTCTGATCTTCTTTAAAAGTTGAAGAGTATCTTTTTTGTTGTTGTTTGATGACTACTTTATTGTCGGCATGTAGTCTGGTCATTTTCTGTTCAAGCTCTGATAAAGTTTTTTTTCTATTCCATAACACATGTTTGCGTGTTTTAGGGTATCGCTCACACAAGAATGAGAAACATGGATGGTCGGGCCGGTTTCGTCGTTTTGTTGTGCCTGATGGGATTCACCTGTGCGAACCCAGTGAAATTTATTGACTGCGGTGAGTGTACATTTGGCTTTTATTCTTAAGGTTTGGTTTTCCTCCATTGTAGTAACGCGTGACTTAAGATAAAGCTTTCCAAGGCCGTATGTCGTGTTTTCATTTCCCTGCCAAGTGTAATTTTTATTTTATTTTTTTTTAAAGGAAACTCACCTTCATTAAAAAATGTACAATCAAAGTGCCCTTCTAAAGGAAAGTCCTGAATCCAGTTGTTTCCTGTCTGGTGAAACAGTGCCAGATATTGTCACATTTTCAGTTGGTTTTAACAGTTTTTTTTATTTTTATGTTTTAATTCATTTGACTGTCTTTGTTCAGTGTTTTGTTAATATCTCATTACTGGACAAAATTTGCCCTCCTGAAGTCACCTTTAACAACATCACAGAAAAGCAAATATATTAGAGGAGATTTTTCTAAATATTAACGAAAATGCATTTTCTAACAACCTCAGACTTTCAGTTCCTCTTCTGAAGTCTGCTTTTTTCTTTAAAAATCGTGAAGAGGAAATTATTTTGGTTGCTAAGGTTATTCATTTCCCCTTTGTTTACAGGCTCCTCTTCTGGCAAAGTTGTGATGGTGGACATTAACCCCTGTGCTACTCAGCCCTGCCAGCTTCACAGAGGACAGTCCTCCAGTGTCAATGTGACGTTCGCTAGTGGTCAGTGTCCCCAGCAGCGTTGCGTGTCGCAGCTGTCTTTTGCCCAAACTCTGATCCCACCATTACGTTGTCCTCCTCAAGGTGTGGAGAGCAAGACGAGCACAGCAGTGGTTCACGGCATCATCGCCGGCGTTCACATCCCGTTCGGCATCCCAGTGGAAGACGGCTGCAAGTCCGGAATCCAGTGTCCCATAAATAAGCAGCAGACGTACTTCTATGTGGCTACACTACCTGTGAAGTCTGAGTATCCTCCTGTAAGCAGCGCCTGCCATTTATTTGCAAACAGAATACATTTTCATTCTCGCAACGTGTCAACTGTAAAACTTATTCTGTTCAGTTTTATGTTTGTAGTTTTAAAAGAAAACTTTTTTTTAGATGAGTTCTTCCACTTAAAAAAAAAAGTGTTATATACCTTTTTTATTTTTATGCCTCTAACAGAAGAAAAGATGTGCACCAAACTGACAGTCTGTTCTTCTTTTCCAGATAAAGCTGGTGGTGCAGTGGGAGCTGAGGGACGACAACAAACAAGACTTGTTCTGCATCAGGTTCCCTGTTCAGATTGTGTAGAGTTTCTGCTAAAAGTAACAAGACATCTGACGGATGTCTATTTAAAAGGGATTCAGCTTTAGTGGAAAACTTGACAATGCAAACAATTCTAGTGAAATCTCATTTTTATTCATTCATCAAGTTGACTTTGGAGATGTCTTCACTGGTTTTCATGACTCTGCTGCACACCTCTAAAATAAAATTTGCTTTGTTTGATATCCTGATTTGCTTAACGATCAATTTTAAGCGTTGTGGATGTGAAAACGGGATTAATGATTGTGCAAATGACCCTTTACAACATTCCAATATAGCACAAATATCTTGTCTTACTGGCTGCTGTGTAGTCAGAAAAGGTACGAAGTGTACTTTTTCTTTACTATAAATTTTGTAATATTTCTGACCAGACCTGTGGAATTACATACTGTAAAAGAATATGCAACAGAACTGCTAATAAAGAAATCCTCTCAAGGGTAACCACATAATGCGTATTCTGATTGTGTACATGTTTTCAAAAACCAGTGTTGAAGTTCACTAGATTCTAACCTTGATTTAATTTTGAATGCTGGAGTCTAACTGCTGCCACAACTTAAGATGAACACTTTACATGGTTAAAGCTACATTTTCAGAAATTAAGTGGACAAAACAGTACACGTTATATTAAGGTTGTGCAAATTTCAGAAGATTAACGGTAACTGGAGTAAAATGTAAACAAGTATCTCAGGTTTCTGTATTCCTCCTCAGCTTTGAGCTTTAGTCCACTTTCATCTGTTACGCATGAAACGGGCTCAGAAACGGACGTACTTCTGGGATTTTTATTGGTTTTAGCAACGGTCAGCAGCAAGGAGGGAGAGTATGAACAAACAGAGAAAACACTTTTAGATGACTTCATAATACTGAAGAAGGATTGTTACCACGTTGCATGTACAATTAAAAAAAAAACAGATGCAGGTCCAAAATCCCTCATTAAAGATCTACCAATCCTGTGCTTTCTGGCAGAAAAAGTTACAAAAAAAGGATTTTTTCTTTTTTACATCAACTTAAAATGCAAGCTGAAGATGCTATACAATGTGGAAACGTCAAATTAAGAGGACAGGGACTGAAAACAGAAGTCCACCTAGTCTACAAAGTACTCTGAGCTTTCTACGCAAATTGAGCTTTTTCTAACCTCCGTTTGAACTAACAGCCTCACAAAATACCACAGTCTCAGTCAATACAAAATTAGAGTCAACAAGCTACTTCAATGACTTTTTTTCCTGTCTTTCTTTAAAAAGCCATTTCTTTAAGGCAGTATGAACTTGGAAAAGAACGAGACTTTGGTTCTTTCCAAGGGTCACTTGCTGAATAGAGGAATAAAAACTGGATGGGTGTGTTTGCACAGACATTGGTTTTCAGGTCACAGCTGTAGCTCCAGCAGCAGGTTGGGGGGGGGGGGTCACTACCAACCAAACATGCACCCTCTTTCTTGAATAAATTTTAAGAGAAGTAAAAGAGTGTGAACTGTAAAACAACTTTCTACTACAAAGTAGTAACACAGAGGCTAGAAGATATTTCCACAGCAAAGTAAACAGCCCAATGTCGCAACAGATTCCGAACAGCCAGGTTGAAGGGCCAGTAAAAACCTAAGTAACTAACATGAAGTAATTCAATGTTATGAAACTAAGAACGAAAGCAAACTTGACAGGGCTGCGTAGCCCTTTTAGTAGTGGTCTTTAGGCAGCTGCACGTCACACGATAGGCCAAAGGGGACTGGGTTATTATTGGCTGATATCAGTTAAGGACCTGTCTGGTAAGCTGTGGTTTCTCTGGGAAGGCGTCCACTGTGTCTTTTTCACTGTCCGTTCTGCTGCAGCCTCTCCAGCCTCTGCAGCAGGGCGTTCCCAAATGCTTCTCTGTAGCCCGGACTCAGCGTGTCCAGGAGCGAGTACACCGTCTCGTGATACTGGGTGCTCAAATCCTCATTGACCTGATCGAATGCATAGCCCACCACCTGTTTGAGGAGAAAATGGTTACTGGCCATCAGTCCCTGCAAACTTTTAAAACTGCTTAGAAGGAGAAATAATCTATTTTATTGTTTTAAAGTTTCATACCCTGAGCCCAGCCTCTGTGAGCTCCAGACAATAGCGGTTTCCCTCTCTGGTCTCCACGTTTATGTAGGCCATGTCCAGGGCACTGTCCAGGCTCTGCGACACGTGCATTTGAGCCACGGCAAAGAGAACGTCGTTGACCACCGCTTCCGCCTCCAATCGCATGTCCTTGACGTCACCAAGTTCAACGCAGTCCTCATCGAAACCGGAGGCGATGGGCTCCTCAGGCTGGCAGTCCACCTCCATTCCCTGAAACCCCAGGATCGACAGCACTTACCCACACACTCAATCTAACAGCAGCAGTCAAAACCACATCCTCAATTCTTTTTTCTGAAGTTGAACCTCTCATTAAAGTTATAAGCAGTATAACAAAGGAAGTTGGCTGATTGAATAAACTGCAGCATGCAGACCATTGGGACTCTTTCTTTGTAATCATGTATCAGGTCATCAAATGTAGCCTGTTGCCATTTTTTCATTTGCATTTTTATGTTGAAATACTACTGCTAAGAAATCCAAGGCAGGAAACAGCAAACTATTCTTTTTTTATTATAATAGAGAAAAAAGTGTATTCAGCTAAATACCAGAAGCAGTAGTGGTGTGACATGCATGTGAGACACCCATATGACTTCTGTTTCAATTCTTTTTTTTTCTATAAAGAAAAGTTTCTACCATTTTTATATTGATACATCCTGTTTAAAGTGTAACAAAAGGTCACATCACTGTCAGAGGCGCTGTGACTCAGATAACATCACAGACGTGATACGCAAACTTAAATTTTTCCACAATCCAGAGTGGGAAATGTTAACAAACAAAACACTTGTTTCTTCTGGGTCCGTTAATGCCTCTCTGTGCTTTTCACTCCTCACTTTTCAAATAACTTGATGCAATGAAATGAGGTTACGGAAGTACGACGGCACAGCAGTTTCCGCTAGAATATAAAGAAAGCAGATCAATAGCTGGAGAACCGTGTAAAACTTGGGAGGTCACCCTTTATGTCTGCTAGCAGCTGACCACATTTTCCCACATGAGTCAGCTGTTTCACACTCACACACATCTGGTCTGGTTCTTTTTCACAGGCCGATGAGGGTAATGACACAAAAACACTTTCATGGAGCCCCTCCGTTCCACACTGAAACATTTTTAAAGGAGGCAACACTACATCAAAACACCACACATGCTTAACTTTCACAATCAGATTAAACACATTTAGGCTCATTCACTCTGCTTTAGATCTTGGTCAAAACCTCCCGTGGAAGTTTAATCCTACTGATTTTCTCTAAAGTGAGCAGTATCAACTGACACACTGCAGATTTCACCCACTATTTATTAGTGTAGTTAATGTGTTTTTGTGAAGGGAAACAGCGACATCTTGAGGCTCCTAATGGAAAACAGAGTCAAGTCAACACTCCTACACAAATATATACATTCTGAAATAGGTGTAATCTAAAAAAAATTACAGTTCCTCTAATTAATGAATGCATGTGTGCTGATGAGATGAGCCTAGAATGGTTATGGCTATTAGGTGCTACTTTCAGAACTATGGTATAAAGACAAATGATCGCTTGAAATAACCAAATATATATATATATGTCTGCTCTTTCAGACTCATTATGGAGGTCACATACGCAAACGCTGGACATGCAGTTTTGAGGGTTTTGATATGACTATGCAACACAGATCAGTTCATTTGTTCTCACCTCCTGTGTGCTTGAGTTCTTCCGGCTTGTAGAAGCTTCCAGCCCACTCTGAGCTGCTCTGCGTGGACAAGGCTCAGTCAAACCAGCGTCACCACACGTTACATAAATGTGATTTATGAGCCGCCAGAGCGGAACGCACTTCGGTGCTCGCTCCTCTAACAGTATTTATTTTAAATTTGGCGACTTGTATCCCAATAAGTGCTCAAAATAGATCTGTGTCCAATAAGTATCCGGCAAGCACAGGAGTTCCGCCACGTTATGACATCATCAGTGAATCCCACCCCTGAGCGTGCGTGGTTATGCCGCCTTCATGGTAACTAGAAACTCGTAATTTTCCAGTTCAAACAGAAATGTTTCAAAAACATCTAATCAGATCTGATTAAAACGTTCACATTTTTGCAGTATATTTACAGTTTTATTTAAACTACCTGTTTGTGTTAAATCCCCAGACGGCTATAGATTCAAAATCATGACATTTATCTTACTTCCGAGGTGTCTTGAATGCAACATCAATTGGTGCGGAGTCATGAAAGTGTTTGTAAACAACTCAATCAGAAGGTAATTTAAGAGCAGCCTTTAAAATATCTGTTTATAATCCTGAGCTCTTGAGTGTCGGCATGGCGAGCAAGTGTATGTGTGTGTTTTTGTCTTATTCGTGAACATTTGACATAGAAGGCCCGATAAGTTAAGATACGTTGGATTTTAGGTTAGCTCGTAAGCTAGCAAACGCCACTACCTTAGCCTGATTTTAGCCGGCTGTGCTAATGTAGGCTCACTCTGCCAACAGGAGTGCTTAATAGCTTAGCTAAGCTGGTGCTCACTAGCCGGCTAGCTGGCTAAATGACATGTCTTTGTTTATCCAGCAGTCTATGCGTCTCTGTCTGTTGTCAATGACATCTGAATATAAGTTGTCCCAGCTAAGCATTGACATTTATTATGGTGTTTTCTGGCTTGCTAATATGAGCTTCCAAGTACGATTGGTGCGTTTACAGTTGCTTTAGAAAGGGGGTCAAATGTGTCCCAGCATTACAAAGGCGTTGCGTTTAAAGCTTACTTTGTACTGTCTTAAATGAACTCGGTATTGTCTCATACCCGAAATAAAGAATAAACCGCTAAGAGAGCTTGTTGTTTAAAGGTGTCTTGATACATAATTTGTGACAAGTCACATGTGACGGTGTCAAATTACAAAGAGGGGCACGTTATGTGTGTCTTCTGTTTAGGTGCAGCAAACTGGAGTCGGACCAATTCCAACACGCATCCCAGAGTATCTACACATCCTCCGAAGTGTCCCTAGCCTTGGGATATGAAGGATGTTTGAGCTTGCAGTTTTTTAGTATCATGAGGTCAACAGGATGACACAATTGTAACATCTCCGACTGATTTATAGCTATTTGAATAGCTAGAACATTGCACTTGCAGAACCTCAAGACCCCTTTTTTTAATACCCGCAAGGTGTCCACGTAATATATTAAGATGCCTTGGCCATTTTCGGAGTCCATCAAGAAGCGCGCCTGCAGATACCTCCTTCATCGTTACCTTGGGAACTTTCTGCAAGAAAAGCTGAGCCTGGATCAGCTCAGTCTTGATCTTTATCAAGGCACCGGGTCTCTTGCACAAGTGCCACTGGATAAGTGGGTATGTGTTGGGCAGATTTCTCCTATTGAGTCATTCTGATTTAAGGGTTTATACATACCCTGAGGTTTCTTGGATTTATAAAATTCTGTGTTAGTAAAATAATGTACAACAATATCACAATAATTGTGCAAATTAGACATAACTTCTTGTTCCTCAGTCACTCAACGAGCTGCTGGAGACGGCAGATGCACCCTTTGAGGTAATCGCCGGCTTCATCCAAACGATTTCTCTGACTGTCCCATGGGCAGCGCTTCTGCTGGAAAACTGTGCCCTGGAGATCAAGGGTTTGGAGATGGTGCTCAGGCCTAGGCCAAGAGTTGGTACGGGAACACTGTTCAGTGTGTGTCTGTAAAACCATAAACAACTAATAAATCAATAGTTTAGTATGTGTTTGGTCTACAAGGAAGAGGTATATTAAGAGTGGATAGATCATTTTTAAGTCAAGGCTTCTTATTCCTCCAGCATCTGGCGTTGAGCCCATGTGCTGGTCCAGTTTCATGACGAGCAGCATGCAGCTCGCCAAAGAGTGCCTGAGTCAAAAACTAACGGATGATATGGGAGAGAGCTTTCAACCTTTTGAAGGACTAGAAAAGTTCGCAGAGACTATAGAGACAGGTACTCTATCATTAAACTTTTTGCCCTCACCAAGTTTAGCAGCCTAATATTGAGTTGATATGTGAACTGTTTTTATTCACCTGTCTTGCAGTCCTGAGAAGAGTCAAAGTTACATTTTTGGACACTGTTCTTAGAGTCGAACACATTCCGGAAAATTCTAAAACTGGAATCGCTCTGGAAATTCGGATCAGCAAGTAAGTTGTGACAGTGTTGAAGTATTCTTAAAACTTTTATGTCCTGCCAGTTATTTTTTTCATTGTTCTTGTACTGATCAAAAATGGAAAACGAGATGGCAAAATACCGTAAAGGGTTGACATTCATTACACGTCCCTGATTTGGTGTCTGATGTGTGATTGTGCTTTGTTGTTGTGTTCAGGATTGTGTACTGCGATGAAACCGGGGAGGAGAGTTCAAGTGTTAACGTGCATCAGCCAACAACTTTTGCGCATAAAAACGTGCAGATGGAAGGAATCGCTGTGTTCTGGGACGAGTTTTCCGACGCGTCTCGTGGTTGCAGATCTTCACCCCCGCCGTCGGTCAGTCTAGCAAGTGGTTTAATTCAGTTACAGAAGAGGTGCATGTAGAAGGCTCGTTTTTAAACACCGCTCTTCTATTTTACAGGACATGGAGCCAAAACTCTCCCCCAGTTGGAATCCCAAAATAATATGTGAGCCTCATCCCCAGTTCACAGAACCAGTGTCCACCGCAGCGCCCTTTGAGCCTGTGCAGGTTGGGAACATCAGCGGTAAAATTGAGCTGTCCATAACTCTGAAAAACAACCTTGCTCTGCCTGGAGCAAAGGTAAATTAATCATTTCTTGATTACAGAATTATCCAGTAAATGTAATATTAGTTATTCCGCTAAAGCCGAGTGGAGAACTCATAGTGTTTTGCATATGTTGCTTCTCAGCTGGATGTTGTTGGACATGTTGATACGCTGATTATTCTCCTCTCCCCGCGGCAAGTTCATCTTCTTTTGGACTTGTTTGGAGCTTTCTCAGGTGGAGGTGAGCATCCTGCTGGTTGTCGGTGAAACGGAGTGACAGTATAGTGGATGTTTAGGGGCAGAGTGAGAAGATTGTTTCCTCTTCTTCATGTATAGGTGCACAGGAATGGAGCAAGGACAGAAAAAGTCGTCCAATACAACAAGAAGATGAGTATCGACTGCAAATGGAACTGAACAGGTGTATGAAGAAGGACACGGCCATCCCAGGAACAGAGCCCGACCTCTTCGACAGCCAGACCACCAGAACTGTGTCCAGTCGAGGTTGTGATGAAAGACTCTGCAACTTCAATATTACCATGTGTACCAAATGCTGTGAACTATTCAGCAAATTACATATATATCCATATAATTCATATTTCATATTCATATTTTTTTTTACATTGTTATAGATAAATATTTTTTTTAACTTAATACAAATGTAGTACACAGATAGATTTTCGATATTTTGAAACATTTGGAATCTGCATGGACTCTTTCTATCAATTTACAAAGCTTAGTTAAAACTTATTTTCTGACTGAAAAAAGAAACTCACTCATAATTAAGGCTGGAGTGTTGGATTTTATAAAATATATAAATTAGGCCTAGAAATAAATCAGACTTATTGAATTCTTGAACGTTACAGATCAATTGATCTACACTTTTGCAATATATTCATTTATTTATTTTTCTCTCTTTTAGATGACGTGTTCTTCTCCATGGCAGACATGGACATGTCTCACAGCTTATCCTCTCTGCCTCCTCTGGGTGAGCCGCCCACCGTTGACTTGGACTTATCACTCAACAGTAACTACTCTGCCTCCCCCGGAGAATCTCCCTCAGGAAATGCAACTGTGAGTCCTGAACCTGAAATACTTAGTGAGGTGCAATATGTATACTGATTAAAACAAGGCCATTCTTTTGACCGCTGTTTGTGTGTCCAGGGTCTCTGGGATGATTATATGGATGTGCCAAGACAAAGAGAGAAGCAGACTAGTGAAACTCCAGTCCATTCACGGGATTCGCAGCTCCCTCAGAAACTACTTAGACAAACCTGTAAGCGGTGCAAGAATAACGCATCCAAAATAACAAATTTGGGAGTCCCACTGTGGCCATTGTCTTTAGATATCAGAGATCACTTTGCTTTTTTTGTCTAGTAGAAAGTAATCGGTGGGCATTGTTATTCTCTTGGTAATGTGTCATTGGTTTCTTTTTTTCGTTTCTTTTTTCAGCCCATCCATCCAAAACCCATGGGGATGAATCGAGGCCAGAGCTTGTGTTGAGGTTGTCGCTGAGCAGCTTTGCTGTCTCTGTCCTCCACATCGATCCGCTGCCACCTCCACATGCTGCTCCCAGCCCACTTAGCCCAATCGCTGCACACTTCTTCAGCATGGTTGGACCCGGCCAGCTCTCCCCAGATTCTTTTCTGCAGTCCCGGACGGTTTTTAATCAAGCTTGTCCCCATGACCACCTCAGGTGCTGTTTAAATCCTGTTGTTCAACCTTCTTGTATTCTGTAGCCAGTCTTGTGGACTAAATGTGGTTTTGGCTTGTACGCGTTCACAGGTTTGTTGGCCAAGGCCTGAAGATAAACTACGAACACTGCCAGGGATCCAGCCTGCGGACTTTTAGCACTGATATTTCCCTGAACAAAATGGAGTTTGTGGAGTGTCTGTTCCCTTCTGACGTCCTCATCGGTGGCTCCCAAAGAGGAATCCAGTACACCGAGGTTGGACTGAAGCCTGAGCTATGCACTTTTCAGCTGACTAAATACTGCTTCTGCACTAAAGAACAGACAAATGCAGCTGGCTTGACCTTAAGTTCGTACTCTGTGGTTTCTCTGTCACAGCTCCTGACATTTGACACCACAGCCAATGGTGATGCGCCCCTTCCCACCTGCCTTCACCTGCTTTACAAACAAGCAGAGCGCAGAGGACCTCAGGTAACCATCGCTAAAAAGTGGCCACGCATTTTCTTTTCCCCGCATGCTTGACCGGCACTCAGACTATTAACCTTCTGCCCGTGAACAGGGCGGCCAAGTGCGTCTTAGCACGATTCCAAGGAAGGCAGAGATCCAGGTGGAGCTGGGCCCTGTGCGCTCTGAGCTGGACATCAGCATCGTGGATCGTCTCAACTCACTGCTGCAGCCTCAGAAACTAGCTACAACAGAGATGATGGCCTCCCACATGTACACATCATACAATAAGCACGTCAGCTTGGTAAGGCTGTCACACAAAGTAGGGAATTGGTGGCAGGTGTGGCTCATTATTCATGTCTGCCTCTCACTTGTCTCATGGAACACATGCGCCTCCTTTTACTGTAAGGACATTTAACAACTTTATTACTCGGCATCATCACGTAAAAGCTCATTTCATTGTGATGAAGCCTTTATCTGATGAGCACTGACTGGCTGCTGTCTTCCTGCTCCCTCTAAGCTGCTGCAGCTGCTGCAGACACAGCTGCTTCTGACAGCAGACTGCCAAACAGAGCTCAGGGTCATGTACCACTGAGGAAGCTGAGGGCTTCAGTCACACTTGCATGCCAGTCGTCTGCCACGTCTTAATTAGATAAAAAATAACGTTTATTAATTTTGTACCAGATAAGATAATTGCCTTTCTGTGTTATTTCTACAGCACAAAGCCTTCACAGAGGTTTTCCTTGATGACACCCACACACCCTCCAACTGCCACGTATCGCTAACCATTAATGCCCCGGTGCTGGCCGTGGCCGTGCGCTTCCCCATCCCTGATCTGCGTTCTGATCAGGAGAGAGGCCCCTGGTTCAAGAAGTCTCTGCAGAAAGAAATACTTTTCCTGGAGCTGGAGGACCTCGAAGTGAAAACCGAGTTCATGGGTGGCAGCTCCCCAGACCAAACCAAAATGGAGCTAACATTCAAGAAGCTTACTGGTATGTCAGTTTATAAAAACTGCAGTCTGAAGAATAAAGATGTTTTGGGGTTTTTTTGCTTTTTTTTTCAGAACTGATCTCACACTGCTTTTTTCGTTTTTGTGCTTTTGCTCAGGGAAGTTTCAGGAGGAGCCGGATCAGCCGGTCGCCTGTTTCCTCAGAGTGTCCCACAGCATGGACGGAGACATGACTACATCTGAAAGTGTCAAATTTGACTGGCCAAGGTTTGTTTAACGAACCTCATCCCAGGCCGCCCACCCTGCAGTGCTTTACGGGCATGTTAATGTATTTCTTTTGAGCAGGGTGGTGCTGAAGATGAACCCCACTGCTGTCCATTCAATACTTGAGCGTGTGACAGTTGAAGACGATGAAGGAGCTGAGGACCATTCCCTGGAAGAAGAAGAGGAGGAAGGGGCTGCTCACTCATTAAAAGATGTGTGTGACTTTGGGAAACCAGAGCCGTCACCCTTTTCTTCTCGTAGAGTTATGTATGAGAACGAAGAGGTGAGTAGTAAAGTACCTTTGCGCATATAAGTACAATTTTCAACTACAAGAGGAAAAAACTCAACTCAGCAGATATGGACTAACTCAAGAGACAACAGTTCTGTTTCTGTACATTTTAATCTGAGTCTCAATTATCAGATATCTCCCACGTTCTCTCTTATTTGATAAATGTACTTTAGTCTGTATAGAATAGGTAAATGCAAAACAGCTTAAACAATTCCATCTTTCTCACTATCATATTCAAATGCATGTTCTAATGTTCTTCATGAATTATTTTCCTCTATTAAATCTGTTGAACTGGGCAAATTACGTTGCTATTTAGGCCATGGAATAAATTTGAGGGACGTTTGTTTTGTTCAGAGGGAAAAAAGATTTGCATTCAGGTGCGAGATGGTCCGAATATCCTCCTGCATGTCAGATTGATCTTTATGCAAATATTTTTGCCTGTCTGAGCTGTTGACAAAACAGGTGGTGATGAGGTCATGTTTAATTTTCCTTTCATTTTTTTTTCTAATACCAGATGATCATTCCTGGGGATGCTGCTGAGATGACAGAGTTCCAGGAAAAAACAATGAACAGCTCTCGTTTTGTCCTTGAACTGTGTTTCCCCAACGTGCAGCTATCACTCCCCAGCAAGTCATTCTATGAAAAACTCCACAACAGGTAGATCACTTTTAATTTGTACATTAAAAAAAATAAAAATAAAATAAAACAGGATGCACTGTTAAATTTTTGACAACAAGCTAAAAAGAAACGTTTTATACAGATATATATCCTTATTCCCACTTGTTCTATACTGTCTGTATTATAGGATCAATAATGACCTGTTGCTGTGGGAGCCCACTGCTCCCTCCCCGGTGGAGACCGTGGAGAACATGCCCTATGGAGTCGGGCTTTCAGTTGCCAGTCAGTTGATCAACACTTACTCCAAAGAGAGTTTTACCCAGTTTCGCTCTACTGGTCCTGAGGGTAAGATGACAGAACCAATTTCATTTCAAATTCTCAATATTGAAGCTAATTGAAAATTTGTGCTTTTTCCTTGCAGAAGACACTAGTGGCTCTGAGGAGGAGAACATGCACTACTATTCTCCTTCCTCTGACATGGGCTTTAGATCTCGGAAAAAGAAAAAGCCCAAAGCCCAAGCTAAGACATCCCAGAGTCTTTTTTCCATCATCCTTAGTGTCAATCACGGCCTAGTGGCTCTTCAGACCAAGTCCAAGGTAACATAATTTTTTTCCACTTTCAAAGCACTTTTGTTTGGCTAAAAGCTATTCTTACTATCATGCAATGTGGGCATGGGGGTTTACATTTATTTTACAGAAGGAAGATAAAACCGAGCTGAAAAACAAACATGGAGAGTTCTGGTTGGAGATGAAAAATGCTGTTTTGTTCAGTGTTACACAGTACGAAGGCCACAAAGATCAACACTACATCTGCTTCCATAACAGTAGCATCTGCATGTACCACCAAGGTGAACCCTCTGCACTCAGAATAAGGATCGAATAGCATTCCATCTCTAAAAATTGACTTGTCTGTCATTGTAAATGTGTGATGCTTATTGATCCGCCCAGGACTTGTGGATGGAGGCACCTCTCTCACAGACATCAAGTTGCCATGCAGGACACATCCACACTGGCTGGAACCGACAATTTACCAATCAGAGACAGCTCCAGAAAGGTCCTCAACACCCTCTGAGGGTATTGGTCTGGAGGCACGCAGCATGGTGTCTGTCGCTGTCAAAATCTCATCACAGAATGCAGAATGCAACATCAAGGTCAGTGACTCACAGCTTTAACGGGCGGGACCTTTGCCACAGTCTGTCATATCTAAAGCATTTTCAAAGCCATCGGTACAGAACACTGCTGGATGTTTTACCGGGAAAATCAGAGGGTGTAAATAAATCATCTGTAACTTGCTGCTCACTTTCTCTGCAGGAGATTCTGGTTGCAGTTGGAGTGAGAGGAGCCACACTTCAGCACAGAGTGGTCCCCCCCAGCTTGGGCTGGTATGACCAGGTAAAACACTGTGGCCTCACAAAAAGGTGCCTAAATATGTTCCACCATGAGAAATTTCACACTAAACTCAGATATCTTGTCACCAACAGATTGTAGACTTTCTAAACATTTCTGATGAACCGGTGCTGGGTTACGCTCCTCCTACGTCCGTCACCACCCTACATTTACACCTGTGGAGCTGCTCTTTAGACTATAGGTAATTCAGACCACTCGCCAAATGAGCTACTTGTTATCTGTTGTTGCACTTTCTTGTGACACCTCTTGGTTTCCCGACAGACCTCTTTACCTGCCACTCAGATCACTGGTGGTTGTGGAAACATTCAGCATCTCCAGCAGCGTCTCTTTAGATAATTCTTCATCAACGTTAAGGTAAAAGAATGAGGCTGGCTTTGCAGTCATCATAACCAATGTTTAGAGGAAGATGATTTTCATTCATATTGACTGATGTGCTGTTGACAGGATTATTTTGGATGAGGCTGCTCTGTTCCTCTCAGACAAGAGTAACTCTGTATCTGTTAATCTCGTGCGTGGTAAGTTTTCCTCAGTGAAACTGATGGGTTTGTCTGTTTGAAATGCAGCTCGTGCTGCTTTACACATTATACTAACGTGTGATTTGGGCCACAGACTATGTCCAAGTGGTGGACATGGGAACTCTGGAGCTGAGGATTACAGCTGTCAAACCTGGAGCAGATGGAAAGTTGGTAAGTTATCCATGTGTGTAAATAAGATGGTTGATTTCCTCCCCCGTGAATATGTTTTCATCACTTTTTCTCTGATTCTTTGGCCATAGTCAGAGCCCAGATTTGAGCTGCGTTGCTCCAGTGACGTGATTCACATCAGAACATGCTCAGACTCTTGCGCTGCCCTTATGAACCTCATCCAGTACGTGGCCAGCTATGGAGACCTGATGCCCCCAGCAGAACCAGAGGCCAAGCACAGCTGCTCCACACAAAGGAGCAAGGTCAGCAGTGAATGAAGCTGCAGTTTTACGCATTTAAAATGAAGCTTAAAAACTCTACTGCTCCAGCATATTCAGGCCGTTTGTTCTTCTGTGACAGACGGAGGCTCCCAGCAGGCCAACCCCTCACGCCCCCCTGCTTGCTGAGACGGAGCAGCAGATGCTGCAGGACCTGATGAGTGAGGCTATGGAGGAGACCGATGCGCAGCACACACCAGGGCCCCAGCAGAATGGTAAAGGCTTAGCTTTCCAATTCTCAATGAATGTGTGATTAATATATATTTTTTTTTAATTGTAGTATGCATTAAATAACTCAGGTACACCATTATTTGTCCCATCAGGGACTTAATGTTGTAACAGTCGACTCATCTTCAACCCTGCAGCTTATGCTGGTTCACATTCTCCAGTGCACGTCAGTGCCAGGCTGAAAAAAAGAGTCTGGACTCCATTTAAATGCTGGATTAGTTGGGGACTGATACAGCACATGCCAGACACCTCAGTGAGATGCAGCTATGAAAACTGGTCATACAGCCATATAACCAGCATATAATGGGCCTGTAGGTTTTTTTATTTAGTTTATCTATTAAATCATTGATTCCAGTAAACATTGATCACTTCTGCAGGTCATTGTTGTTAAAGGTAAAAGTAAAGCTGGTTCTCCCTGTCAAAATGTTAAGAAATACAGTCTCCCTTCCCCATTTCTTCATAACTTTTAGTCAGCCTATGCAGCAACAACAGTGAAGACCTCTGAAAAGGCCAAAAGGCAGAAAAGGGTTGAGGAGTTTAATGTGAATCTGTTTGAATAAGAGCTTCATATGGGTTGTTTGTGCACTAAACAATATCTGCATCAATGTTTACATATATACAGGTGCTCATGAGGAGCAAATTTATGACCACGACCCGCCTCGCTCAGACCTGTTCCTGTTCCCCGATGAAAGTGGGAATGTTAACCAGGATTCAAGTCCCACCTACCCGATGCTTCCTTCCCCTCTCATCACGCCTGCTCCTAGTCTGGCTCAGGAAACCGACGATTTTTGCATTTTGGAAACTCCCGGTTACAGAGGAGAGGTTTGGAGATTTGCTCACATAGGGCTGGATGAGCCACTGTTTCTGAAAGCTGTCGCCTTACTGTCAGACATATGTGTTTCAGGATCAAGATCAGGAGCCTGTTGTGAAGCTGCTTACCTCAGATCCAGTGGAAATCAAGGAGGATCACTTCAGTCAGCCTCTGGGAGGGAGTGACTCCAGCCGTGGAGCCCTGAACTTTCCCATCCCAGAGGTTCGCTACCTCATAAAGGAGATCTCCGTCATCTGGCATCTCTACGGGGGCAAAGACTTTGGGAGTGCGCCTTGCACAGCCTCGCCTGCCAGAAGCCGGGGGTGAGCCATGAGTGTTGGATTCTCTTTATGGTTTGCTCAAAAAGGAACAGACTTTCTCAACCTTTGTCATGGTTTTCATCTTGTAGATCTACTCCTCATAGCTCCCCATCACAAACTCCGGTCAGACATGTGAGAACAACGGGCTGGGCAGGAGGTGGAAGGGGAAGGAACCCTGATGTACTGATGGAGATCCAACTCAGCAAGGTTTCAAATAGTCATTTCATCATATCAGTGTGGACTCAAACTGTGTGAAGTCATTTGTTGACCCTTACCCTCTGTGATTGATTCATTAGGTGAGATTTCAGCATGAGGTGTACCCACAGTCCCATGCCTCGGCCCGTTCAGCTTCGGACCAGCCGGTGTCCCGACAGGTGTTTGTTGTGCAGGACTTAGAGATTAGGGACAGACTGGCTACTTCACAGATGAATAAATTCCTCTACTTGTACTCGAGCAAGGAAATGCCACGAAAAGCACATTCTAACATGGTGAGGGAGCCGCCGCACTCAGAAGGAGGCCAGAAAGTTTTCTTGTAACTTCATGGGAGCTTCTCTTTTTAGTTGACAGTTAAGGCACTACATACGAGTCCAGAGTCAGGCCAGGCTCCCCCGGAGTGCTGTTTACGTGTCTCCTTGATGCCTCTTCGCCTCAATATTGATCAGGTAGTACAGTGGGGCCCAGTTGAATGCTGCTGTCCAAGAAATATAGAAAGCTGTGGCCGTATTAGGTTAAAAAAGTAAAATAACAAATGCTCTTTTTGTTTGCTTGAAGGATGCACTGTTCTTCTTGAAGGACTTTTTTAGTAGTCTTGCTACCGAAGTTGAGTTTTTCTCCCCACCTGTTCAAGAAGGTAAGAAAGCCAAATCAAAGGTAGATTGATAGTTGCAAACTTACTTTATATTCAAGACCTCTGATTGGTTTTGCAGCTGTCTGCGTCCCAACAAAAAAAGCATCTGCCCCAGAGATCTCCTGCAGCTTCTCTAAGCACACTGCTAGCAGCCAGGATGCAGCCCCGATCATCTCAGTTCCTGCACAGCGACAAATGAGCCACAACGGTTTCTCTGCATCTGGCAGGGAAGAAGCGAATGACAGTGAAGCCTCTGCGTCCCCTTTCACAGACCAGCCGATCTTCTTTAGGTTCGTGGTAAATACTATAAGTAAGTTTTACGATTCTCTAAAATCTCCAAATGACTCAGTCTATGTTTATTCTTGTTTCCTTCTACTAACAGGGAGTTTAGATTTACCTCTGAGGTTCCCATTCGACTGGATTACCATGGCAAGCACGTATCCATGGACCAGGTACACGATCGAAGAGGAAAACGAGCTTGCTCTTTATTATGTGACTGATGTTCTATAAATAATGCTGTGAATACGTTGTTTCAGGGAACATTTGCAGGAATCATCTTTGGATTGACGCAGCTGAATTGTTCAGAGTTGAAACTGAGGCAGTTATGCTACAGACAGGGGTACGTTTTATTGCTGTCATTATATCACTGTCGTTTTAGTTCCACAACAAAACAGCACTGGTCTATGTTTCAGATTACTTGGTGTGGATAAACTCTTTTCTTATGCAATAAATGAGTGGCTAAATGACATAAAGACAAACCAGCTCCAGGGACTGCTAAGTGGTGTGGCACCTATTCACACTCTGGTCAAGCTGGGTGAGTTAAGCCCCTTGTTTTTAACCAGATTGCAGGATTCTAGTGACGCAACCTAAATATTCTTTCAGTTTATGTAATGAAGATGAATGTTCTTTTCAGTGCATGGACTCAGGGACTTGGTGTGGCTCCCCATTGAGCAGTACAGGAAGGATGGCCGAATCGTGCGTGGCTTTCAGCGTGGGACCGCCTCCTTTGGAACATCGACTGCGATGGCTGCTCTGGAGCTCACAAACAGGATGGTGCGGACCATCCAGGTAGAGCAGTCTCTCGTTGTTAACCACAAGCCGGCACTTCTTTACAAGACATCAGCTAGGGGAATTTTACATTTTTCTGTCTCTTCAGGCAGCAGCTGAGACAGCCTACGACATGGTGTCTCCTGTGCCCGACGAGAGAGACACAAAGAGGGTGAAACGGTACTCTCATTACGGCCTGGCTCACCAGCCTGTTGACCTTAGAGAAGGAGTTGCCAAAGCCTACACTGTGGTCAAAGAGGTAAACAAACCCAAAATTCAACTAACTAGTGCTTTGACATTAAACTGTAATTATGGAGAGGGATTCCCAATATTTCCACCCACAGGGTATCACAGACACAGCGCTGACCATCTATGACACGGCCACACGGGAGCACGAGCAGCGCGGGATGACCGGAGCAGTGGGAGGAGTCCTCAGACAGCTGCCGCCAGCTGTTGTCAAGCCGCTCATTATGGCAACCGAAGCCACATCCAACGTGCTGGGTGGGATGAGGAACCAGATTCACCCCGATGCGCGTCAGGAGGAGTCTCAGAAATGGAGGCAGGGCGAGGAGTGACCGCCATCGCCGTCCGGTCACTGAATCCATTACTAGAGAGAAAATCCTCCGCTTATAAATGTTAAGTCGTTTTTTTAAAAGAGGAAAAAAGGTGGCAAAGCAGTTACGGTGTAAATAAAATTGTGTTCATCTTGTGCCAGTTTGAGCCGCTGTGATTTAGCTTGCCGTTTCCCTCACAGTGCCTTCATGGGCATCAGCATTGTCCATCTTCTGCATCATCAAAGGGATACAGGAAGACTGAATCTGCGAGCCACCAATTATTTTATGATAGATATGTTCTGTCAGACGAAAAATAATGTAAATGACAGATAGGTTGTCGCATTAGCTTGATTTTCGAACAGCTCTGTTTACAGATATTGTTACATTCTCTTATCCTACATGGTGTCATCAAACACTAATGTTATAGGTGTAACTACCCTTAATTTATTACATGTACTGTATGTTGGCCTTGTTATTTACTGTAAATATTTCTATTGTGTCATTTCAAGCAGATATAAGCAAACAGGCGTAGAAACTGAATGTGTTAAAGCCGTCTGACAGTCTTTAACTGCACTTTTAAGCGACTGGAAGGGTGACCTGCCTGAGGAAATGACAGATGGAGGGATTGTCCAAATGTTGTAAAGATGCACAATTTCATGTTGAGCTTTGACACGTGTGTTGTGGAGTTTTCACGAAAGCTGCTCCGCCGATAATTTTCCTTTTGTTTTTTTTGTTTTTTTAAAAATGGTTAAAAGAGTTGGATTGCTTTGGTTTGCTGCTGACATTTTCTAATAGTTGACACAGTTCACAAGCTGAAATCTTGGAGTCTTACTACCCTGCTCAACTGTTTTTTGTATGTGTAAGAGTATTGATTCGTCGTGACCAGTTGTGTTGCAGGCATTTGATTTGTTAACTTTCGTCTATTTTGAGAAAAAAAAGAATAGTTTGTGATGTACATAAGTGTACAGTTGATTCATGAATTTGTAATAATAATCAATAAAAAGGGAAATAAACGCAGTTGAATTTACCACAGCGGAGGTGAAGTGAATGAATTGATGTTGTGGGTTATTTTCATATTGTTGTGGTCATTAGAAAAATACCAAGCCAATTCGAGTTTATTTTCAAAAGGCGTCGGACTCAGAAATTGGTGTCGCCATGGCAACAAAAAGTGTTTGTTTTGTTCATTTCAGCCAAGTATATTTTTCTTCGATCACCTTCCTTGAATATCAGTAAATGCTGTCTGAGGATGGACTCGATGTTGGGTTTGGGTAGTTTATCTTTTGAATCTGGTCTGACTGATGACGAGAAAAAGCTCCTTTACCTTCGCGCTCGTGCGACCGGACTGACATTTTGCGGGTGCGCGCACGCGGCTTTCGTGTGTGAACTGATCCACTCGCTCAGGTCAGTTTAAATGAGCCTAGTTTAACTTTCCCTTACGGGGTTCATTTCAGGACATCATCAGTTCTCAGGAAAGAAGTTGTAGGTTTTCAGTTTTTCATACTATCTGATGACCTTTTTCCTGATGCCTGACAACTTTTTTTTTCTGAGATCTGATGGCTTTATTTTTTCTGAAACAGTAGACTGTACTCAAATCTACACCCTGCTGCTCATTAATACTTAAAAGTCCCCATCGTTTCTCGTTGTTGTCAGATGTAACATCAGGGGTCACACAGCTGTCACAGGCGCACCGGCAGATGATGCTGACCTCTCTGTGGGCGTGCTGGGTATGGGTCACTTGGGAAAACAGCTGCTTCTTGGACTCCTTGAAAACACCAGCATCAAACCACCGCAGATTAAGGTCTCCACCAGAAACCCAGAATCAGCAGGTACGCTTGTAGGGAGAAATCAGACCAGCAAAAGCTGGGTCTGTAGAGTCTCTTGGCAATCTGACACAATCTTCCCAACTTTTCCGTGAGGACGCAGCTTGTTATTTAGTATTTGTGACTGTGCAGACTTTTATGCATGCTGGTAGACATTGTGTGGAGAGAAAACTGCCATGATACACGCTTTAAATAAACCAGAGAATTGACTTAAACTTCATGGCCGAGATATCCAATTTCTAGTTATTAAGATCCCCTAAAAAAATAAATAACTAGCACCAATCTATTCCTTTCCCTAAGTCTATACCGGCTTAAGAGACAGTGTCTAATAACTCCTGTAAGTGCAGCACTCACCTGAACTTGTTCAACTTCAAATCTTGAATGAGTTTGCTGATTTGAGGCCTCAGCTGGATGTTTCTCCTGCATGAAACCGTGCTGCTCAGTCTCTAAAGTAGTCTGCAGAAAGCCCCCTGGTGATCACTTGGACCTCGTGCCAGTCCAGGTCGACTACCTCAGAGCCTTATGTGGCTGCTTTCTGGGACAGATGTTGACACAGACCCAACCTCCAAAAATGGTGGTCTGTCACACACAGCACAGTGTTGATGCTCCACTCCAACTCATTCCACTCTCAGGTGATTCTCAGACTGAAATTCTTACAGTGGTTTACAGGGAGTGAATATGCAGAACATAACAGTCTTAATGTGTCACGAGGAAGGGGGTGCACAGGTCTACACTCTGGTGTTCTACAATTAGGTGTAGTTCCTATAATTAGGCTAATTGTCAAACTACTTGGGATTGGGAGACACTTTTGGGTTACTAGTTAAGCCTGTGTTGATATCAATTGAGCTTTAATCTTACTCTCTGTTATACTGCCAGAGTTTAAACTCTTCCGTACTCTGTTTTTTAAGCTGAACACCTTCCCAAAGGAGTGGAGTGTTTCTTCAACAATGGCCGACTGGCAGCACGGGCAGACATTCTGTTCCTCTGCTGTCTGCCCTCTCATCTCCCCAAAGTCTGCGCCGACCTCCGGTCTCATCTGTCCAAACGCTGTCTGGTGTACAGCTTCGCCTCGGCTGTGCCTGTCAGCAGGTACGGCCGCTCTCATTACAACATCTGACACTTCAGAGTCAACAAATCCTTCAGTTTCAGACTTCTGTCTCAGGCTGGCTGAACTTCTTGGGCATGACTTCATCGTGAAACCACAGTATGAATTTCCCACCTGCGACTCTGGGGATGTGTGGCTGTCCTGCCCCCGTCTGGGGTCGGCTTGGAAAGATCCTTTGCTGATAGAAGCTTCATGTCCTCTTACAACAAAGGGTTCGGAATACATTACATGATTCCCAAAAGATTTCTGTTGAGCTTTTCACATTATGTAAGATGCAAATGAAATGTGTTAGCACTGTGCTTTAACAATTTACCTTTCATTTGATTTAAATTGACATTTATACGAGTCATTTTTCCATCCCCTTGTAACCACCGATGCTGCTTTTGTTTTTTAGGTGGGATTACTCTGGGTCTGAGCTGGGTGTGTGCTGTGCTGTACAGCCTGCTGAATGTATGCACCTCTGCTGGTCTTGGATCCAGTCTGGCTCTGTCTCTGATCAACAACATGTTTCAAGATAAATGGACAAACAGCGTGCAGTTGAACGTAAAGAGCTTCATCAGTTCAGCCTGTGCAGCTGTCCTGCTTTCAGATGCGTGAGTAGTTCAAGCAGCTGATGTTGTATTTGTTGCCCACAAGCAAATTCATTGGTTTCATGGGCAGACAAAAGGGAGGCAAATCTACTCATTTAAGTGTCTTTTTTTTCTCATTCCACACAGGTCTTTTCCATGGATTCCACTCACAGATGCCCAAACCAGAGACACACCATTGCTGCGCTTTCTGTCCAGCAGCAGGCCCATGCAGCAAGGCATCGCCGCAGTTTATAAATCCCATATGGAGAGAGGCCTAAAAAGAGACTTTTCCCCATCATAATACGAGACTTTAGTCAGCTGTTCTACTTATGCACTTTGGAAAATAACGTGGTGACGCCTTATTATGCTTGTGATTGATTGATTTGTACTTCAAGGTTTGATTTACATGTGATACACAATACTTTCACAATGCACAAAATCTAGAAAATGTATCTAATTTTTTTATAAATTGCCAAATAACATTTTCAGTTGAATACCACGGCACTTTTCAATATTTACCCATTTAGTTGCCATCCTGGATTGTAAATGCTATTTAGATTTACATAGAATTGTGCTGCCTGAAACGAATCAGCAACAGACCTGTTTTTTCTACCAGTGAAGTAGATGTTTAAAGGCTATTAAAAATATGTGTGGAACCCAAAGTTGGGAGGTTTTGTCAAGTATAATAAATCATAATGACTGAATCTAGGTTGAGGTTCTGTCAGAATAAGATATATCAAATCACTCGTGTTTTGTGCTCTTTTTTTATTTTATCTTTAATTACAAGAGGGCATTTCAGGGGTCTGATGCCTCCGCAGTCAGCATCCTCAGAGCTGCAGAGATCCGGATCCTCTGCTGCAGACTCGCTGATTTTCGTCAACGCTCGACGCGGAAGTCTCTTCCCCTCCTAAGCAAGATAAGCAGCGTCTTTGGGAGGATTGCCAGATTATATTTATGGACATGGAGGCGTTTTTATTTGGCGCTTAAGCTGGAGGGAAATAAATTCACCTCGCTTTACCGACGGGCCGTTCGTGGTGAGAAAACCCCCGTCGATGACTTTTACTGCCCGCTAGGTAGCTAACGCCAGCTAGCCAACCGCAAGCTAATGCGAGCCTACGAGGATGGAGCTGGTTAGGGAAAAGCCAGTCCCACGCAGGACTTAACACGCTATTCGTGTCTGTAGTTTTAGCAGTGGTTGACGGTGTCGTTTTGTGTTTAACGGCGGTGTGTTTGGCGTGTGTTGTGTGAAAAGAGGCTAGCTAGAGCGTTGCCATCGCTCCCTCCTCCCTGTGGTTGTGGGGGGGCGGGGCTTCGTCTCTGCCAGCCAAGCGTACAGAGGTGTTTGTTTTGTCATGACAGCAATGGAGGGGCTAGATGCTTCATCAGAGCTCCAGTCGCGGCTGTCATCCTTGTCCTTCTCGTCCTTTCCCGGAATCACATCCAACCAGTGCGACAGCACCCCGCCGGACAGGTAACCTGTTGCACGCAGCTTTTTTCCCACGGGCTCAAACGCACCGCCGGCTCCGTCCCTGTGCCACTCTGACCCGTTTCTGTTCTCCTGTCGTTCTGTTTTTACTCCAGGCTCCAAAACACAAATCTTTCGGAGAGTTTTGCCCCGACCAAAGACCAAACCGATATGGATGAAACCAAGGATTCGGGACCGGGCTGTGAGGTAACTCATACTGAAGGAGCCTTCCAGGTTTAAACATTGTACAGGGTCATCTGACCTGGTTTATTTGCAATAACGTGCTATGTTTGTGTGCGTGCTTCGAGGGTGCTGAAGACGCCCCTGCTGAGCTGGTCCTGGGGGATGGAGCCAAGGAGGAGGCCGGTGCAGGGAGCTGTCAGCTCTCCTCTGAGATGAAAGGTGAGGACCCGCTGAGCGTGCTGTCATGACTGCCACTTTGCTGCACGGTTTGGATGCAGGAGTCCTCCAGATGTGTCTCTAATAGCAATGTGCCGTGCAGCCATTGCTTTAAAGCACCGCTTCAGCTTAAGTGCGTATCAGAGTCGCTGGTTTGAGCTCATTCCCTTGAACTTGTCGCGATTTGTTCCCTCTGAAATGCAGCCCAGATGCCCCCCCTGCAACCCCCAACGACTTGGACATCTGCTGCCCTGAAGGAGCTTAAGGCGAGGCTTCGAACGGAGAAGGACAGCGTGGTGACGGTGTACCGAGGAGACATCATGACAGTTCACGTCCCCACTCTGCCCGAGGCCAAAAAAGTGTGCTGGGAGTTCGCCACAGACGGCTATGACATTGGCTTTGGGATATATTTTGACTGGAGTCCCGTGACGAGCCGGTCTATCACTGTGCACATCAGCGAGTCGAGCGACGACGAAGACGAGGAGGAGGAGCTGGAAGGTCAGTCGTTTAAGAGTATGAGGTCGTCTAATGTGTCCCTGCTTTAAACACCCTAAGACGTTCCCCACCGGGTGCGGCCTGTTGACTTTGTGGTTTTTGCGATTCGATTTGCAGGTCCTGTCACCAACGGAGACGTTGAGAAGGGCTCGAAGAGTCAAACCAACTCAAACTTGGCTGAAATCCTTCCCGTGTACCGCCAGGACTGCCACTTGTCAGTCCAAGGCGGCAGCCACGATTTCCCAGGTGAAGGCACGTACCTCTTTAAGTTTGACAACTCCTACTCCCTTTGGAGAAACAAAACTCTCTATTACAGGGTTTATTACAGTGCCTGAGATGCCGCTTTGATGCTTGTGAATGTACAATCTGCAGAAGAATACTATACCCCAGATCAATGAACTATTTTTGATTTCACACCTCGAAAGAATATAATAAACTATAAGAAAAATGAACTTTAGGTATATCTATTTTTATCACCATCAGCTTGTGTTGTCATGTGTCCCGTAAATGTTAGCTGAAATCGTTTTCATCATGTTTTGCTTTTTTTGTCGGCATAAATAAGAAGCAGCCTTGCATATGTGCCATATTCCTATGTATGCACGGTGCTCTTTAGTTAAGCGTCTGTCATCAAACATGAACTATCCTCACCTGTAACATTACTATGATGGCAGCGGTCGGGGGGGGGGGAACCTGCACCTGGGTGTATTTCACCCATCCGGGTGCCTCAACAGCAGTACTTTAAAGAAACTAAGGTTTAAGGTTTTTCTGCGTGTGTGTTTGCTGTGTTTCTCATTCGGCTTCGTAGCATAACTTATTTTCTTTGGTGTGCAAAGTCTAATCATGTGATCTAGCCGAACCTTGTAGAAAAGTCTGAGTTTCTACTGTCATGGTGGCGTGTCGGTAAAACATATGAGTTGAATGTACTAAAGCAAATGGTGTTCCAGAGTGTGCTTTTTATGGCACAAATAAAAGCCATCCCTTATCGTGTAAAGCTCTCATTATGTAATATTGATTCAATATTTACACTTGCTTCGCCCATGTTTCAATTAGCTGTTTTGAAGGGGGAAGCTTTTCCATCCAAGTGTGTCTGAAAACTTCCATTTGGTGTTTTACTTTTATTCTTTACCTTTTTTTTGTTGTCTGTTGGACCATCATATTTGTAAAATCACTTGTGCGTGTTTCAAAATATGGCTGCTAATGTTCTTCCCAGTGCAAAAAGACAGATTTGAAGCGCTCCATGTTTGCTGCTCCGTACCTCCTCTGTAAGTTGCGCTGTTGGCTTCTGTTCCTCAAATTTATATCCACAATAAAGAGAAGATTGTGTAGTTCTTGTTCTCTTTACTTTGGGGGTGGATTGGGACTCACTCATTCGTCTAGGATTCAATTATACGATTAACTTTAAAATTGTTTTTGGGCCAGAATGAGCCAATTTTACAGAAAATGCTGTCATTTCATAACAGTCTCAGGATTAGAGGCCCCACTCAAGATGCTCCCATGTGTTCCCATCAAATTGTGCCATTGGGGGATTGATGTAATTGTTACAGAGGCGCTGATGAAACCTGGCTTTATTTTCGGCTCCCCCTGAAGACGGCTCACAGTCCTCTGATACATCTATTCTCTGTCATGCTTGACTGGGTTAGCAGGAGGACAAACAGACTTTAATTGGCTTCATGTGGTACCACTTGAGCTTGTTTTTGTCCCTCTAAATACTTCATTAAATGATTATGTTGCACTCTGAGGGCAGGTTTGTGACTGCAGTATGTGTGGCATTATTTTTGCCTCAGAGGGGCAAAGTAGAAAACAAACAACAAAACAAAGAAAATAACACCACCGTTTACCTTATGGAGTATAAAAAACTGCCACAAGGTCATTAATAAAGATAACTAAACACAAAACAGAGGATATACACTAAGCAAAGTAGCATTCATTTAATATATTGCACCATCAGAGTGGAGATAAGATTGTAGCTGATAAAATAATATTTCTCGGTCAAAATAAATAAAAAAATGAGATAGGTTTGTCAAGTCTGAAATGAGACACATGTCTCTCATGTGTAAATGGACCAACTAGAACAGCAGGGTGTTCATTTAGGTGCTTTATTTTCTGAACTAGCATCTATGGGTCCACCATAAAAAAGATGTGGTCTTCCCCTGTCTCCGTTTCCAAAGTGTCTGTGGATCTGTAGGTCTGTGGATCTGTGGATTTGTGGGTCTTTGGATCTGTGGGTGGATTCCCGACTGATTGCTTCACGGTCTCACGTGTGCTGTTCTCCGCGTTTCGGTCGCTGCTTGGTCTCCACTTTCTCCCGGACAAAAATGGGGAAGCTAAATTTCTACGTCCTTTGGAGTTTGCGGGACGTTCCCCGACAATTCAGCTGGTATGTAGAAAAAACAAAAAAAACGAACAAAAAAACAAACAAACAATGCACGTAAACGCGGAGCTGCGTTGACGGTGAAGCCCCATTCAAAGCCGTCCCGTGCGTGTCCGCAGCAAGTCCAACCGCAGGTGCTTCCAGGTGCACATCCCGCTCCCCCTCCCCAAAATGCTGGTCGTCTTTGGACTCGGGGAATGGGCCTGCGAGGACACCACCATCTCAGCCGAGGTGGTGGTCAGTGGAGATGTCCAGGCCCAGAACATAGGCACCCTCTCCTCTCAAGCAAAGTAAGTTGATGTAAGATGAAGCTACAGAAAAAGCCGTTCACATCAAAGCGGGATGAACCCCAAGATGAACTCCTCTCTGAACTCAGGTGCCTGACGTGGGAAGGCGACTGGAGCAGTGAGGTTGTCACGGCGGCGGCAGAAAGAGGCCGGAGGGGGGTGTACGCCAAGATGGTGCTGAAGGTCTGCGGAGAGGTACCAGGCCCAAAGATGACCGCTGTACCTCAGACATGCTCCTCCTTACACTGGTTGGCTGCGGCTGAATGCGACGGGTGACTCGGGCAAAGTGCGTTGTTGTTTGGTTGTTTGCACAGGAAAACGCCAGCCTCCTCAGCAGCACCCCTCTGGTGGACAGGAAACATCTGTTTCCCGAGCAGCACAATGAGACGGATCTCTCCGGCACGTTAGCCCAAAGAGCCGAGGACCAGACGGTGAGGTTTGGTCATCGCACTGGCCGAGGGGTGAGGGCGGTTGTTTGAGGGAATGCATATCTCCGCAGATGACTCCCGACTCGTCGCATCTGGGTGAGAGCGTCTGCTATGCTGAGATTCAGGTGAACAAAATAGACACCAGCGACTCCCCCCACCAGTCGGCCTGGCCCACGGTGAGTTTCCTCATGGGGAAGCGGGTTCACGTCGGCGGGTCAGAGGAGTAACCGTGTCATGTGCTCCATGACCGGAAGGAGAAAACGCCCAGACGAACGGTCATCAGCCGGAGAGGCCTCCTCACCTGGAGCTCCGAGGAGACGGACAGCCTGACGGAGGACGCGGACCGAGCCTCCACCCCCAAGAAGAGGAGGCTGTCCAGGAGGAGCAGCCAGGAGGAGATGAGCGTGCAGATCAAACATGAAAACAGGGGAGGTCAGAGTCGCCAAGTCCACATCCGTTGCTGACACGCACAACCACACAAATAGTTTTTTCAAAAACATTTTTTTAATGATGTTTTAGTCTCAGCGTGTCCCTCGGAGCGATGGGGCCACAGCATGTGTCTGAGTGACCCGGACACGGCCGTCCTCATCGGTGGGGAAAGCTCAGACCAAAACCACTGTGAGGATTCTTTGTGGAAGCTCGAAATAGGTCAGTGGAGTTTGTGTGTCTCTGGGTTTAAAGGGCGGCGCACCCCAGACCGACCACAGATTATAGAGAAATGCATTTCCTTGCAACGGTTAACTGACCCGTTTTCAGACAGTGACTTCTGGTTCCCGATGGACTCGTGTGCCTCTGGACCTTTGCCGCTGTGCGCCCGAGGACACACGGCGACCTATGACCCGGACTCTAAGGCAGTCTTTGTGTACGGTGGCCTGAGGGAGGGTCAGCGCTACAGCGAGCTGTACATCCTTAACACTCTGACCTGGAAGTGGAAGCTTGTCTCTGTGGGTTTGTTTGGACTGACTCATACTGCTCTTAGGTGTTCTCTCTTAAAAACACATGCATGATATGAAAAAGCATTTTGCTGTTTCTGTATTTCCTTCCTTTTAGGCAAAAGGGAATGTACCAAACTTGGCATATCACTCTGCAACATTTTACAAGAAGGAGCTTTTTGTCTTTGGGGGAGTTCAGCCAAGCCATTCCTTGGGGGATAAGTCCTGTAGTAACGCTCTATACATCTTCAACCCAGAGTATGAGCTATGGTACCAGCCCATTGTGGATGGAGAGAGGCCTCTTCCTCGCTTTGGGTCGGTATCAGTGCTTCACACTCACTGGGAAAACCCTCTGAATTCTGGTTGATCCCATATAATTCAAAGTCTCCGCTCTTTGAACAGACACTCGGCCACTCTTCTCTCTCAGAAGTTGGTTTTCTTCGGTGGACGAAAGACGGCCACCTACCTGAACGACCTCCACATTTTAGACCTGGGTAAACGGATCCTCTTGATGTCTTAAGAGGAGAGTTTTGTGCCGGCTTTTTCACCCACGGTTGAAATGTTCTTTTCTGGGTGAAGGTTTCATGGAGTACACAGCTGTGAAGTTTGCGAACATGCCACCACTGCCTCGGGGGTAAGCACGGAGCTAATCAACCCTGATATATGTCACCGATGCGGCCATCTGCTCCTGATATTTTTGGAGTATTAAGCTACACAGAGCAGCATTTGATTTAGATCCATTTGAACACAAAACACCCCTCAGAATCTAATTAAAATGATAATTAAATCCACGATTATTTCGTTTTTAGCTGCACATGAAATCAATGCACATACCAAAAAAAAATATTTGGCTAAAATAAAACCCTCCTGTATGTAAATACACAGGTTTCATGCAGCACTTCCAGTTTCGGACAACAGGATTTTGATCAGTGGAGGATGCAGTGCCATTGGAGCTCTGAAGGATGTGCATATATTCAACACTGGTGAGTGCAGGTCTCCATCACTGTAGTCTTTTTTTTTTTTGCTGTGTGTGCAGGATTAAAATTAAGCTGTGCTTCTGATTCAATTTGGATCGTGTTTTTTTAGCCGGAAAATTGCTAAACGGCTTTGGTTTCTCTCTCAGATTCCGGCATGTGGAGTTCTGTGGCCTGTCCACCGCTGTGCTCCAAGCCCCGTGCTGGGCACAGCGTGATACGTCTGGACAGCGCCGTCCTGACGGGCACGGACCACAGACGGCAGGAAAACACAAACACTCAGTGCACTTTGCTGGTGTTTGGCGGGTCGGACTGCTGCGGATCCTTCTACAACGACACCGTCAAGTGCACGGTGGAGATCGCCGGCGAGCCGTGATGCGATTCAAACTGAGTGCGTGATGTGAGCTGATGTGACAGAAAGGTGCATTTTCTCTGCCTAATTTGGGCCTTAATCATTCATCCTGCCACCAGACGGGGAGTAAGCAGAGGTCCCTGAGGTTCTGCACTTTGCCTAACAAATGTTTGATCTGCATGTTTTACCCATTATGTCCTCTTACATGTCCTCTACAGAAGGGGAATGTGAGGGTCGAGTGCCGGGAAGGGGGAAATGACATTTAAAATAAGAATTCTAATAAATGTTTTTAACTCAAAGTTTTGCTCTTATTTAAAACCACTCAGCAGAAACAAGACTGTTCTCAACGCTCTTTATTTCAACACCGCACACGTGTCAAGCTGCCGTTTCACGTACGTAGTTCAGCAGGAGTGTCCGGCTGGCAAAGCGGGTGGCTCACTTTGAAAGCCTCAACCTCAACTAGGGTCTCGTTTAACCTTTTGATGGTCGGATACTGCCCCACGTCCACTTTGAACCTGCAGAGATAAACACTCATCTGTAACGCTTCTGTGTCCCGGGCGTTTACAGGTCAGTGGGCTCACTGCATATGAGCGGTAAAGGATTTTTAATGGATGTTATGGATGTTAAAGGGATGTTAAAAGAAAAGCAAGACGAGCTGATGTTATACCAACAACAAAATGACTGACCAGTTGTGACAATTTTCAGATGCAGAATGCCTTAAATCTTTGATTACATACCTTTCTGCATTGTAAACTTGCGGGACCAGACAGATGTCTGCCATAGAAATCTAAAAGGAAACCACAAGATGTATTAAGATTGTTGCCCTTTGTTTATTTCTGATTGATAATCAAGCCCTCACCTCATCGCCCACACAGAATTTTCCTGATGTTTGCTTCAGAATTGGTTCCAAAGCTAGTGGAGAATAAAAGTTACACATGAAGCCAAATGCAAACATGACTCAGGTGGTGCTTTTTTAAACTTGTGTGAATAAAGAAAAACTCTTCCACATACCTTGAAAACCACGATTTATGAAGTGTTGTGCCCACTGCACCTTCTCCTCTCCCATTTTTTGGATCACGTACAAATTCTGAAACCCCAACACAAAATGTAATAGAAGAGTGATGTTTGCATTTCTTTTTTTTTCTTCTTAGTGGAGTCACATCTGAAGTTTTGGGCTCACCTGTAGGGGCTGGATCCCAGAGGCGATCAGATCGCTTATCATGCGAACCTGAGCCCGCGCCTTCGGGTCCACTGGGAGAAGGCGAGGTCCCGGCCTGGTTTCATCGATGTACTGGACCACAGCCAACTATGTGAGAGGGGCGGAGGGGGGGGGATTCTCACTATTAAGGCTGAAAGTAAACAGTTTTAGTTCGAATGACCTGGTTGGTGTTCAGACTCACTGACTGAGAGAGGGTGATGCCATCGATTGTCACAGCAGGCACTTGCTGCATGGGGTTCACTGCCTTGTACTGCTCTGACACCTTATGCACAGACAGAATCTTTGTGTTAATTATTTTTCTCAAACCTGCAGACAAGTCTTTTTTATCATGTTCAAATTCTCACAGCAAATTCCAGATCAGTTTGAAAGAAGGTGAGACGTGTAAACAGTGTACATTAATCCCCTTTTAGATAGATGCAACAGCCATGATTTCTAAAATTAATTGAAATTCTTTATTCCAGTTTCCCCACTTTGCTTCTGGCCATTTAAAATGAGCCTGGGCTCAGAAGTGTCAATGCATCTTGCTTATATGCATCCTTTTCTTTGTATGGAAGAGTTTTAATGTGGATGCAGAAAAAAATTGAATTGTAATGGTTCCAGGTTTTCAGCTGCACCGCTTCTCTATTTTTTCTTCAGAAACACTGATGTACCAGTTATTCTCTGGTGTATCTCTGTGGTTGTTTAAATTCCAGTTATTGTTCCTCAAAACAATTACACATGTTCAGGTCAAACATGTTTGATGTTCTCTTTGTGCATTAAACAGGTCAGAGAACATTTGCAAATCACTGCATCCTGCTTGGAGTCACATGTCACAAACTACTGCAGCTGAGCTATGTCCCCATGCTGAAATAACATGTCTAAAATCAGGATCTGTATGCAAATTCTGCTTTTATAGGGAGCCTGTGTGTTAACTTACCTGCTGACCTCCATCTTTGATTAGATTGACAGGAGACTGCTCATATTCGATGCCCTTAAGAGCAAAAGCTGTGCACAGAAATTCGATTACCACTTGTTGACGTCAAAATGATTTGCATAGCAGCCCAAGCAGATGAACTTTATGGTGGTACTTACCAATGCGGACCCTCCAGGAGCAGGAGCTTCGGAAGTATCCATAAAGAACAGGCTGAAGAGAAAGCAGAAGAAAATAAATCAGGAATGGGTAATCTGTAACCATTCGGGTTAAGAATATTTACAGTTTCCCTCCATGCAGCTGCTTAATTCACCTTGTTTTGGGCCATAGCTCTTTGGATCTAGATTTTCGCCAACTAAAAGGAATCAAGTTTTGCCAGTAGTTTTTCTTGCACATTCCCATCATCCCTCCATCAGCCAATAGGAGGGCTTCCTAAATTCCCTCCTACCTAACTTTTGGTCCATGACTCAGCAGCATTTGGGCTTCATATGGTTCATATTAAGCAGCTGCTTCCCTCTTTCGCACACATACACACACCCACTGGGCAAACAGGAAACATTTAGGTATATTACAATACCTTTGCGAGACAGCCTAACGTCAGGTGCATTGCTGCTCAAATTTATTTACTTATTTTCAGGGTAATTTGATCTTTTATATCTCTCAACGGTCGTTGGTTACGCTCAGCATATTTCAGAGCAAAGTCTCGAGCTCTAAGATTACAAAAAAGGTCAAATCTGCATATTTCTGCTCAGAGAGACAGTTAAATGACACTGGGTTCTGTTTAGCGGCGCTCCCGGTCACAGTTCAGCTCAAAGTTACATAACTTCCTGATTACAAAAAATAAACTACTTGTTAACGGTGTTTTTTTAACCAATGGTCAGTCGTTTTACGTAACTGAGGCGGGATTATATAGTAAGTAAGATAACGATTGGACAGAAAAAACGCTCCAAGGTGACCAATCAAGATGCGCCTGCTAACAGGAGTGAGAGGGCTCAGCCAATCGCGGCCCTGAGCTCTCCTCAGAGCCCGCCCTCACGTGGTTGATCTGAATGAGGGTCCTGAGGGCAGTCCGCTAGTGGCCGCGGTGCTACCTGTGGAGTTGGTCAGACCGGGACGTCGTTTTCACACCATGGCGACAACAGCTCTCAGATCAGTGCTGAGGACCAAGGTAACCCCCGAAAACTTACCGCCGTGCACACGTGCAGGTGCATTGGGCAGGTCTGCCCCATTTGTTTACAAAGTGCAAGTGTCATGTGCTGCAGGATTTATGCCCGGGGTTGCTTCACAGAGAGGGGATTAAGTTATTTCCTCAGGAATTATGGTCCTCCATGGGAAGCCGTTCTTTGTGTGCACAGGTCTTTAGTTGTGTTTAAATACAAAGGAACCCTTTGCACCTGCAGGCAGATCTGCATTCATCCCCAGTCAGCTTGACTTTGTCCCCCTTTCATTACTCCACACTTGGTAGTTGCTTATTAATCTTGAAGGCCAACAAGCTCCAACTGGAAGCAACTGGTTATGTGCATATTTGACAGAATGTGTGATCTAGAATGGCCTTTTTTAGTTTTTCAGCAGATTAATGATGATGATTACAGTTGGTTATTTGAGCCCTTGCTGTGCTTCTTTATCAGGTTCCTCTTAAAGTGGGCCGTGTGTGCTACTCCTCCTCAACGGTGAGTGAAGCCAGCATTGACACTTCGTCGTCTGTCTAAAATTCCTGTCTGATGGTAATATGACTTTCTGATGCCATGTGTCTCCTCACAGCCGACGACGGTTAAGCTTTTCATCGATGGGAAATTTGTTGAATCCAAGTCCTCAGAATGGCTGGATATTCACAATCCTGTGAGTAATTTTTCAGCCTTTAACCAGTAATAACATTGTCTGTCTTTATTATGATTATAACTAATGTGATTCAAATGCTCTCTTAAGGAATGAAGAAGCACATGTATTTGATCTGAATGGGTAAAACTGTAACATGTGGCATGATGTATTTTTTCACTGGTGCAAAATGTTTTCTAATTATTCTTTCTGTTTTTGTGTTTTTATTGGTTATAAGATAAGGTATTTAGTGTTATCCATTATATATTATTTTCCCACAGTCTTGTTTTGATACTTTGCCACAGTTTTGTTAACCTTGCTCTGTTACTTTACTCAGTTTTGCCACAGCCCTGTTTTTGAACCTGTTTTTTGTTACAATAAACCCTGTTTTCTGCATCTCCGCACCTGAGTCCTCCATCAAGATCCCCTTCCCTGACAGACTGTAACCAGTCTTCTTCCATTGTAGGCGACCAATGAGGTGATTGCCCGCGTACCCAAGGCCACTCAGGAGGAGATGGTAGCTGCCGTGGATTCGTGCTCCAGAGCCTACCGCTCCTGGTCCGAGACCTCCATCTTGGCTCGGCAGCAGATCTTTCTGCGCTATCAGCAGCTTATCAAAGACAACATTGTAAGTCGAAGGGTCAGGCCAAACAGTAAATTGTAAATTTCCCCACTGTGGGATCAATAAAGTATTCTATTCTATAAGCACTGAAACTGAACATATACATTTAACATGTGGCACATGAATCATAATTTAGCCTTATTAAAGCAAAAGTTCACAGCCTCTGTTTACATTTGATATTAATTAAATTAATTAAAACCTTCAGAAACGATCAACTCTGGGCTGATATGAACGGCTGCTTGTCTTTCAGAAAGAACTCGCCAAGTCTATCACAGTCGAACAGGGCAAGACACTTGCAGATGCGGAGGGGGATGTGTTCAGAGGATTGCGTAAGTTCATCTGACAAACATACAGTATGCTCACAGATAGTTGTAGGAGGACAACGTGTACTGTGGGTCAATAATTACATTTTTCCATAGGAAAGTTAATGAGTCATCGTAGATGTTTAGATAATCAAAACATGAATGAATGATGTTGAATTATTGAGACAGACAAATTTTAAACAGTTGGGTTAAGGGTGCTTTTGACTTCGGGTCACTTTATAGTGCAGTTTTGCTATAATAGCAGCATTAAATGAATATTTTAGTCAATATTGGACGTATTTCTATTCAGTGTTTTTATGAGTTACCACATATATGAACTGTTACTTGACGGTTGGTGAACGAATGTGCCTTTTGCCTGATGTATTGTGTTGGTGCCTCTCTTCTGCAGAGGTTGTGGAGCATACGTGCAGCGTCACCTCGCTGATGCTTGGTGAGACTTTGCCCTCCATCACCAAAGACATGGACACTTACACCTACCGGATGCCCATCGGGGTGTGCGCCGGCATCGCCCCCTTCAACTTCCCCGCCATGATCCCCTTGTGGATGTTTCCCATGGGGATGGTCTGTGGCAACACCTATCTGCTGAAACCTTCCGAGCGGGTCCCGACCTGCACCATGCTGCTGGCCAAGATGCTGCAGGACGCCGGCGCCCCGGACGGTTCCCTAAACATTATACATGGTCAACATGACGGTAGGAGTTGACCTCGTTCGGAGCACAAATGAGACACTGGTGGTTTAATATTTACCTAAAACTCTGTTCAAAGGCTTGTTTCAGCATTTCTAAATCTGCTGTTTTTTTTCTTCTTCCATTGACACAAAGCAACTAAAATGTTTGAAAATGTATCTGAATTTTTCATAAGCAGTAACGACCAGTGAATACACTTATTTCAGCGCGTGGTTGCTTAATAGTTGGCAACCAGCAGTTATTGATTAACAAGATATTTTGAAACAAGTTGCTCTGTCACTTTCTGTCCACCACAGCTGTGAATTTCATCTGTGACCACCCGGCTATCAGGGCCATCAGCTTTGTGGGGTCCAATCAAGCTGGAGAATATATTTATGAGAGGGGCTCCAAAAATGGCAAAAGGGTTCAGTCCAACATGGTGAGTGTCGAACATGGTGAGAGGTTTAAAGTCTAAAACTTGTAAATGTCCAGAAGGTGGCAGCATTGGTCAACCTATGGGGGCACCCCCCCCCCCCCCCCAAAGTCATTGTCTTCTCCCTACAGTATTTGTCAAATGCAGAAACAAATTGTTGTGCAAATCAGACTGTATGCCTTGCAACATGTTCCCGTTTAATTAATTGTGAATCAAAGCCATTAATCCTTTCACGTGAACGAAATTGTTAAATCATGTTAATTCACAGAAGTTTGTTGAATTTCTTTTTAAACACTCCCTCATTTCCCGCTCCCATGTGAGGCTCCCCAGTCTCCGTAATGTGATAGATCAAACGGCCGAAGGCTAACCACTTCGTGTATATTATAGGGCGCCAAGAACCATGGTGTGGTGATGCCCGATGCCAACAAGGAGAACACTCTGAACCAGCTTGTGGGCGCAGCGTTCGGGGCGGCGGGGCAGCGCTGCATGGCTCTGTCCACGGCCATCCTGGTGGGCGAGGCGCGGAGCTGGCTGCCGGAGCTGGTGGAGCGTGCCAAGGGCCTGCGAGTGAACGCAGGTACCCCGTCAGACACGCCCTCCACCTTCGTCTCTCCCGAGCTGGTTCTCACAAAGGGCCGGGATTTAGTCGTGTCGGTGGCCACCCACGCCGCCCTAACCTCACCTCTTGCTCTTGGATTCAGCCGGGAGCGAGAGGTGGTTGAGTCAGTCATGCTGCAAATTTGTGGCCAGAACTGCGGTCCGGACCTAAATGGCGGTTTAGACCACCAAAATCCTTTGAGAAATAAGTTGATGTGAGGTAAAATGGAGAATGATTCTCCCTGTTTTTGGTGATCCACAGTTAGATTTGAATAGTACACAGGAAACCAGCAAGTATACATTTAGGTGGGAGTGCCTCAGTGTGCTCCTTGTCCTAGTTTGTGGATGTCTGTGGCAGAAGAAGTTTCTGAACCTCAGTGCTTTTTTTGGGGGGGTCCTGCTAGGAGATGAGCCCGGCGCAGATGTGGGGCCTCTGATTTCCCCGCAGGCCAAGGAGAGAGTGTGCAGTCTGATCCAGAGCGGTGTGGACGAGGGAGCAAAGCTGCTCCTGGATGGCCGAAGCGTCAAGGTCAAGGGTTACGAGAACGGGAACTTTGTGGGGCCTACCATCATCGGCGGTGTCAGCGTACGTACATTCTGGCCTCTCTGTGCAGACTACGGATTTGTTTGAGTACATTTTAAGTGTATCTTCCGTGCTCTGACAGCCTGACATGAAGTGCTACACTGAGGAGATCTTCGGACCAGTGCTGATCGTTCTTGAGGCAGACTCTCTCGATGACGCCATCCATTTGGTCAACAATAACCCTTATGGCAACGGCACAGCCATCTTCACCACAAATGGTGCCACAGCACGCAAATACACTCACGAAGTGGACGTGGGCCAGGTGAGTGGCGGCAGTCTCCAAATGCGTTCCTCTGTTTGGGTAGAAAGGGGGCATTCACATCCCCCTGTCATGTCTGTGCTGCATCTCGCACATCACATTTCTGTTTGAAAATCTTCCCATATTAAAAACAAACAATTATTTTCCATGTCACGTATCCCCTTGTTTGCCCTCGACCTTAAATATACGCCTTGGGCGACCCCCGTCTTTCCACTTCCCCTCCCTGTACGGCTCCAAATAGCTACAGCAAATATGTGTCTGCGAAGAAAAACAGGGGGGTATAGAAACTTTTTTCCAGGTAGCATTCAGCGAGGGAGGGGAAATCTTAAATTAAAACTCAAAAGGGATTCCGAGGGTCCTGTTGAACAGTTATGCATAAATACGGCCAACTTTCACCCTGTTTGTTTGCCTGTGGAGCCTAGTTATGCCCTGTGTTTGCTGTTCACATGTCGGGGAATGTAGTGCAGGCCATGTGCTGCACTCCTCTCCAAACCTCTGTGCAACAAACATCTACTTTTCTTTTCTATTTTTTTTTTCCACTTCAGGCACCTTTGCCAAAAGGCCTCAGTGTGCCCGAACCTATTCTCGCTGTTTCAAACACTCTAAACCAACCTAGCCTCTACAGCCTTCATAACAATATGTTTTATTTACTTTATCCTCCCTATGATAAGTGCATACTTTGCTTTCAAAAACAGCAAATGTAAGCCGCAGGTTTAGCTTTGTTTAGAGCGATCATGTAGTCTTGTCTTTTTAAACGGCGTGGATGCACCACATCTTTCATCAGCCGCTTCTCACTCAGCCTAGCAATTTAGGATCTTTGAATTGTTTTAGAAAGCTTGCACTTTCGGAAATGAAAGGGACGACACTTGTTATTTGCAGGTTGGAGTCAACGTACCCATCCCTGTACCTCTGCCAATGTTCTCCTTCACCGGCTCAAGAGGATCTTTCAGAGGAGACATGAACTTCTACGGGAAACAAGTAATCACTATGGCAACACATTTTTGAAAGTGGATGGAAAGCACATTTGTAACTGTAAGTTTTGATGCACGTGCTTTATTGTCTTCTCTCTTCAGGGAATACAGTTCTACACTCAAATCAAAACTGTCACCTCACAGTGGAAAGCTGAAGATGCCACCTTGAAAAGTCCTGCTGTTACCATGCCAACAATGGGACGATAAACAATCCATCCTCTTAAAAGCCACTGAGGCGAGCTTCAGTCTGATGAAAAAAGATTTAAAGTATTTGTTTATTAAGAATAGTATATAAATACCAGCACCTCTCTTGAAGACTTTATATTACATCTGTATATATCGACACCACTGTCGTGGATTTAAGTACAAAAGATCTGTACCATTGAGGCAGCATTATAGAACCAACATCAGTTCCTGAAATATAACATCAGCCCTAAAAATCTTGTGTCTTTAAGCCTCATGAGTGATGGCTACTGTGGCCACAAACAGTGGATGTTTTGAGGTTGTATTTAGAACGTAATGGAGGTACAGCCCTTCTGGACAATAGGGAGAGAAATTCAAACGAGCTTCAAACATGAAACGAAATGCTGACACGCCATGGATATATGAATGGTAAAGTGTTTTAAATAAGCACAATCACACATCTGGTATTCTTCTGTGTTCATCACTGCAAAAAAAGCAAAGGCAAACAGTTTAAAGTGTGATGTTGGATGTTGAGGCTGCACTGAGGTCACATGGTGTGTATATCCGGAAGGTTGTTTGGGGTTGAGGGCAGAATGGAGTGGAATGGATGGTCGTTGAGCCGAGCTTCTCTTTAATTCTGGAAGACAGTCCTCATTATGCAACACAAAAATGCAGCCATCTTGATAAATCACATGTAGGCACTTTCGTTCTCACAGCTGCTGCTTTTTCAGCTATACATGCAATGTGGGACCAATAAATCTGAGCAGGCTTCTAAATTGCAAGGATGAGGTAAAACTTTTATTCCCGTCCACTCTTTTTGTGTCTTACTCGGCAACATCGGTGTCATTGAGGCTCTTCTGTTTCTCCGTGGAGGCACGCAAAACCAGATGCTGGCCAACGGCCCTATCAGGAAATGCAGAGTTGCAGTTAAATACAGGATGCTGCAGTGAAGAAGCATGTTTTATAGCACACTGGTGTCTTTTTGCTCATTCCGGTATCTTGCCTTATAGAGGTTATTCTGGGTCAACACAATGCACACGGATTTGGATGCTGCTTACCAACTGTCTTCACTTGCCAAATGTTCCGTGTTATTCTGCTGGACTAGGTGCCAGACCACTGCAAACATGAATATACTTCTCCTTTTGCCTGCTTTGTACCATACATCCAGATTCCCTGCTCACTTTTTTTTTTTCTTTTTCTGAAAATCATGTTACCAGCTGCCCTCTGACCACAAGTGTTCAAAGAACAAAATAAACTGTTGGTGCACGTGAAAGACCAATAGGCTGAAAGAAAATCGACGTGACCAGATGTTTGTTTCCAAGCACACGACTTTGTGGCTGGGCCTATTTTTACTATTGTGCCCAGACTCTTTCTTCATTCTTTTTAAGCAGCTGGATGGAAAAGTAAATTGGTTGAAGCCTAACTTATGTTTTATGGTATCCTCTTCTACTGAGAAAATGGCTGTTTAAAACATTAAAAAGAGGGAGGAGTCAGCAGAGGTTCAGCCTGGGCTAACTGCATGCTGTCACTGCACTCAGTTTATCAGAGTTGATAGATGCAAATGTTTCCGTGTTCTTCTTAAAGGACCACAATTGGATTTTAATGTTTTATCTGGGATGAAGTCAGTTGGTAAAAACAATCGGCAAAGCTTCTGCTAAGTCAAACGCCAGTTACTAGCATGATGTATTACCTTTCCTGCAGTCCGTTCATTTTAGCAAAGAGAAGGCTGAGCACTTGTTCCTTCTGCTCCCAAGAAAGATCTGACATTTGAACTTCACTTGTCGAGCGATGCGACCTGCAAATAATAGAAATGAAGTTATTTTTATCTCTGTGTGGGATAAAAATAACTAATAGATGGTGCAATTCATGGAAAAGATGAGAAAATAGGTGGCTCTACCATTGTGACGTGGCCTCCATGTCTGAATAGACAGAGTTGGTACTGTAAGGACTTTTATGGAAGGTGCGGATGGGTGGGAACTTTATCTTTCCTGCTGTGGCCTCCCTAAACCTCTGACGATAATCCTGCAGTGCCTCCTTTTTGTACTGAATTCTGTTGGCAACAATCTCCTGCCTCACGTGATCCAGTACCTCGTGGAAGAACTCCTCCAGTTCTGTTCTCTTCTTTACGATGGCGCTTGCCAGCTGCTTCACGTGCAGCATCTCCTTATCTCGCACGGCGAGGGATTTCTGCAGTTTCTCCAACTCTACCTGGCTGGCCTGGATGGTGACCAGGCTTATCTTCGCCTGCTTGTCCTGTTGCTCAAGTTTTTCCTCTTTCAGCTCCAGGGCCTCCTCCAGGGCAGTGACTTTTACCCTGAGCTCAGAAAACTTCTTTTTTTTCCACTCCAGCTGGGCGTCAGTCTTCTTTAACATTGACTCAATCAAGTCCTGGGTGAGAGGGCATAGGAGCAGAGTGGTTTAGTTTGCCGGCAAAGCTAACTCTGGAAAGTCCTTACATTTTCATACCTTTATAGATGTGGAACAGAAAATTATTTATGTTGCAGCCTGTACTGCTGAGTGAGTGGTCAAAGCGGATTTACTCTCTTGATTTGCTGTCATCATCAAGGACAGATTAATGCACCCAATATTTATTTATCTTAAGCAATCAGGGCCAGAAATCTGCACTGAACAAGCCACTGAATTTGAACCCAGACATCAGTGGAAACTCACCACAACCACCGACCACTGAGAGGCTGGATAGCAGTCAGGAGGTCGGGGGGTGGGAGTAGGACCACAAGCAAAATACACAGGGTCAGCACAAGTAAACAACGCAGGGGGAAAAACCACCTGAAATATATACTGCTCACATCTGACAAGTGCTTCATAACTCTAAATGACTTTATGGAGATAAATGCTCTCTGTCTGAGGGCTGCTGTTTTATAGCTACACTGATGGCTGTTGTCCTTCGGTTTCAACATACCCTTTCAACACCCAGCGAGTTGTTATCCTGAGACAGTGTGTGTGCCAGTCTTTTAAGGTCTTCTGCCTCCTTCGTAGTTTTTCTTAATGATTCATTAAGCTGATCGTGCTTCTTGAAGGCATCGTGCAAGGCACCTTCCAACTTCCTAAATGTTGACAAACCAACACAGAGGTTTTCATCCAAATGTGAAGACATATTTTGGACTTTTTATACTTTTGATTGATTCACTTCGATTCATTTTATCCTGCATCTCATCGCTGAAATTAATTTTAAAAGGTGTGTAAAGACATTGAACAACTTTGTTTTTCTCAACAATGTCTTGCAGAGAAAACCAAATCATCTTGATTGTTGTGTTTGACTTGTGCTCAAAGTCAAATCAATTACAGACACTGAAACCAAGCCACCAAGGTCACACTAGTATTAATGTGTACAATGTGGCTGAGTACGTATGTGTAATGAGTACATATCCTTTGGCCAAAAAGTCATAAACTATGATTTCTAAAGGCGCTTTACTCTCCTCTTTAAGCAGTCGTTTCTCAGAAGGCCGAGGGTGTTATCATTGGCTAAGGTGATGTACACTATAATGCATGTGGTCAAGAAAATAACATTATTCCTGGTTTTATATCTATAAACATAAACACTTGACATGAGTAAATTATTTTTCCTTTGCATTCTGCATGACAGAGCAGTTTGAGGGATAGAATTACATTTGAACAGAGCAGCGGGATCACACTCACGCAATGGCTTCACGGTGGTCCAGTTTCAACACAGCTATCTCTGTTTTGCAACGTTGCATTACCTCTGTTTCCAGGCATTCCTGCAGGGAAAGGTACCCATTTCAGTCCTCCGCCTGGCTCATCAGTCACCAACAAAACTACAACTATTTTCTGGTGCAAGAACGCTTCTCCAGTGGGTAATTCTTTAAAGTGCTGCCTTTGGACTCAATACCTTTTCCTTGCGGAAGTTTTCTCTCAAATTATTTAGGTGTTCTCTGTAGTCTTTGTCCGCAATTGCCATGCTTTCTTTCATCTACAAAAGAAAAAGGGGCATTTTTATTAGTTGCTTTTTAACATCCTCACAAATGAAGACATTTGACTTGTTTTCTGATCTCCTCACATCGCCGAGTTCCTGCTCCATTTGGGCTTCCCGTTCCTCCATTTCCCTCATTTTGTCCTGCATGCGGCTGAAGTCTCTGGCCTTCAAAAACATGGATGAACAGGAGAAAAACATTTGGCATATTTCTACCACTACACTGTAGCTGCCGCAAAAGTTCCACAAATGCGGCTTGTGGAGGAAACACACAACTTTAGACCAGGGTTCATAAGGGTAAAACTCTTCTGCCAACTCGTACACAGATCAGTCATGTTAAGCGTCTCAAGATGCTACTGTGGAGAAGCCAGTCGGGGCAAAAATGTGACAAAGCGACCAAAGTCATGACAGACAAGAATCTCACACACCCACAAACATGGAGATGACGACTAAATGAGAGGCTATCAACCATTTGATTACAACTGCAGGCCTAATTGTTATCCTTCAGATAACTCTGAAAATGTGTTTCTCCACCGGTACAGCAGCATTTACACAAACTGGTTTGCGGCATCTAATTTTCACCTTTAAAAATGTACCAAAAGTTAATCTTTCTCACAGAGATCGAACCCTTTCTAGTAAAAGCTGACCAGCGTTTGCTGTCTGTACAGAATAATGCTTTGTCTGAATGAGCTTCTTTGGTTTCACCACGTTGTTTCGTTTTCACAATGAAGGATTTTATCACCTTGCAAAGTTAAAAGGGCTGTGAGCAGCAAGTCTTGAAGTAACATCTTTGGAGACGAGCGCAATATTTTCCCCGACTGGACATGTGCGAAAACTCCATACATGTCTGAAATAGGATTGTTTCAAGTATGTCCAGACCATGCCTCTCATTCTCAGAGGCTTATTGGACTCCATTTTACTATGGTTAAGAAAGGGCTGGGAGATGGAAAACAGCTGCTAGCAGGAGGTTTTTCAGCATCTTTTGTACGACTTGACTCTTTCTTGTAAGTTTGGTACTTTGGACTTAAGTACGGGAAGCAGAGGTCAGAGAGGGTATGAGTTAAAAAAGTCCCTTTGGTGTATGTTATGTAACATACAGTGGCATGCTAGACTGGCAAAGTATGGTTAAGGCATCAGGAGCGGCATTGTGACTGCCTTCTCCCAACTTTTAAATTATGCTTTTTTCCCCCATCCTCCCGCGGCTACTGATGTGGATTAAAATAACATTAGACCATGTAACTCGGAATGTGAGGCTTTGTTTTTTATTTTACGGTCTCTTTGTTTGGTTGTTTTTTTAAACATAATGAATGCCAAGATAATTACACACGGGACAGCTGTTAAGAGACAGCGCAGCACATTTTTGAGATGCTGCAGGTTTACAATCCACACAATGAATCCCAACAATGTCACTGTCTGCTGTAAAAAAAAAAAAAACACTCTTCATGCTAGATTTTTGTTTTCATTTCTTTGTTTTTCAGCTTTATTCACTCACTTAAGTGATTTAACTTATCTAATAAAGACCCACTCACTAATATTAGAGGTGTAAGGACCGGATGATACACAACAAGATAGCAGATTATCTCTGCCTCCAGAATCCCTAAATCATCCAGCAAGAGCATCGACCAAGAAGACACACAGTGAGAAAACCACAGACAAAGGAAAGAAAGCCAAAAGAAGAACCACAGGAGAATGAAGGGAATGAGACGAGTCCATCTGTGTCCACATTGCGGAGATGCCTCAATCACAACTCATCAGGTGGACTGCACACCAAAAACGACACAGTCTGAGCCGGCAAACGCCCATCAGGAACAACAATAGACAGCTTTTTCTCTAATGTGCTTTTCCTCATTTTCACCAACATCTAAACATCCCACCATAAGAAGAACTCTCCTTGTCATTAGTGGCGGATACAGAGTCCTTCACATCCTTAACTTTCTCTGTTTGGTTCTCGGGTCTTGACTGGAGGGACTGCATATTTAATTTAAATGTGCATCAATTGAACATGTCAGCCTGGCTATGTTTTGTGCACTAAATTACAGCTCAGGTTGCCTTCCTTTGAACTCACCACTTTGTTCCTCTCTTCCAGTGCCAGTGCCTCTTGTTTTCTGAGGCTCTCCTGCAGCGCGCTGATCTGCAGAGAGCCACATTTGGTATCAGGCTTTTAAACTCATCTCCCACCCCGTTGGCGCACTCCCGCAGAGACTTACCGACCTTCTTTTCTTTGGACGCTACTTCTTTTTCCCAGTAGCCGGTCAAATCCACGGAGCTCTTCTCCGCGCGGTACAGATGAGAGGTCAGCTGCTCGTTGGCGCGTGCCAACTTGTGGCTCTCCTCGCGGTACTCCGCCACGTCCTGCTCGGTGACCTTTAACCTCAGCTCCCACAGAGCAGCGTTCGCTCGGGCCGTCTCGACGTCCGACTCTTTGTCCGCTTTCGGTACGTTCTTGCTGTCCTTCTTTCCTTTCCTGCGCCAAAAAAATAACAGAAAACTCAGGCTTTGTGCCAGAAAACACGACCATGTAACGAAACGCGAGTGCTCTTACCCGCCTTTCGCGCGCTTCACCTTGGAGGCTTTTTTCCCCGGCATGGCTACAACGACCGGGCTAACGGGGAGCTCTGGGTTTTCCGGCGTTACCGGAGGAAACGGCACCAGTAACCGGCAGTGTTTGTTTGAGCCGCTGCCATGGAGACGCCGTAACGTAGTAACAGCCCAACAGCCAATAAAAAATGTACCGGCTGACAGGACCCCCTGTTTTCCGCACACGGTTTTATTGACTCTTTTTTTTTTTTAAACAAAAAACCATTATATTTTTAGAGGCATTGACTTTGTGTGACCAAAATGCCACCAAAGCCTGGAAAATGTTTGCAAGCTAGTGTTCACAACCAGTAACACAAAGCTGAGGCTGAAAATAATCCAATTTCATTTAATTATACATACCTGTGCATGTTGCCAAAAAAATGAGCTATTATTTGTTTTTTTTATAACCTTTTGTTCTATTTTTCTTTTTGCAAAGCTTGTTGAGTCACCAACAATTACTTTAAACTACTTACAGTTCATTAAAGAAATTATTTCACAACTGACTAGGCCATTATTTTTAGTCATTTTCTGGAGCTGCGTGATGGTGTGGTGGAAGGCACTGTTGCCTCACAATAAGTGGGTTCCTGGTTCAGTTCTCAAGGGGCACTGAGACCTTTCTGTGTGAAGATTGCATGTTCTCCTTGTGTATCCACCTCCTCCGACAACCCAAAAGGTTGAATATGAGTTCATTCTAAGACTCTAGCTCCAGCTCCAAAGTGCGTGTGTTTGTTTGTGTCTATCTTGAGGGTCAACATGCCTTTTGAAAAAAGCTCCTGTGGCCCTACTAAGTTGGCATAAACAATTATCCCACGTGCAAGCATTTTTGGCAAAAATGTATCCGATGTCATGGAGTAATTTGTCAACACACAGTTACAGCTGTATCTTTCTCTCTGCTTTTATTCTGGGTATCGTCTTAGTGAATAAATCAATAAACACTTTTGCATCTCATGTGGACGTCGTGAGATGCAGATGTGTTTTCTCCTGAACCGCCTCTGGACTAACACAGAATGGCTGCATTTGTCACTTGTCTTGTAATTACAGCCTTCTCACACTGGGCTCTATCAGACAGGATCTGTTTGCACATGATCTTCTCCCACAAGATGACATGAAGTACATTTGGCTTCTGTCAACAGTATTGTCCATGTTGTCCTGAAAAGAACTATGGGTTTTGTTTTTTGTTTTTTTAACATCATGCCTGAAGTTATGGGAAAACCACAGAGATAAGTCCATGCAGTTGGCTTACATTTTTGAAGAAACTTTGCCAAGAGAAACAATGTAAAGGCCGTGATTCAAGCTGAAACCGCTGACCTTTCTCCAGCATCTTGTTCAGCTTCCTGCAGACAGGAGCCTGACTGTCCAGAGCTGATTATTTATCATACAGAAAAAGTAGATACTGCAAGTGTGTTGGGTGTAGCTACTGTAAACTGAATCATATAGGGTCGCTCTGCACTCTGGCATCACGAAGAGAGTTTGAAGACTAAATTTAAAGGTAATTACTATGACAGTGAGAAGAGAAAACTGAAATAACCCTGAGCTTTTCAAAGCTGTCATTATCACTGGAATTGTAATGACAAGGTTTGGGTCTCTTCAATGGACTTGTTGGGGTAGGACACCCACAAACATGGCATTCCTGAGGGCAACATTGCAGCATATTAATGATATATTGCACAGTGTAGATTACAAAGCTGGGGTCCTTTCTCGTGCTTTACGGTTTCAGTTAACTTGAAACAAAATACCAAACCTTGTATTGAAGCGAACTTTCATTTAATGCTGCATGTTCGTAATGTGCTGTGTCATGCCTTAGACAGCCATGGCACAATGGGTTCACCCAGTAACAAAGCACATTTGAACAACTTTGCAGGATTCCCTTGTTTCACGTTATTCTTGATGAAATCCAATGTTTCTACACCGTATCGTTGTAAAATTCTAAATCCTCTGACATTTTTCTGAGACAAAAATCCCTGCTGCATCAATTTACACTTGCAAAATAAGTGTGGGTGTGTGTGAGAGACTAAATCTTTGCGTGATTCACAGCAGAAGCAGCAATTGTCCTCAGGTGGATTAGTTCTGTCCAAACATTGCACATTGTAAGTATCGATTGCAAAATGATGTGTCTGAGCATACCTCAGACATAACTTTACAACTGACACACAAGGCAGATAAAATGAAAAAATGTTTCCCGCATGAGATCTCAGCCTGGTTTCATCCAATTCACTTCACATCACCCTGTTTAAAAACCAGGGCATCAAAGGGCTCAAGTCAGCGAGAGGTCCTGTATTCGTCCACTTTGATAGGGGCGAACGACCATTCTGGTCAGCCACAAGACTGAAAAAGTAGCCACAGTATTTAGAAAAAAGGAAGGAGGAAAGAAAGTCCAATATTTTTAGTCCAAATTACAGTGTTGGAACAGTGCTTTGCACAGTTGAGTGTCCTGGGAGTGGAATGGCATGATGGGCGAAAATGGGTGCCAAGCCCCACCCTCTCCACATTGTCCTCACCATGGTCTTCCTGCACTTTCTTGTGCCCATCGGCAGGACCTCTGTCCTCCCTTTACCCTCCCTGCCGGGCAGGTCAGCGGCTTAGTTTGTGCCACAGACTTTGCATGAATTGAAACAGGGGTTAAGACGGTATCACATCTCCTGAGATGCCTCAGTTGCCTTTTTCCCCCAAGATCTCTGTTCTCATGTTTATACAAATCTCAGTTCAAAAAGGTGTTTGAGTGTATTTTGACTCTGTGCTGCTTTAGGTGTTGCACTGCAAAAAAGTTGCCTCTTGAGAGAGCATTAGCTGATACACCACATCATGGTTTATGATGCCATGCAAAACTCCCACCTACAGTAGAGGAACGGTTACTCATGCTGCTCATGCATTTTCTCGTGAAATGTGCCTTACAGCCTAAATATTTTTGCCTTGGAAAGCCTGTGGTTAACACTGAGATGAGTGGGAGTGAGATGATTGCTAACATTCTTTTAACTTTTATGCCAGCTGGAGTGCAGGTCACATTTGCATTTTTAAAACAGAATGCAAAAGAAACAGCTGCAGGGGATTTCATCTGACGACTACTGCAGTATCATGAGGAGATTCTTTTTATTCCTGCATGGCTCTGATTATTGAACATTGTGTAGCAGAGGTATAAGTTCATAAAAAAGAACAAAAAAACAACAGTTACTACCAGATAAACCACATTTAAAATACAATACAAAAAAAAATGTTATTGTCTTCTTCACAAAGGCATAAGGAGCTTTAAATAAAGGGAACTTGCATGGTACGGCATAACCCCAGTATGACTGTGAACATTAAACTAAAGCTGTTAACTTTAACAAACTGCAGTAATTAATATAAAAACTTTCAAAAGAGCTTTTTATAAGTGCCAACACAAACTTACATCACTCCTAATTTAAGCAGTAGCAACATTTGTGCACTCAGAAGCTGTACCAAAGTCCAAAGAGTTGCAGTGTGAAGGAATTTTTGAGGCACGCTTCAATACAAGTCTTAAATACATCCATAAAAGGTATTTAAAGACCATTTTTGAGCTTATTTCAGTGGGAGCCATTCATTTGGACTACTTTAGGAACCTCTCATAAGTGTATTTTTTGGGCTTCAGAAGAACCAGTAAAAGATGAGGAGGGGAAAAACTGTGCCAGAAATAATCTTCATAAAAAGGAAAGAAATGGGAAATGCAGTCGGTGGGCAGGTAGTCAGTCATCTGCTCAGTAGGGGAGGGGGGGGAGGGGAAGGGGGGGGGGACTCCTGATGGTGATGGAGTTGGGATGGACCTTCACGTGATTGGTGGATGGCTTCTCCTGGTGTGGCTCCACGCCAAGCCGTTATGTCTTTATATACTGTAATCAGATGGCCGGACAGTCCTGAGTGTGCATCGCACCCACTCTGCGTCTCTCCATCTCCACTGCTCTCTCTCTCTCTTCAGGTCCCCCCGCCTGACTCTGGCTCCAGCATCCACCCCAAGTCTCCTCTGAACTCCAGCTGCCTTTTCCCCCCCAGGCTGTGAACACGATGGCAACGCCAAACCTGCTCCTCCCCGTGTGCGTGTGGCTTCTGGCCGGCAGTCTTTTCACGGAGGCGACCTACTACCGGCACCACCGCTACATCCCCCACTTCTACCGCTACCGGGAGCACTCGGCCAACACGGAAAACCTCCTCCCAGACGTCTCCAACCCGGTCCCTGAAGTCACCCAGTCCGGCGCCCCCACGTACCCCGAGGTCCCCGAGGTGTTCCACCCGGCCCCTGACGCCGCGCACCCCATCCCGGAGGCTTTCCACCCGGTACCCGAAGTAGTGCATCCTGCAGCCGAGACTTACCTCCAGCCTCAGGTGCACCTCCCCGAGCCAGAGGTCTCCCCCCCGGCCAGCCGCGTTTTCTTTGGGATCATGTTTGACGCAGGGAGCACCGGCACCAGGATCCACATCTACAAATTCATTCAGAAAGACCCCGGTAAGTCCCTCTGAATCTCTTACAGGATTTTTTACAGACTCCCTCTCTGCTGCTCAGCCATTCGCGCTGATGTAAGGACAGAAATACCCCGGCAGAGTGCATGGCAATCCAAAAGTAGCAGAGGTGGACTTTTAATTGCCTGTCTGACTCAACTGTGTAGGAAGCAGTCCTAAAAATTTTTGTGTGAATGTAGGCTAAGTGGCACAGTTGAAGCATCCAGAGATGATAAAAAAGTAAATGAACCGCTCTGTCTGTTTAGGTACTTTTTTGGCTGTGTTGTTTATGATTTTTTCCCCTGACCATTTTAGTTGAGCTGCCAGTTCTGGACAATGAAATGTACCATGCAGTGAAACCCGGACTTTCTGAATATAAAGACAACCCCGAAGAGGTATGTGTGCCTGTTTGCACAATATTTTGTGTATAATCTCTTTTAGTAGGGAGTTGTTTGCTCTCTGAGAACCAGTAAATCACTGGGATTTTTTGGGGTTGGGGTTCGTTATGCAAATAGTATGTTTTTTCCTAAAGCGTCTTCCTGAGCCTGCTTTATGCATTCACACGCCTGAAGATTTATCTGTGGCAAAACATGGCTTTGCTTCATTTGGAAACATTTTTCTTGATTTTCTCCTCTGCAGGGTGGCAACACCATCCGGCAGTTACTGAAGATTGCCAAGAAGACAGTGCCGGAGGAGGAGTGGAAAAGAACGCCCGTGGTCCTCAAGGCCACAGCGGGTCTGCGCCTGCTGCCGGAAGAAAAGGCCATTGCCCTTCTGAAGGAGGTGAGGCACGCCGCTTTCGCTCTGCACTCAGACAGTCTGGCACAAACATCAGTCGTCGCAGCACAGAACGGGATGAGAAAACCACTAAGTGCTTACAAGTGCCACTGAATGAAAAGGCAGCAAGTCTGCCCATTTGGTGGCTATCATGTTGCAAAGAACAGCTGTTGTTGGGTTGTGCGGAGCAACCATATTTGTCATTTTAAGTAATATCCAGCCTGCTGTTCCAGCCATGTTTGTGGCTCAGTTATCTGTCACTCCAAAACACACAAAACACATAGTCTGTCTTGTTCCGCCTGAATTCAGTCTTAATGCCATTAAATGATCTGCTATGCACTTGTGAACTGTAACTTGCTCAGTTGAAATAGGGACACATTTCCTTCCCAGGTACAAGAGGTGTTTGAAGAGTCCCCGTTCTTTGTGCCAGACAACAGTGTTTCCATCATGAATGGAGCGAATGAAGGTATTTGATACCACTTTCTCCTGTATATAGTATGAGACGTTTTTTTTTAAGCCTCCTCATTTGGTTATTTTTAAAACATTGTCTGAGCTGGTGTTTAAGTCTGTAAGAGACAATATGCTCTTGTAATTATTTTTTTTTTTTTTTTTTTTACAAGAGTTTTGTTACTACCGATTCGAAGCATATAAACACATCAGGTTGAGAGCAAGCCGTCCCACACCCTTTACTTTAGTGTGAGGCTCCACGCTGCTCATTAAGACACACACTGTGTTAAATTTCCTCACATAGCACATCCCATTTGTCATCCCTGATGTTCTAAGCCCAATAACTTTCAATCTGAGTCAACAGTAATTACTTGGGCTGCTCTGACTAAAGCTGCTAATGATGGCAAGATTGACTTAAAGTCATCTTAAGTTTGCACCGCGAACTTAAACAGATTTGAACACGATAAATATATCTTTGCTGAGGTATTAAAACTTCTCATGGGTTTGACTAATGCAGATATTTCCTCCCACGTGCTGTTTTAGGAGTCCTTGCCTGGGTCACGGTGAACTTCCTTACAGGTAAGACATTGCTTGTGTTTTGCTATGGTGGTGTTAGTGGTCAGGAGGCTCCAGTGTACACAGCAGCCCTGCAGTGAAAGACTCTTGTCTCCTCTCTGTGGTTATGTGCTGGAATCACTGGCACCATACAGGTTGCAAAAACAAGCAATATTTCCTCAAGCTTGTCACACTGCTACAGTATCACCAGATGTATTTATACATATCTTTCCTATGTTACTGACTTAAGAAAGGAGCATGTTTTAACTTAAGTTACTGATAAGTATTTAGAATTATACTGTATGTACTTTCGATGTGACTGGTGATGCATGGCACCTAGAACCAGAGTGAGGTATTTAACTATTTGCTTGTTTTCTTTAGGCCATTTGTACTCCAACACTCGGAGGACGGTGGGGATTCTGGATTTGGGTGGAGGATCTACGCAAATCACATTCCTACCAAAGTCAAAGGTGAATGAAACATTTCATGTGGTGAACAAATTATTCCTCTCTAGAACCAAAAAATGCATTGCCTAACTTTTCTCTTTCATCCAACAGAAAACGATTCAGTCTGCTCCTCCCACTTACACAGCCAAATTCAGCCTGTTCAACCATACTTATGAACTCTACACACACAGGTGAATAAATTACAGACAAAGATGACAGTGTTTCTGTTTTTTTAAATGTGAGAATACAGCATACATACCTGTCCAAAAACCTAACATAATTACACGTCACCATTGTACAGCTACCTCGGAAATGGGTTATACGCCGGTCGCCTGGCAACTCTTGGAGCACTGGGAGCAGATGGTAAAATATCCAATACCTGTGCTCATCTTTGTCTTTCCACCCTTATGCCTTGACTTTCAAAATTCTCAGCCTGCGTCTTGTTTTTCTTTCACAAGGACTGGATTGGAAAGTCTTCACAAGTTCCTGCCTCCCGAAAAAGTTCAGAGAAGAAGTGACTTTTGGAGGAAGCACCTATAAAGTTAGCGGTATTCCAGACGGTAAGATAAAAGCTGCCTGAGGTTTTGATTGCCTTCCCAGTCTCTTGAGTCCAACAATCCATACATTCCTTTCTCCAGCCTGGACTACAATAGAGTACAGTACAATGCAATTTCACATGAGAACATATATCAGCTGAAGTTCCTTTAATCTTGGCACCGAACGCATGTTTTGTCATCCTCTCCCTCTCTGTGTTCCCTCTTGAACAATTTCCCTCTTGAACAATTATACCGCGGTCAGCCTTGTATTTAAACAAAAAAATAAAACTGTCAGTTAACTTCACAAATAAGTCAGTCACTCCCTTACCACAGTCAAGTAGCCAAAAGATTCTGGGCTTGTCCCTGAGTTGTTATTTTTTGTGTGTGTAACGAGCAGCTTGATCTGGCCCGCTCACAATTATGTGGTAAAAATAGACAGCACAACAGGGCTGTGCTAACTGCCTCCCTTGTCAGCACATGGTTTTCCCGGCACAATTGAACAAAGCATACCCAAGAGGCCGTGTGAAACTGGTCCATCTGGGGCTTCCGTTTTTTATAATCTGGTGAACCCCCTAGTTTCAGCTGCCCGTTTACCTCAGAGAGCGGCACAGAGCTGTTTCCTTGCAAAAAACGATTTCTCTAACACAAAACTACATCTCTCCTGTCTTGCTTCAGGATATGCAGGGTATAAGTTGTGCTACTACGAAGTCATGAGGGTCGTCAAGGGCATATTTCACCAGCCGTATGAGGTGAAGGGCAGCAGCGTCTTCTATGCTTTTTCCCACTACTTCGACAGAGCTGTGGAAACCGGCCTCATCAGTAAGTGGGAACACACCAGCGAGCCACCTTCTTGTGCCATTATCTTTATGTTAATTACAATCTCCTGCACGTAGTAGGTTTTCAAATTGCATGTTTGTTCTCTTCACTGAAGGCAGTCGAGGCGGTGCCATTGAAGTCAGGGACTTTAAGAAGAAAGCCAAAGAAGGTAAGTGTTACAATAAAAAATGTGTTTAGGGCTAAATGAACCTATACGTGAATCGAACAGTGTCGGAGATTCTAAACTTCATGCCAAAGAGGCGTGTGGTTAAATATCTGCCCCCCAAATTGAGACAGTTGTTAAAAAAAAGAATCCCCAAAGAATTAAAGTCAACAACCAACACGTTAAACCAACACACACCATGTTCATCAGCCTGATGGCCTGACAGCCGAAGCACAGATCAGGATTCATAACAAGTGGGAATGAAGTGTTTGTGAGAACAACGCCACGTGGTCTCCAACAACAAGTCTAGCTGGAGCTGGACTGACGGCTTAGCTCAAGATTTCTGCCTGTCCCAGGCAGGAGGGCACCTGACAGCCACACACCACCTGGCTTACACATACTGGCATAAACACACACACCACCACCCACCCGCAGCCTTGTGCTGACCCTCTGTACTCCTCACACCTCCCCGTTTATGCAGCCAAACAAAACAAGAAGGTCATCTTCTAATCATGTGGCACAGCAGTTCTAAAAGTTGCATTTTACTCTTACGCAAACTGCTTTGATGGAGTCAATGACTTTGTCGGTAGTTTCTTGTGGACCGTGTGTAGCCGTCATGTCTGAAACCTGTGGCTTTTTGTGTTCGCAGTGTGCAACAAAATGACCAAATACCGCGCCATCAGCCCCTTCCTCTGCATGGATATGACATATATCACTTGCCTGCTAAAGGAGGGCTTTGGCTTCAAGGACAGCACTGTGCTGCAGGTAGGTGACTCAGAGGCAGCTTACCATGGGAAATGCACGGGGGTGTCCCAAAGAGATGAGCAGCACGTCAGACGTGTCCTTCTGCACAGCAGAGCGCATTTGAATTCAATGTAAAGTAGATTTTGAAAAGTATTTGCATCTTGTTTTAATGGAGATCCTTTTGTAACTTGATTCGTCAGCTTGCCAAGAAGGTGAACAACGTGGAGACAAGCTGGGCCCTCGGAGCCACTTTTGACTTCTTCAGGGACTTCAACATCCACTAAGGACAGCCTGCAGTCATTGCAGCTGGCACTGAGAGGGACAGTCTGTCACTGTGGGGCCTCCTCCCCTCCCTCCATCCTCCATCAGCCCGCCCCCTCGCAGATACACCCAGCCCAACCACGCTTCCTCACCCACCGCGCCCCTTATCTCTTCCTCAACCTCAGCACCCTGAGAAACACTTCAAGAACTGTTGAAAAAAAAAGAAAATATGAATCACTATATTTTTATAAGGCCAGCTATTTCTACTGTATGTCGAGCTCACAGTTGGTGGGCTGATTTTATTTTTTATGAAACGTTTACATTCTTGATTCCCTCCGGGTGTCTGATTCGAAATGTTTTTCTCACCTACCCGCACAGTGTACAGAGGGTAGCTTAGCGGCAATGCAAGGAGTCATGGTATTTTGGTGCTTACTGTGGTCCTGGAGTGCGCTGTGCAGTACAGTGGAGTAGATGTAGAGACTTGCTTCTGGAGTTTGCAACTGCCTGTCTTTCTAGATGCTTGCAAATCCAGTTTCTCTTTGCAGTAACTTATTTTACAGGACGCTTGTTAATTTGCTCTTTGCCTATGACAAGTTAGACATCGGGAGAGCAGTTGACAGCCAAATCGCTTTTCCTCAACATTGCACGTAACACTTTACCTGCAGATATTGTAGCCAAGACATGATGCCGTGCAGTTGCTGTGATGCCATCGACAGAACTGTACATATCGGTCCAAAGTGTTGTAATCACCGAGACTCAGGGGGGGGGGGCAAAGGGAGTACTGTGGAGAATGCCTCTCATAGATGGTGTTGTGAGGGCGGGACATTAGTGCTTATATGTTAAAGTGCAGCCAGTATTGTTTGTTTCATCTTGAGTGGGAAACTTGGTCTGAAAAGTATCTTTATAATATTATTAATAGAAAAACCACTCATCAAGGCCAGACAGTTTATCCGGCAAAGAAATCTCAAGCCATTCGATAAAGTTAAAATCTAAACAAAGATTATGTTAAAAACACTTTCTGAAAGTATTCCTTCTGTATTTGCTCATAAACGATCTACAGTACCTTCTTATATTCATCTTTTCTTGTGAATTGTACAAAATATTTAAAAAACAGAAATTTTATGCAAGAGTATTTTTTATCATCCTTTTCCAATATTACCTTTTGAACTCTTAGTGTAACTCCTCTCTTAGCCATACCTATGCTCTCTTTTCAATATTCATCATATTCAATTACTACTGCTGTATATACATATTGTAAACTTAGCGAAATTATTGGGCAGGAACTGCTTTTACGTCAAAAAAACTTTATGTTGCACAATTGCTGAGAAATGACTGGGTCCATCAGTACAAATAATCTGATGCCTGACAATATGTAAATTGTTTTTAAACTGGTGACTTAAATGTATACTAAACATATATGTTTTAATAAAACATGGAAATGTGCTTTGAGTTATATTTTCTGTATCATATTCTTAAATCTCACACACGCGGACAGAAACAAATTAGAGAGTAAAATAAATCTGAATTAATTTTATTATCTTTACACAGACAGTCTTTACAGCTTTTAAAGCTTAAAGTCATTGGAGATCTACAAACAACCTGCATCATTTGCTAGCAAACGCCATGATCTGCTCCTGCAGAATGAAAAGAGAAAATTAATTCAAAGACTGCCCAACCTTTGAATCATGACTTTAAAGCCTGTTATGAGTAAGTGGGACTGCAAACCTATACGAGACCAGTAAACTTGTGAACTTGGAGCATTTAATATGGAAAAAGTGTCACTTTTAACTTGGTGCCTCCATAGTGAAACGCCTTTGCAACCAGTTACAGTTGTGTTGGTCTGAATCACTTAGTAGGGAATAAAGCCATTTTACATGAGTGGTTGGTAATAAAAGGAGTGTGAAAACACAAGCCAACACCACTGTCCGCTGCCCAAGGGCCAGCCATGCACCCCACCCACACACTTTTGGTAACACTAAATTTGGGGCTAAACTTAGATGCCATAGTAGTAGGTTCAGAACCCTTAAAATTATAGACATCGCTAAAGTAAAGCTCTGTGTAATCAGAAAAGAGAGTGGAGGGTGAGGTCACCGTGTGGGCGGGGCTAAGGTTTGACAGGTGGTCGATGTTATGCCACTGATCTCCAAATTGGACGAGATGTGAAGCTCGAGCAAGGGGGTGCTTACTTTTAGTGTGGGGAGCATGTTGGTGGCCTGCAGACCGAAGGTGCGTAGGAGAACCACAGGAGCAGCGTTGGTGGAATAAAGCCGCTTCATGAGGTCGATGGCAGCCATCATGGGCAGATTGTGTCGCTGACGTTCAGTCTCATATTCTAACAAGTGCTGTATTGCTCCTGCACAAACAGACAAAACCTGCGTGTCAAAAAGTGTGAATATAGTCGGAGCTTGTGTCTGCCATATGTTTCCCACATTAAGCCCGCGCTCTGGTGCTATATTAACCTCAGAACATTTATTAAAGCAAAAAATAAACTCTCATCACGGGATTTTCAATTTCGAAGCAAAGCAACAAATGTAAAGTTCCTCAGCACAATGTTCAGAAGACATTAAATGAATATTGCCGGAAAACCTTACGCTTTTTATAGTTCGGATCAACAGAGTGCGTTTGAGCTGGAGAAATGGAAAAGAGTTTAGTGGAAACCGCGGGGCAATGGCTGCAGCGTTTGTGTCTGTTTGGAGTTCTCACTGACCCAGGTCCTTCCCGTTAAAGGCTGCCTGGCTCAGAAGCTGTGTGAGGCAAGCCACATCCCCAAATCCTAAGTTGGCTCCCTGACCGGCCAGTGGATGAACACGATGGGCCGCATCCCTGGGGAAACAAACATGTTTTACTTTCGAAATATAACACATAAAACGTTGCACTGTTTTATGTCCAGCACAAAGCGTTTTGTTCATTTCATTGCATGTGAAAACATGAAAAGGGTTAAAAGAGTTCCTGTTCTGAGAAGCAGCATCTTACCCAATGAGCGCTACCCTGTGCCGGATGTACTCCGATGCGTGGCCCATACCCAGAGGAAACATGACCCTGCTCTTTGGGCCGATCCCTGCCACGCTTGGTGGGAGCTGTCGAGGTGAACCTGCCGACGGCATGATGGCGGACAGCGCGCCCCTGAACAGAGAGCCAGCTGTCTCAATTAGCTCCGACTGGTTCTCATTACTCCACTGTCAGTGAGCACAGGGCAGGCCAGAGGACAGACATATTCACAGAGAGAGAGAGAAGAAAGGGCCAAAAGAGACAGAACACAGACATTATCCTTTCGAGTGGACGGTGAATTGAGCTGACACAAGAGCAGGGCTGAACTCCAGGCCAGCAAAAGTGCTCCCCCCCTACTCCCCTCCCTAACGAACTGGTTTGGCAGGGCTTCAGGAGCTGGGCTAATTAAAAGATGATGCCGGCCAGGCTATGCAGTTGAATTAGCTATGTTTGAAAAACATTCCATGCAGTAATGGTCGACACTGGGAGACCACAGGTTTAATTAGCAAACCAGGGCCTGTAACCAAACGTGACTCAACCGTGGTGACCCCATCCATCAGTAGAGCCAGTAAAAATAGCCAGCTTGGGAAAAAGGACTTTCTCCAAACACAAAAAACAGATAGGTACATCATTCCTATAAGAAATTTTCTTAAATATATATATAGTTTGAACTAAGTAATAACCGCATTATAGTTGTGAGTCAGTCAAAACAACTGAAAAAGTCTACCTCTCCTAGAAATACTTCAACTGGCACAGCTTAAAGGCAGCTGTTAGTACATAACCAGCTGTTTAAGAGTCGCAGGAAAACTCACGAAGGCCGAGTTGATGGCGTCTACAAAGCTCTCCTCGTCCAGCTCCAGCAGCTCCTCCGCCATCCGATGGCTGGTTGACCACACCAAAGAGCTCTCTGTGTCCGACAGCTGCAGAGCACAGAGAAAGGATTGTTGAGGCCTTAATTGATATGCCAGTGAGAGTTGGATTCTTTGCAACTTAAAAAAGAATGAAAAGATATATTACTGGTAGCATGGCGATGGGCCCTGTGGGGAGGAACCTTTGCCACGCCACATTGTTCTCTGTGGGCTGCAAGACAAAAGTTCCGTGTGATTGTATTCTATTTACATCTGCTAGAGTAAAAACATCTTAAGGAGAGCCTCCGAGTGGCAGTGTGTCACATTACACTGTGGGATGGGACCCTCACCTCCGACAGGCGCAGGACTGCCACCACAGCAGACTGGTCGTAATTCCACTTGACCGTCGGTATTCCCAATTCCCGCCTTACCATTGAGTTTGGTCCATCGGCACCAATCTGCAAAAGCGCAGGACAAAAGACACAGTGAGAGGCGGATGAGATAAGAGACGGGCTTCATCGTGTGGTAGAATCCAACTGACCAACAGCTTTGTCTGGAGCGTTTCCCCGTTGGCCAAAGTGACCCGCACCCATGGGACATAGTCGGCTGCCTGGTGGGGCATGGGCCACCCGTACTTCTCCACCTTAGATCTGTACTTGACTTGCACGCTATCTGACATCCACAAAGACATAAAGACAAAGATACAGACTCACTCTCACACTCACACGAGAAGGATCATTTTGACCATATAAATGAATCATCACACTAAATCAGCGCTTTGCTACTTTTTCCTTTAAAAATGAAAGGAAAGGATGTCTTGGCTGCAGCCAATGTGGTTGAAGATCTATAAACCACCTCATAAAACACCACTGGTTTCCCTCACTGGCACGTGGTAAATGCCGGGCTTCACTTTGACAATCTTCTTAATAGTCTTGGCCTGCCGCATTACACTGACTAATAGTGTTTATCTACAAGCACACCGCTTTGCATTTGCTGTGAGCTTGTTAGGTTTGGTCTGTCTTCCCAAAATATCAGCAGTTGGAAGGATCCTGAGTTATGCTGGCTCGTGGGACCCGTCCGCATAGCGGCTACTGGTTCCTGCAAGCCGGATGTCAAATAAAGGTTTTTGGTGATTGGGGTTACATTGAAAACAGCTGGCACAGAAGAAACGCGATGGGTCTTGAACACGACAGCACGATGGCTAAATTGAGAGCGGAGAAACGAAGACACGAGAGGCACATGAGGCGAAACGTGCTGCGACCGCACGTCCGTTGTTTGGCACAAATGGCTGAAAACTGTTTATAAATATGCCAGTTTAACTGTCAAGCACATAGCAGAGCTGAGTTTTATTTGTGAACCTCACAAAAGTTGGTCCCATGTCAACAGCCGAGCAGCACTACACACTGTCAGCAATTTAGTGCCTCAGGAGGTGGCAGAGCCTGGAAGCACATGGCAGCTTTAAATAGGTCACTGGACCATTTCACGTGTCCGCGGAGGGTGCCAAAGTTCCCAAAATGTGAGGTTTTGATTGAAACTGCAGGGAAAAACACGGATGGCTCCAAGCGCTCCTCTTTAAAAACAGTCACTGGGAGAGAGCACAAATAAACAAAACCTGGGGACAGGATGGAGGGAGAGTGGTGGCACTAACTGCCAGGCTCGGAGCCCATTTGGCAGATGGAGGAGACATCAGGCTACCGTGAGGAACTTCGTGTTTTAACAGTTCAACTTGTGCTTACCAGACAGGGTGTCAAGCTGTTTGGTGATTGCAGCCACAACGATGTCATTCTCCACAATGTAGGCCATCTCGTCCTGCAGGTTCTCCTTATCGAATGTGATGAGAGCATCGGAGCAAGCGTCCCAAACCTAAATGAGAGACTCATTATGCCTGCACTCTGTAATTCTATGCTCAAATGCACCCCCATTCCATACACACGCACACACAGACACATACATACATATATATATGCATATATAAATATATATAGTTGGCCCTAGTTGTGGAACTTTATTGAGCTGAACACATCAAAGCTGTTAGCCCCATTTGGTGGCTGGCATGGCCAGCATAAATCAACCCCAAATCGATGACTGTCCTCACTGCCTCTGGCTCTGTGAGACGGAGGACCCGACTTATTTTTTTGTGATGTGGACATTTTTTTTGTCAAACATTTTCTGGGAAACACAAATAAAAAATGACATGTTTGTGAACATTACAGACTGAGTCAATATTTACTCCCAACCAAAAGCGGCAGGATGAGATATAGTTTCAGGCTACTGTAATTCCAACCTTGTTTGAGTTAAACATGAGGGGGTGAAAATGTTTGTACAAGGTTAATCCTCTCCTTGGCTGTAACTATGGTGACAGAACCCATCATTCTGCAGTAACATGCTGCCGCACTACTTTTTTCCAACTTGCCATAAAGTAGGGGGATATACCCCACAGAAAACCACTAATGGCAGTCGGTTTGAAACTTGTGATAAGTGGTTGGGAAGAAAGATTTACTGAGACCAGCCCAAAAATTGTTTTGGTTTTGTTAAATACTGGTGAAATGATGCAGCTTTGGGGAAGAATGAGTTACGGCTTTTTGTGCGAGGTTTAAACAATATTCCTCAACACAACTTTATAGAGAATCTGAGAGAAAATAACGCCCCATCTCGGCTTTCCTCCTTTTTTTTTAAGCAGGACATTTTAGAGGGAACAGAGCTTTATTGCAGGAAAAGCCTGTTATTTGGAGCTAACCTGTAGTACATACTTTCCAGTTCTATGGTTGAGATGCATATGACCTAAATGTGGGCAAACAAGCCAAAACAGCGGGAAAGGAGAGAAGGTATAATGGGAGAGGTACACTTCCATAATCACTGTAAGGAACTGCATGATGACATCTTGGACCCAGAGAGAAACCCTGCGGTGGAGTGTTTGGTACACAGCCACCACATCTAACAAGAGGGACCGAGCCTGGGCCCACAGCCGTAAAGCGGGCTCTCTTCGCAGCAAACAACCACTCTCCTAATCTTTCATCTTCTCCCTGTTGTTCACATGAATCTTCATAATTAGAGGATGGGTAGATGGAGTACCAATTTGAAAACATCAAAATGATTTACTCTTCATAGAAAACATGGCTTTAATAAATAAAGCCTTCACAGTCAGAAAGGCATCGGGTTCTCCGAATATGTCGGGCGATGGCCTTTCTTAAATATATCTTAGGTTCGTTGGCATTCAGTGCACCACAGAGTCTGCAGAAGTACAGAACAGGCATAAATTGCACAAAGGAATGAACAAAATGCATGGTATATGAAACCAGCTTTCGCTATTTTGATGTGAACAATTATATACCATATATATGATTATATGATGCTGTATTGTGTTGCTTGCTGATTAATCTGGATGACTGAGGAGAAGATGAGTGTCACAGATTTCTCTTTCCGCAAATTGTATGGTGCTTTGACTGATGGATGACAGAAATACATATAGTATAGCAGTACATTTGAAAGTCTGCAGGGCATGACTGCTAAATTTCTAGTTTTGTAATTGTGTTGTTTTTTTTAATACAAACTTGATTTGGTCGTTTCCTGGAACACATTGAGATATTGTGTGTTGTGTACAGCGTGTCAAAATGAGCATCTGGTCAACACACCTGCATCCTTTGATATGGCTTGCATCTCATCTTTGTGATATGCTCCCATGCGCCAATACCTGTGAATTACATTTCTGTGTCAGTCTCAAAGAATGGATGTCAAATCCATCCAAACGTGACCAGGTTGAGGGTGTATTCACTGTTAAATGTAGCCATTATAAACAATAGAGAAATATAGACTTGTAGTGAAGTTTGATTTAAAGTTATGAAGTTACACTGAAAAATATGGAAATGTTTCAATGACTTCACCCTGATGTTTTGTGTTAGTTCCTTATGTATAAAAATTGGGTTTGGGTAAAATCCTATGAGGCATCCTAGAAATGTTTGCTATGCTTGTTTAATATAAACTATTAGAAATTAGATGGTAGTAGTTACACAAAACAAGTTTTGTGTTAAACTTTTATATTTTGCATGCGTGCAAGTGAAGAGCAAAGACGTCACAAACAAGCACAATGTTTGACGTGTATACAATGTTTAAAAATTAACTGCTTCCACTCTATACAGGCCAATTATTCTACTGACATATCATAGTCAAAAACCAATACCTGAAAATTAATCTTACAATCCATAAAAATTACAACTACCAGAAATAAGTATTGTAATTATGTATGTTACTCTAATAATCGACTGTCCCTGTTATGAAATAGAAAATTGCATTGTAGTTATTGGTGTTGTGCACAGTATTAAAACTTATTTCTCTATCGTCATTCATAAAGTGTTTATTTTGTAATAAGCTATCAGACTTCTGTCCACAACCACCGTGCGCTGTAGAAATGAGGGTTTATGAACATGATTTAAAAAGCTACCAAGCCATGACAAATAAGCATCCCTAACTTTGTGCAGGTTGCATAACAACTCAGCAAGAAAAAAAGAAAACGCAGATCTATCTGACATTCTATCACACAAGGAGCCTTCGAGGTCAGGCATGATCCCTGCTAAGCCTGTGTTACCTGCATGTCTCATCCCTGACTTAGTATGTGGGGCCATTTAACGGTCATGCACCACAAAGTTGTCACAGAGAGAACATATTTTAAGATCATAGCACTTGTTACAACCATTGTAAAAAGCTGCCTCTGTCTGTAAGGATGTAACTGTACCGCTGAGGAGGGTGGCAGAGCCTGGACTGATGGAGCTGACTCTAGTGCTGTAGGTGTCTGGCACTTTGTCCATTACTTTCTTGTTGCCAGCTTCTAGCAGCAGGATCCTCCTCCCTGCCAGATTGGGATCCATGGCTGTGGGACATAAATATCACATAAGAATAGCAGCAATTATGCAACAGCTTGATAATCTGCAGGAGTCTGTCTGCTTATACGCCATCTTTTTGCACCACACCCTGGAGTTATTTTTAAAACAGATTTTAGAACCCGAAAAGGGAAAGGTATGACCACTACACTACCTTAAAAATGACAAGTCGAATTTTGATTTTGTGAAGGTAAACTCACCTAACGAGCATGCCATAGCAGATCCAACCATCCCTCCCCCGGAAATAACGACATCATAAACCTCATTCTGGCCAGAATCGCGCTCATTCTCTGAACATACTAATCTTCTCTTGATGATATTTACAGCAGGTAAGTGCTTTTCTGTTATAAAACACCGGCCAAGTCCGTTAAAGGCCAGTGGCGCCTTTGTGAGCTTGTGCATTATGTCTTCACTCTGTCCTCACATGAGACAAGCACCGCATAAACCAGATGTAAATAGTCCGGTTTCGGAGTCAGAACACTGCCATCCAACGAACAGACAGACAGTTTCCCCTTGAATGTGTCCTAATAAGAACAGCCGTGTCCCTTCTGTAATCCAGCCATGTTGTGTTGACAAGCAAGCGTTCAGAGGATGTACTTCCGGTTTCCTCATCCAATCGCAAACTACTTATTCCGTGTCCGCCGTTGCTGCCTCTGTCCACAAACAGTGCTAATGCTACCAAAACGGTCGAAGGGTGAATACAAGTCAGGGACAGTAGCGTCTGTTCAAGCTTGACACAAAACGCCTCATATCAACAAGTTCCATCGCTGGTTCAACAATTACACTATAGCACATCTGCTTAGAGTTTGGGTGACGTTTTAACACCGTGAAATACTTCCTGAAAAACGCCTGTTCCGAGGTTGGCATTTCGTTTTACTTTGAAGTTGGGTATGTTTATCATATTTGACTATTTCGCACATTAACTTGACATAAGATAGAAGGAGTCTTTGCGTTTCGGCAGAAAAGTAGAGAAACTTTTTCCGAATTTACGTTTATTACGTACAGTACGTTGAAAGCGCTGATGCGTGGTTATGCCATTGCCATAGTAACTGGTTTACAGTTACTGTGGCAACGGCGCAATATACGCTGGGCACTTAAATCAATCGTGTGTAAAAAAGTGTCTATGTATGATAAGCTAGTGAATCGAAAAATCCCCAACGCACTCATTAGTACACTGAAATAAATGTACAAGGTTTTTCATGCTGCTTTTGATATTAATGATTAGGTCAACCAAACTAAATAATGGAGTGAAGTGGCTCATTTCTGTTTCCAGCTGCAAAAAAACAAAACAAACAAACAATAAACAGTTACCACTGAGTAAGCACCCAAACTGCTTGTTAAAGATTTAGATATTGAGAAGCAAACTAATTTTTAACAGTTCATTGGCCAAATTGTTACTGACTTGTTATCTACCATGTGTTTGTGAACATATTTTCTTTGCTTTTTTGAAATTATTGAAATGTATTTATGTTATATTTATGAGAATGAGTTGGGCAATATATTTGAATATATATTTTCTCTATTTACTGTTTCACACAGATTTAAATGAATTTGCTGCAGATAGCAACTTATTTATGTTTAGCATGTATTCTCTGTAGATAATGTTTACTGTATTTTATCATTTAGTCATGTATTTGCTTTTTTTAATTGTACTATCACAGGTCAGAGAAAAACATGTCAAAGGTAGACTTCTGGCAGCAAGATGAGCTCAAAGCTGAGCTAATGCTTCAGTTTCACCTCAAGACTTTAAGAACGACCCTCAGAGAACAGCTGCAGGAGACGATGAGAAGGCAGACAGAGGAACTGGAGAGAAGAATTCTTCAGAATGCTCTTCTGTCATCAGATGTCAATGGGAAGTCTGGTGATGTTAAAGCTCTGAACAATAAACAAAAGTATGCTTCCTTAATTTACATTTTTGTCCTGTTTAAATTTTGATTTATCTATTTCTCAACAGTTTTACTGTTTTCAGATATTTGGGATTAAGGAGATCCACCTCTTTATCTGCTATAAACTTGGAAAAAGAGATCTCTCAGAGACCTTCCACAATCTTGAAGCACTCCCCTGTCAGGATTCATCAGTGTGAGCGGTTTGTTTCAACCAAAACAACACAGTTTAGCAAAGAGGAAGAGGCGGAGGCTGAGTGTCAGAAGAAGTTCTGTGCTGTGCCCGTCCCTCACTGGGTCATTCAGCCCATCTACCAGGAGATGATGGAGATGAGAGAGAGGGAAAGGAAACAGGGCCACGAGCAGAGGAAAGGATTCTTGCTCTCTTTACAGAAGCCTTTCAGTTTCCAGGAGAGAGAAGGAAGGAAAAGAGAGAAGCCAATAGCCTTAAACCAAGTCTTCCAAGATAACCGAAACAATATTTGTGTTAGAAAAACTCCTCATAAAGAAGTGAAGGGTGCACCAGACCTTAAAGGTGGGTTTCTTTGTGATAGGAGGACACTGCTTTAGTGTATTTTTTTCAACTACAGTAAAGTAAAGTAAACCCAGTCAACGTATTCTCACAACTTATGTAATGCAAGTTTTTCATAAGTAGTATGTTTATAAAGATGTATAAATAGGTATTATCACAGTATTTTGCATTCAAAATGTAGAATAATTACCATTTATGTAAGATGTAAAGAAGACCACAAACCAGCACTGTTGTATACAATCTTACACTGAACTTCAGACAACAAAACGCTGTTATTTTGGTTGAATTTATTCCTACATTAGATTTAAAGTCAAAATGACCAAAGTTCAGCCACAACACTGACATGACCATAGATTGTCTGTCTATGATGGCAGCCCGACAGGAGCATCAAGTTGGAAAGGGAAGGCCAAAACTTCGAACCGCTGAGCGCACCAGGAAATCAAAGCTTGGATTCCTAAACGAGGAGCCCAGCTTTAAGCCAAAAATCATCCAGCAGGTTCCTAACTTCAGCAGGCTGCACAAGGCCCTGCAGACAGAGGCGATGGGAAAGCTGCAGAACAAGGAAGTGACAAAGTGTCAGCCCTTCTTCCTGAGGACATCGGCTATACCTGCACGAAGAGTTATGAAAAGTCCGGAAACCTCACAGGTAAAACACTCATTCTTAAGAAGAACCTTAACTAATCTATTTTGAATAATCTGTCAATACTACAGTCACTGTTTAGTCCTTTCAGTGCAGCGTCATCCTAGTTACTGCTTACTCTGAAAGAAACAAATATGTGTTTAGATTTTACGATAATATCACACGTTTCATAAATTGAGTTTTGGATAATTTCACCATTTACAGATTTGACTCAAGCAGTGTTTGTGGTAGGCAAAGATCTGCAAATGATTTGATAGCTAATAGCTTATTTGATTCTTTAAAGTAAACCTAGAACATAACTTCTGCCTGGAAGAGGCAGTATCTTAGGAAGAACTAGATAAGAGGAATATTTCCAGGGCTCCAACGCACCAGCTGGTTTCATGTTATAGTTTTGCGCCACTTTTTCTTTCCAAGTTTCTCACACCTTCTCCGGTTGATGGATGGTTCGAGACATATCCACCCACTATTTTATCGAGTCCATATCCTTCTCTTTTTTGCGGAGGATCGCAAACACTTTGCCTCTCTTAAATCCTCCACTGTTTTTTATGCTAAGCTGTTTACGTTACATTATCATAACTTATAAAAAGCGTTTATTTCCAAAGTTTTGACTCTGACTCTTCGGGGGAACATAATTTTGCAAGATATAAACTTTCAAAATTGTTTGTTTTTTGAGTTGTGACATGAATTTACCAGATCATATTTTACTTTCCTTTTTATGTCTTTATTTTTTTTATTTTATTTATTTCTTTAATCAGGACAGTGCACATTAATGAACAATCTCATACAGATTGTAAATGAGCCAGATTATAGCATAGTTGCTACTTTACATCTGTCGTCCTGAGGCAGGAAGACCAAACAACACGAAATCACAAAATACAAAATCAGTCCAAACACACGTTCAGACAATGACATTACAAAATTAAAATTAATTCAATTAAATTCAATTTCATTTATATAGCGCCACATCACAACAACAGTTGTCTTACAGCGCTTTCCAAACAGTTAAATGCTTTAACAAAGTATTTATTGTGTGGTTGAAGCACTTGATAGGCCTTTTGTTAGATATTTTACTCAGTTTACGCAGGTCTCCTCTGTCGTGGAGTTGTTATGTTATTTGAAATATGTTTTGTGGAATGTCTCTTTCCTTCAACCATCCTATTTCAGACCTTCCTCACATTACAATTTCAAAAGTTAAACGAAAGCTTAATATCTGCCAAGGCTAATCTAGATCTGTGTTTTTATTCTTTATACTTTGTGGGATGTTTCACATGAAAGCTTTGAGGAGTAAAATAATCATAGCAGTAATTTGGTAGGAATAACAGTAATTTGCACACAAAAAAGCAGCAGAATGAACTTTGTGTTTTGTAAAAGTTTCTTCCACACTTCCTTTCAAGTTTGTTGAGACTAAGCCTGCATTATTACGCTAGCCGTGCAATTTTAACATGAACTTCTTATAACATGAACTAATGCTGAAGACAGGAAATATGTTCCACGCTGTTAGCCAACAGTCTGGCCTGTAGCGGTGTCACTTTGAGATTTTTCCGGGTAATCCTTGCCATCCCTAACTATACATTTTAGAAAAAGGGCAAAAGGGTTTCAAGCCATATCCTAAATATAGAGAGGATCTGTTCCATGATCCAAAAGCTGAACAACTGAATATTACAACATGTCTATTCGTCAAAGGCTCTATCTTCAGCTGGCAGGGTCTGATTAAACAATTTGTTTGTAATAAAAAAAGTTTTTTCTCCTCATCCACAGGTGCCTAAAATAAGCACACTCGTCAGGAGCAAGTCACTGGGGGCCTTAACACTGTCCGCTGACACTCTTCCTACATATATCACAGACGCTGTGAGGAAGCGCAGCATGGCCATCAGGTGAGCTGGAGTTTTCAGCCACAGAGTCCACAAAACCTCCTCTTTCTAGTTTCTACACACAGGCAGCTCAATAATCTGATGGGTAGAAAATGTTTACTTTCACAGAGATTCAAAGGAGATTAAAGAAAGGAAGAGACAAGAGAGTGTGGACTGGTTGAAGAATTACCAGATGAGATCCCAATCCATTAAGAAGGGCGTACTGCTCCATGCTAAGTTTCTGGACCCACACAGCAGCTTGAAAGAGGTGTATAATGAAAATCTACAGCGTCATCGGTGAGTTCTTGTCCTTCTGCAATTTCTTCCGTAGTAGTATCTCACATCAGAGCAATAAAACTCATCGTGTGTAAAGGTTTCATCTTTTGCTGTTATCTATATGTCTATAAAGGGAAACTGATCAGCACAGAATGAGAGATTACATGAGAGAATTACAGGACATGAAGGCCAGAGTTAGGGAACGCCCCTATTTGTTTGAGCAGGTGAAACAGGTAAGAGATTTAATGTTGAAGGTTTAATACACACTATTATTGAAATTAGGCTCCAGCTGTGTAACTTATAGTTTTTCCTGGCAGAGAGATGAGAAGGCTCGTGCTGAGCAGACCTACAGGAGCAAGCTGATGAAAGCGGGGATAAAGGAGCGGTTTGTGGAAGAAGCCGGAGAAGCACACCCATCCGATGATGAATCAGAAACTAATGACAAAAGCTCCGAAAATGGCTTTCAAAGCAGGTATTCAGAATGAGATTTTTCAAGACGTTTTATTCATCCTCTGTGTAATACTGCTTAGACTGGAAAAATTATGAATAGCTCTTCTGCCTGAGAGCCAAGGACTTCCTGTGGTTTGGTCATATTACATTACATAATTTTCTGAGCTCGCCTGCAGTCCTTTGTGAAGAAAAGACAAATTCTGTAGCCAAGTAAAAGTTTGACATAATTACAATATAGCCATTTTCTAACCCAACATGTCTGATTTAGGGAAGAAAATGTAGACGACGTGGAGAAAATTGAAGATGTGGAAGAATGAGCGTGAAGTCCAAAGGGGAAGAAATGCCTTGATCAAAAAGATTGAAGCGACACTGAGTTTTTTGTGGCCTCTCCACTAGAAAACAACACTGTCCTCAAAAATGATTCATGTCATGGTGGACACCAAAGATTTGATAGCTGAAGACAAACGCCTATAAATTATGAAATTCTAAAACTTGTCCACTTTACAATAAGGAAACTTTGAATATACAGTAGAAAGAGAACAACATTTAAAAAAACTCTATGCATTGGAGGTTATATTTTTGTAAATAATTTACTCGTACAGACTGATATCGTGTGTAGTTGTTTTACAGCTTTGCCCAAAATTTAAAGACTGCAATAAAGAGAATGAAGATCACACTATTACTGGAATAAAAGTTGAAAAACCAAATGAGCATATCAGGTTTGATGGTTTCCAAAGCCATTTTGTGGGAGGATTGTAGCCCCAGCACCTTTCGAATCCATTTTAGTTTAGAGATATCAAATGTATCTGATTTCGACATGAACATGTCCCGTAACAGCAACAGACATCTGACAGGAACTTTTCTTAGATGGTTGGGTTAGATATTTCTGCAGCCACAATGCCAGCTAAATAAACAGCCTTCGCTGAGCGTCTGTAGTCACACACCAGTTCAGCGGTCGGCTCCGAGCAGGCAAATCCACATCAAATACTCGCATCCGCAGCTTGCTGCACTCATGTGCTTTGGCAGCTGGCTGCAGGAATTTGGGAGATCATTTTAACTTACCAATCACGCGGGAATGCCTGTTTATGTACAAAAAGCATGATCAAAGAGCCATCCAGCAGATCAGCACATTATGGGCTCGTGTGCCATGCCCTGAAGCTGCTGCATATGTTTGCGGTGATTTCAGATTTGAACATGGTTTTCTTATAACAGAGCCATGTGCACGTGTAAAAAGGGACTGTAAATGTTTTCGATTTGTTTCTTAGATAATCAAAAGATCTATATCTAATAAAACATACCAAATTCTAAAATAGCTCATGTTTTTCAATATTTCTTAGAGGTAAATACTCAAAGAGCCCCGTCTTTGAAATCTCAAATATCACATGACAACGCTTCAAGGGCTCCATCCTGTCAGGTTGTCATGGGAACCCTGTATCCCTTCCCGCTCTGCCTTGAAGTCCCTTAGGAGAAAGCCGTGCACCTCTGATTCCCTGATGCGTCACCAAAAACAAAAGCATTCCCTCCTAACCTTCTCTGCCATCCCCGAGTTGCAATCTTCATCTGTGAAATGTGAGAGGCAGCAGAAGGGGTGACATTTATTCAGACAAACCGTAGCCTCCAATGTGTGTGTGGACGCTGAGAGCAGGAACAAACACAGCTCATTTAGATTAATGAGAGGCTGCCTGCTTGGCCACTGAATGTTATGATCACGCTGTTTGAGGAGTGGCTCTGTATTGCAGATGAACAATATAATTTCTCCAAGGTGGTACGTTCAGGTCTCTTATTATTCTAGCCATTACAATTCCCACACATTTAATTTTGTAAATGCATGGGTTGGTAAATGGAGGCAGCTGAGGGAACATTTTTGAACAGATGATTTAGGCCTCAAATGGATCTCACCTTCTCTAAAGCTGCAATTGTACTGTAAATTGCTTGTACTGTGTTTTATGGCTATTTTGATGTTCTTCATTTCCTGCTTATTTTGTGTTCGCTTAATTACGATGTCAGAGTGCAATAGCCAAGTTTCTGTATGTGGGCATGCCGATTCTCAACGCGTTTAAGCCTTCCGTTCACCTGCAGGAGGAGCTGTGGCTCGCTGCAGCCTTCTCTGGAGCAGAAGAGAGATCCCTCTTTTTCTCCTTCAGTGGCATGAATAATATCCCCAGTGCGAGAGAGAGAGCACATCAAGAGGCAAACGAGAAGGGGAGAGAGATAGTAGCCAGTGTGACTGATAAGAGCGTGGCAGAACTTGTCTTCCTGACTGTATCGTGGAAAAGAGAGAACAAGTGCACCAGTGTCAGGCTGCTGCCTGCACTACAACAACACACTCACTTACACACAAACAAACAGACAAAACCCCCACAGCCTGTCCGCACCAGAGGAAGTTCAAGGAGAAGACTGTCCTCCAAAAGGTACAGTATGATCGCCCCCCTGACTTTCATCTTAGCAATGATTAGGAAATCAGCTGCTCATGTGACGCTCCACTTTGTTTTTCAGGTGGGTTGGCAGAAGTTTGGCTTGTGGATTCACACATATACTATGGCTTTCATCAAACTGAGCCTGGCTCTGTAGAGAAGTTGTGTGTTTTACCTCCAGAGGAGCTTCTCTTGTGCGTGGAGCTTGAGGCAGGATGGAGAAGCTGTCAGGGAAAGACAAGGAGCTGATCCGAGGCAGCTGGGAAAGCCTGGGCAAGAACAAAGTTCCTCATGGTGTCATCATGTTCTCCAGGTATTGCTCCACATTCAGCCCGATTTAGACGAGGGACACGCAGCAGAAACATAACAGATGACCTTCGGATGGCATGAATTAGTTTAATCCTTAAACCGACAGCATTGTGTTACTTGAGAGCTGTGGAGTTAGGATACGGAACACAGGTGTGGAGACAGAGTGGTGCTACATCCCTCACTGCACACTGTCAGCATGCAGAGACCGGAGGCTTGACTTGTTGCTTGGCGACAGAGTGTAATAATCCACAATTTACTTTGAGACAGCTGCTGCTAAATCAGACACTAGCCGGAGAGATTTGCACACTGTATGACCAATAGGTTGTTTAGTGATTAGTGTGGATGTAAATACACTTACTGAGCAGTGGGGGATTTGTCTGTGGTAGATTGTTTGAGCTGGACCCTGCGCTCTTCAGTCTTTTCCGCTACAACACAGACTGTGGTTCTCCACAAGACTGCCTCTCCAGCCCTGAGTTCCTGGACCATGTCACCAAGGTGAGCTTTCCACAGCGGCCACCTTTAATGCATGCGGACAAGAAAACGCTGCTGTTCTGAACACTGCCCTCCATGTGTCTGTGCCCGGGGTGCCAGGTGATGCTTGTGATCGATGCGGCGGTCAGCCACTTGGACGATCTTCACTCCCTGGAAGACTTTCTGCTCAACCTAGGGAGGAAGCATCAGGCTGTGGGAGTCACCACGCAGTCGTTTGCTGTAAGACCAACATTTCGTAGTGCGGCGCTCTAAGAGCAGCTCCGTCTCTGAGTGAGGTACGAACACGTTGCATTTTGGTCCACATGCTTGTTTGTTCGGACTTCTGCAGGTGGTGGGTGAGTCCCTCCTCTACATGCTGCAGTGCAGCCTGGGCCAGGCCTACACCGCGCCGCTGCGGCAAGCCTGGCTCAACATGTACAGCATCGTGGTGGCGGCGATGAGCCGAGGGTGGGCCAAGAATGGCGAGGACAAGGCCGACTGAGGCGCACAGCGGGAGCTGCCGAGCAGCTGCTGTCAAATCATCAACATGGTTGCCATGGAATAAGGTTGTGTAACTGCAGCACTGGGGTTTTCAGCTGCTGTACATTTGCTCCGTGAGTGGGATTGTTTAGCATAGCGAATGTATGGTATAGTCACACTGTCAAACCAGATGAACCGATTGCAGACTTTAAGTCTTCTTTGCTGTGGATGTTTAGCTAACGGGTGACATTGCTGTTCAACCGTGAGAGTCTGAGCAGTCAGTTTGGTACCTGAGCAACAGACTGAGGGAAAGAAATAAAGATAACTGTTGAGCCTCTATGTATATAATGGCTTATACATACATATAAGTGTGTATATATGTATGGATATATATAGATTCACATTATATATACACACACTCTCAAATGATAGCAGTGACTGTAGTGTTTGTGATGTATATTAACAGAGTTGCACACTTGTGAAAAAACAGATATTGCATATTGGCATCACAAACTACTCAAACTGTGACTGTTACTGTGGCCAGCAAAGGCAGCTCTCTATCTAACTGGAACACAGTGATACTTAAAACTTGTGGGACAAGGCATTGTGATTTTACAGGAGAAAGTCAGATCACTGTAATCGTCATCATGACTTTTGTTGGTTAGTTGTCTCTTTTTTTAATCCATGTTACAAATTAGATTTTTGGTGTGTGACTGTTATCTGACGTTAAGGCTACTGAAGTTAATCAAGTTAAATAAATGTAATTCACTAGCCTCGGACAAGAACTGTTACCCTCTGATAGCTTTCTCCAGTGACTGTTGAGGTGTCTGCGTGCACCGTAATCAATGTGGTGTGCGATGCTCTCCTCTGCTGAGGTTCTGAGTATAGAAATGACTGTTAAACTCTAACTAATAGACTGTTATGTGACTTTCAGCGTCATATTAGAGGAACTATATAATCTTTGTTAATTGGCTGGCAGTTTCCATTTCTTGTTAGTGTGAAGTAGTTTTGTTGTACAGTACTTGCTTATCTTATATTGCTTACTAACCGCATTGTTGTGGCTACAAATGTCGTATTACCTCGACTCAAACGTAGAAGAAAATCCGAGCAGGCTGGTTTTCCATCGCACAGCTTCTGTGAAGGCTGAAGAATTTCCTTTATCTTAACTACCACAAAACAAAGACTGCAGAGGAAATGTGTGTGGAAACTGTCCAATATCTATGTATCATTATAATTATTATTGTTGTTATTATACTGCCAAAACGGTGTCTGTACCAATCACAGCTGTTATTCATGTGCATGGCCAGAATCCCAAATAACTCAACAACAGTGCACCAAGTACGAGATAGTGACATAATTTAGTTGTAAATCTAAGCTGCTGACATGTGGTTATTATTAGTCTGAGTTTATATTTATAAAGTTTATTTTTCTATTATAAAGTGTATTTATTGTGAAAGAGCATAGATTTATCTCCCAAATTTCACAAATAGTATATTCTGAAAATATACCGGTTCATCATATTATGTGTGGATTCCAGCTAACAAACCCCATACATGTCAACAAAATGGTTATTTATTTTGTTTTGATTGGCTCTTATGGAATCAGAATCATAGAGCTATTTTAACTAAATGTGCAATACTTACAGAAAATGATCAAAGCAGGGTTTTCTGTTAAGCTGTGTTATCACTACATATTTTGTTCTGTCTTTACGTTCCAGCCTACAAATGTAATGTTTGTTCATTTGCTATGTAGGTGGTGTATTTATGGTGACTCTTTTCTTAGTACCAGTACGCAGCCCTATGCAGGTTGTTTTCCTCCACGTGTTTGTTTGTTATTAACTTATAGTGAGCATTTATAGCCAAGAAGACAGACAACCGATTCCTTAACTTTGGAACATCCAGATGTGTACATATTGGGTGTGTCACTGTCTACCTCATCATTATCAGCTGCTATTCAACAGTGATGACTTCATCTAGTTATCCTTCTACCAAAAAACGCACACTATTATTGGAGTTAGTACAAGCACACACTCTTTGTAAACCGGGTTTCATCCTACACTTTGAAGAACATGTTAAATGTTTAATTGATACTAAATAAAGTGATCCGTGGCTAATTTTGTGCTAATTGAGGTCAATTGTGTTTTTTCCTCTTGGTCTGACAACATTTTTCACAGATAACACAGCGGTCAGCTTTTGAAATCAATCACTCAGTGCCTGATTTCCTTCTCGCTGACAGCCACTTCTCTACTGTTACATAAGATCCTAAACGACGAATGGCTCATCGCCCTCAGCAGCAAAGACAGGGGGGGGGGGGGGGGGGGCTTCAGGCACATCAGCCCACTTACTCATGCAGCTGCACAATGTCACATCAAGAATTCTTGACAGTGTGTCTTTGTTTAGTTTTTCTCCCTCCAAAATTCAACCTATAACCCTCCAGGCATGTTTTATGCTTGATGGTCAGTTTGTTGTGCAAGTGAAGCAGTAGTAAAGAGAGAAGTGGAGAAAAGATAATGAGTTTTCTTAATAAAGATGGATCGTTTCTGTCAAATACAATTTCGCTGTATCTCTGTAAAAGTCACATCCATGAGTTGGCTGTCTGTTCTGGTGTTTTCATGGCAGTTGACATGGCCTTAATCTGTCTCTGTGCACTGCACACAGCATCCTCACTCTCTCTGTCCCAATGAGAGTCTGCAGGATTTATGTTGGCTTCATGCTTCGTGTCTCTCTGAAGGCAGCGGAATAACACTGAGGTTCAGTTAGTCTCATCTCTGGGGTTCATGAAAACTCAGCCATCAGATCCAAAGTGAATAAAATTGCAACTTAATAGGTTACCTCATAAAAAACACATCATTTTCTAGACGTTCATCAAACACCCCGGCATTGTGCCTAACCTTGTAACGGACGAGGATTTGCTCTGAGGGCTGTTGTCTGGAGAGGAGTCTGTGAGGAACGACAACACAAATTATTTTTAGAAAGTCTGCAATGTGTTTTAGAATGAAGGGGAATTGAAGGTTGTCATGGCAACTGTTAAGTGATGGTCATGTGTGTACATACACACACACACACATATATCTATGCATACCATCCAGGGTGTACCCCGCCTCTCGCCCATTGACCACTGGGATAGGTTCCAGTCCCCCCGCGACCCCATAAGGGAATAAGCGGTCACTAAAATGGATGGATGGATGGATTGATGGATATATAAGCATTGCTCAGCTAGTCACTAATCCTAAATCGTATAGTTTAGAGGAGTAAGAAGTAAATGATGACTATAAATGCAGCTTGAGGCTAAAAAGTGGCGCTCTGATTGCTTTAGAGGACCTGCAACACAGGTCTGTCAAGCAACATCCACAACCCTGAGCTGTTAGCTTTTTATTTAAAAGTTTCTGCTGCAATCGGAATGCCAAACATTTTAAGAGAAGCACGATTGATACATTTTCTCACCGAAACCCACAATGTAAGCACAATATACACATAATGGCAATAGAAAAATGTTGCCATATTATTGTTAGCTCTTCAGATGCTACTCTGTACATTGATGCGTACGCAAGCAAGGACAAAAAGCTAACACAGAGCTTGAAATCTGAATGTGGAAAACATAGCTGAGGAAGACTGTTACATAAGAACAAAAGTTGGTAAATGTCACCTGAGGGGTAAGGACAACCTCTCTTGTATATATGGATCTTTGGACAAACAAAGAGACACAGAATACCATCTTTTTAAGCTACATTTGCATGCTTAAAATGACCAAAATGGGAGTGAGAACATGTTTAAACAAGAGGCGGAGACATTTTATATTCTGAGCATCTGGGCAGGAGAGAGGCAGGCGGCAGGCCACGCTCCCAGAGGAATTCACCTTTCACTGAGACACATGCTCTCAGCAGTTGCCACGGGTGACAGGGGAAATGTCAGGGACTTTTCTTCCTCCTTTCATAACTCCAAGCAATAAACAAGTCTTTTGCATAATGGGCAGCGGGCTGTGTGTGTATTTACCCCCTTTAAAACTCCTCTGCTGCAGGGACTCACCACCCCATCAGTCAGTGCGTGATGTTTTCCTAGAAAAAACTTCCCCACTTTCCTGGAACGGCATCTTGCACTGGATGCTGCTACTGTCCGGAGCGGTGCAGATACAAGCAGCTGCTGTTGGCTGCCTTGTCCAGACCGGTGCGGTTTTAGGAGGTCTAAAGTATGTACAGAGGATTCTCCAAGGGTAGTTTGTATGCGGACGCACGCCTCGATGCAAACACTGAACAAACATGGACTTGCATTCATTAACGGCCTCGTGTCCTCGCTGTTCAAAGAAAGCATTGAGACTGTGATTATTTTTAGACATGCGGTCCAATCAGAATAATCTGTCTTGGGCAGCGACCCTTTAGCTGCTTTTGAATGAATAATTTGAGTTACACCTATTTGTTTTCTTGTCAGGAATTAGACGACAGGTTTGATCTGTGCATTAAACAGGCAGCCAGCAGCTGCACGGCTAAAAACCTGAAGGCAAATAAACTGGTTCTCAGCAACTAAACACAAGTAGTTTGCACACCATGGCTGTTAATTTAGTAAATATAGAAAGTGCATGCTATAATGTTAGAAGCTGTTTTTAAACGTCAGCTTCTGCACAGGTTAAGGAAGACAGATCGAGACCATTTATCCAACCAAAGACAATTTCCCCAGCTAAATAAACATGTCACTTTTCCCAAAAAGATATTGTATGTGTGTTCAATCCTGCTCCACTATATAAAAGATGAATTCTTTCTTACTGTCTGTTAAGAAAACTTTAATCACTGACCTCAGCAAAGGATGGTAAAAGTAGTTATATGATCATATGAAGAACTGAGCTAAACATTTTTCATTTCAGTTCACAGCACTTTGGTTTTTACCACTGTTAAATCACTGGCCTGACAAAGATGAGTCTTTAATGATTCTGTACCTCAATCTCATTGGAAGACAAACAAGCCCACGTTTATAGCAGGTTAGAATGTTAAATTATGTCTTTGTGATAGATGCATTTTACAGCAAACGGAAACAGATGAGTTGGGAAAAACTAATGGCCCTCGAATGAGAGAGTCCACATGAACAGACACTTCAGGATATAATAAAAGTGGCTAAGCATGGGAATGGTCAGCCCATCTTTGCAGGACCATTAGAGCTAAGAATATGATACTTTTTTATTTAGCATTTTCCAAAGGAAAGCACACTTAATGATCTGTGAAACAATCTTCTGGAAGAGAAACCACAGGGCATATTGGTGGTTCGGAGACAGAAACTTTGAGATGCTCTTTGATGTTTTTTTCGCCAAACAAATTTTACTTCACGATCTTTTGTGATGACTGCCAGCTTTCATCTGTTATACACATCATCAAAACCACAACTATATTCCTCATAAACCAGAGCAAAATACATTTCAACTTATAAAAACATAACTGAAAGTACTATATTATGATACAGTCAGTCAGACAGAGGACAAAACAGATTAAATTCCACCCTCCCAAGCAAGAAGCTTCTCAGTGGATTTGACAGAGGTTTGGGGGGAACTGATCGGAAAGACAGCTGTTGATGTGTTGTTATCGTCCAGAGACAAACAAGACACTCAATGATCACGTCTCATCTCGAAATGCTAACCCAACAATACAGTAAATGAGAATTGAACGGATAATGATGGAAATGAAAAAACAGACGACACCAAGGCCACAACATAAAAAAACGACACAACAACTGCAAAGTAAAGACACAAGGTCAGCTTGTAGTGAAGCCTGTCCTTTCATGAGTGACCTAAGGATTTAGCTGGGCCAGAGTTTCTGATCTCAGAACGGGATCTGTTCACTTTCGGATGTTTCTTGGATATTTTACAGACTTCTTCAGGTTGAGTTAAGTTTACAGGACAGTCGAAACCTCGCCATCGTGATATCCCCACGTAAAGACGAAGCGTGTGGAGCTTGTGCGTAGATCATTTAGTTGATATTCTAGTGTACGTGCGTTTGATTCTGAATAAGCATCTGGGTTTTCCCCTCCTGATTGTTTTCATTTAGATTTTCTGTCCATGCAGCATATTTCAGGCTGAGCTGGATTGTCACACGAAAATGGGGTTGTTCCTTCAAGGCACAGCAGACGCACAGCAAGCTGCAATCAGCAGACATTCAGATTCATGAGAAACACCACCACAGGAAAACAACTGACCTCAAAATACAAAACCTGTAAACATACAGACTGATGAGTTACCGTGGGAAAAACATACATTTCATTTCAACAATGTAGTCAACATGCAGTTGCTTGACATAAAAAAAAAGTTAATGCAAAGGAAACCGTTCTATAGCTTAATAGTTTTAATTTGACTTACTGCATTTGCAACATGACAAAATTAAATTTTAGCACAAACTATTTGACCAACACCAAAGAAATTGATACAAAAAAATGACTTGTAGCATATATATTTTTCTTTGAACTCTGAAAAGAAAGACATCTAAATAATGGCTTGATTTTTAACACATTATTTTTCACATAAGCTATATTCATGATTTTCTGTACCGTGGAATATTTTCATAATGCTGAAATTCCAACATGTGCTTCTCTCAGTTTTCACAACCTGAAGGGACAATTAGACATTTAAGAAACTATTTTCTTATCATAAGGTCTCAAAAAGTCTGATGCCCTTTTGTATGTGTCAACTGAAAGTGTTGCTATTGTAAGCAGCCAGAAACCTTTAATTAATACAGATGCTCCAGAAAGCTGCAATGCCCAATAGTCCTGTTCTTTTTGTGGATTTTTCTACAAAGATAAGCCAACCGACCAGCTTTTAGCTCCTTGCTGAATGTGTTTCTGTGCCATTTGGTTAAGTGTCACAAGTTCTTCAGACAAAACCTTAAAAAAAAGATAATTAAAAATTTTGGACAATTGTTGAAGTGATGAAGCCACTGAAAAAGAGAGTGAAAAAAGGAAATAATTCATTTGTCACATTACACATCGCACAGAACATGAGGAGTCAGACACCAGTCCCTTAAGAAGTGATTTTTTTCTCAGAAAATGTCAAGCTATTTAAAAGAAGTGAGCATGTACATCGTCCAAACAAAATAATGAAGTCAAATTATCATTAACAAATTGAATAACAAATCTCTAGTGCCTCCCAGACAACCCAAAGCACTATACCAAACATTGAAAATACTGTAGCAAAAATAGCAACCTTAAATGAAAAATAATTACAATGAGCTTCAGTCACGCTGCCTATGCTTCTGTGGAGAGAGCGCCCATATATTACAGTACATGTCTGAGTTACATTCGGCCTTCCGTCTGTCTGCACTCGCACTGCAGATGGCTTCACAACTAGCTGCCCTCACCCACAGCCTCACAGAGGAACCAGATATCACCCCAATCCAGACCACTATGCCAGTCTGCCAGGGCAAGCCTGCTCACACCACCCACTCCCATGGGAACTTTCACCTCCACTCATGTCCAAGAGGCACAGCATGGGCCGTGTCTCTATGAGAGCAGTGACCACCCCCCGTTACTTTGAAACTTTTCAGCATGCAAATGAAGCCGCAGAAGAAGATAGAATCATGGAGCGTCTGATCTTTAAAGTGGAATAACTGTGCGTTAGCCTGATGTTGCTGTCTGTCGAGATTGATTTACATGAGACAGATTAAGGCGTTCTTCTGCGAAAATGCTGTCGTTTTTAAGACTTTTTATATTGATGTGGCTCCTTTATTCTCAAGTCATCTCCTCTTTAGGTTCTTCATCCTTTCAAACAAACCCGATCTAGTTTCAGCGTGTTAGGCAACTTAGCCAGAGGTTGAGGTCAGTGGTAGAAATGCAGATTTCTGGCATTAATTATCTTGGCTTAGTTTTGGTGGGATTTGCTGTTACTGGTAACCCACAGGGCTGTCCATGAGAGGGCTGGAGATATAGGGCTCTGCAGGGTCTTGGAGCTCAGTCTCATGAGTTCGGGTTTGGTCCACCTCACCCTCCGCTTCTGCCGCCGGACTGTGACTTCCACTCTGGGAGCTCGCCATCGCGCCGTAGCCGTGGTGAGCTGGGGAGGGCATCGGGGTTAAGGCCAGCTCTGGTTCCAGTAACACAGACGCCACAAAGAGCTGAGGGAGGCAGACCAGCATGCAGGTTATGATTGTGTCATTCAGTGCATGAAATTACAACATGATTCTACAGTTGAGTTTCCTTTGGAAGTCTTGGTCTACAGTGACGAAGAAAAATCTTGTATATTTGCGTAAATACTTCTGTATCATCATTATTTTTCATACAATTTGCGCAATATATTTAATCAATCATCAACGCTGCTTTATGTTTGTGGCTTCGACTCCGAAGCTCACTCAAGAGATGCTTTTTAAACGGATCACACAATAAAACGCTGCATTCAAGTAGAACAGAAAAGTAAAATGCTACTGTACACTGGAGGCCGTGGTGGATGTCACAGTGCTCCTGTCGGCATCAGTGAATGTTCCCTCTGCTGGCTGATCAGACATCTGAAGCAAAGACAGTGATGGCCGGTAAAACTCTCAATCCCAATGAAAAACATCCTAAAGAGCAGGTGGATATTCATCTCACTGGATGGTAATGTTTTTTATGGCATACCTGGTAGCTTGTTGACTTGTCTGGTATTTTTCTAAGGCACAGGCGGAAAATGTAACAGGCAACGCAGGAGATCAGGGATCCAAGGGTGAAAAGGGTGATGGGATGAACTGGACCTGTGACGGTGCAGAGAAATACACAAATTTAAATAAGATGTACAAAAACTATTTAAAAGTTATAGGGGCTTTAACAGGAATGATGTTGCTGATTTGAAATACCTAGTCTGAGCACAGAGAAGAAGAGCAGCCAGAACATGCAGAGGATGGGAGCCACAATGACCTGGCTGATGGCGGCTCGGTGGATTCGCTGGTTGAGTTTGGTGGGAACGTACGCATAATAAATGTTGTATCTGTCAACCATGTGCTTTAGGATCACGTAGAGCAGACCTGGACAACACAGTGAAACAAAATTACACCGGAAAACTAGCTCCTGCGGTAAGGAGGGGATATGAAAACGTCCATCATGATTTATGTCACGCTTCAAGCTCCAAAATCTACAGGTCAGAGTAAGGCAAACAAGAGCTGTAGGATGGCTGTAGCAGACTGCTCTATGTGGCCAGAGAAATAAACAGAACAACAAACGCCTGTTCAAATAAGCACTTTTGTAAAGATCAGAAAATACCTTGGTGTTTTAAGGAAAATGACAGGCAGCAGGTAATACTTAATTAGGGTTACTAAGACATAGAACTAATCCAAAGCCCTTTACAACCACTGCAATCATTTAATTTCTGTGGCTCAGTGCAAAGTTATGTGAAGTTATATTTCTACAATGTATGGGGAGAAAGCTATGGCATGAACTAAAATATCATGTTTCCTTACAACTAAAATATCTCACAAATAACTGATTTGAAATGCTTTACCTCAACCTTTAAAATTATTTTTAATAAATCAGCTTGAACATAATAAATCAGTGAAAACAGCAAGGTTTGAAAATCACTTACAGCCCACATTTAATGAAAAGGACAAAAGCATATCAAACACAGACACAGAGAACTGTGACTGTTGTTCTGGTTTCGAATGCATTTATAGGTTTCAAGTTGTAACTGGTGAACCAGGACCTTTCTGGGTGGAGTTTGCATGTTCTCCCTGTGTCTGCCCGTGGGTTTTCTCCGGGTTCTCCGGCTTCCTCCCACAGTCCAAAAACCTGCATGTTAGGTTGATTGGAGATTGGGGAAATTGCCCTTAGGAGTGCATGTGAGTGTGAGTGGTTGTTTGTCCTTGTATGTCCTGAGTGTGGCCCTGCGATGGACTGGCGGACTGTCCAGGGTGTACCCTGCCTCTCGCCCGTTGACCACTGGGATAGGCTCCAGTTCCCCCCGCGACCCCATCAGGGAATAAGCGGCATTGATAATGGATGGATGGAAGTTGTAACTGTGGCCTGTTTAAATCTTTTTCTTTGAAAACTCAGAGCTTTGGAGCTGAAAAAACAAACTGCCGCATGGATTTTGTGAATGATAAATCTGTCATAAAGAAAGTCTTTAATTAATTGCCCATGCAGTCTTTGACAGAAGGCTGGATGCTCTGCTGTACACAGTCATCACAACTGAACTGTTGCCTTTTAGCTAAGCTAGCTGTGAGGCATTCCCTCTCACATTTTAATGCTCACACATCATTTTCAGCCCCTTTGTTGGAACCAATTTAACACTCTGCTGTCATCAAACTCAAAACAAGGATATATTTTCATGAAAAAAGCACGTATTTGCAGAGATTTGCAGTGCATTGCATTTTAAGGTTAGAAACAGATATATAATACTAATGTATCTTGATAGAAAACTGACGAAAGAACTGACAAAAAAGGTGTATGAGCCTTTGATAAATACATATGTGAAACTCAGCACAGGTAAAATGCACATAAAATCCAGGTTTTGGTGTGTGAATGGAAGCTGCCTGGACTGCCGATCAGGCTGCAGAAGTAAATAGAGGCTTGGTGAGCTCTGGGCAAAGACAGGAGCAGAGTGGGCGTCTGGCTTGCAGCTCACTGTGTCTGGGTGTCTGGGACTACAGCAGCAAATTCACACAGTCTGCATCGGACTGGCAGGCAGCAGAGAAGAGTGAGGTTACAGTGTGAGGAGAGATAGCACACACACATACACGAGTAAGAGGGAATGTGAAAGGATGCAGACGGCAGAGAAAAGAGGGTTAGATGATGATACAAGAGGGTAATTGTATGTCACTCACCAAAGGGTGTAATGATGGGACATGTGATGCTGTAGGTCATACTGACAGCAAAGATGCACATGGTCCAAGCGTACTCTAGGCCAAACTGGAACTCATAAGCTTGACTCTGCAGAAAATATAAAAAAAGGATTCAAGCTTTTTCAAGATGTGAATTGAAATGAGAGCACTAAAAATGCTAGAAAAAAACAAAAAAACAAAACAAACAAGCAGATTTCTTCGAACCCGTTTCACATGAATCCGCTCGGCCTGGGACTTTGCGAAGCAGAGGCGGAAAGCGTAAACCGTCAGAGCCGGGATGCGAAGCAGCTCCATGGAAGTGCCGATCAGGCTGGAGGTGATCACGTAGTTCACAAAGAATGCACCGTTGTCGGGAAGAAACACGCATCTGCAACCACAGATAGAAGAACAACTGAGCCATGTCCACTGCTGTCTTTCTCACACTCAAGTTTATCCTCAAAAGAAAATCAGGCTCACTGGAATTTGACGTCCTTTTCATCCAGGAAGTGGACATCAAAGAGCCACGTAAAGAAGAGGTCAAGACTACAACAAATTAAAATGACAAGTGAAACATGGCCAAGCATCAAATTGTGGCAATTAATTAGTTTCATACGTGTTTTGAGTCTCTAGATGCATTTAAATTGTACCTGGACAGACCAAGAGATGGGAGGATGATGACCATGAAGACCAGCAGGAAAAAACACTTGTGCATTGTAACTTGATTCTCACCAGTTCTGAAACAAGAGGATATCTATTTGTGAATTCTATCTAATTTCCTTCATAATATGAATTACTCAGTTCAGATAACGTAAATCAGCTGACGCTACATATACACATCTTTGCTGGGTTTACTGGCATGAACTACCCTTTTTTCTCCAGTAAACAGTTGATCCCTCACACATCACGCCTGCACACGCACACACACACACATACATACACACACGCGCACACACACACGTCTGTGATGGTTGTTATGTAAGATAGGGTGCTTATAGGTGCACAGTTTTTCTGCTCCTCCTCCTGCTCCACCATGCGCGGAGCAACAGCACATGGTGACTACTGTGCATCTCATTATCCTCACATGGAGATCTCTATGACAACCTGCTCAGAATAACAGCACGGGGAGAGTGACAGGGAGAAGGAGGGAGACTGTAAGAAGAGCAAAGGGGTGAAATAAGAAACTAACAATGATAATAATTCAAGAGAAAAGCAGCTACACATGAATGGCCATTTTTAAGACACCAAGGACAGGCTTTTCCATTTCAGTAGACAGCGGGCAGGTGTTGTCAGTGTTTGTCTACCTGGTCCAGTGGGACTCAAAGAAGGCAGAGTAGTAGACGATGAAGGGCAGGAGCACTGAAAACGCCCACAGCAGGAGGGTTGGAAAGAACTGGGTAATCACAGGGCTCTGCGTTTGACAGAAAAATGGTTACCGAAGGAAGTCAAAGATTGTCAAAATGAAGCATTGATATCATTAAAATGTCTCTGAATCTCTAACCCTCAAGCTCTCCACAGGCCTGGTGACGTTGAACTTATCCATGGTGTTGACAATGATGGCGGGAGTGGTGAGGAAAAAGAGCAGCAGGAAAAGGAGAATGTTGAGGAGGACACAGCGGAGCCACCAGCGAGATCCACACACTGACAGGTTCTCCCTGGTGATGGGAAAAATAATGAGCCACCGTTTGCGATGGACAGGGCAGTTAACACTCTCGACTGTTGACATCCGCCTGAAATAGCCCGCTCAGTCTGAGAGAGGAGCGCGTTTCCACTGCACTGGACTGAAGAGCAGGTTGGAAACGGCACACTTCAGCTAAGAGACAACGGTCCCTGCTTCACCTGAAAACCCTGTATGGCTCCAGAAGGCTAGTTCATGCAAAAACACATTCATACGCAAAAAGGAACACACACACAGCACCGAGTACGCTGCACCATCTCTTTGGGCGATTTCTCATATGTGCATATCACTCACTTGTTACATAATCTCCACGATTCTGCTTTCCAGGATGAAAACATGTTTGTGCTACATCAAATCACATACAGAGATATCTTAGTGAATATTAATGTTAACTGTCTCATGTTTAAAGACATCAAAATAGAGAAAATAAACAGGAACAATTGTTTAAATGCGGCAAGTGACTGCTGGAAACAGAGTTGCTCATTTTCTGCATGTTATACCCTAAAACTTTTTTCTAAATAAATCCCCTCTTGAAGCGCATCATTACAAGCTTATTATGCAGATACAAGCATGACCGAACTCAGAGAGCCTTGGTCTGAAGTCACGATCCAGAGGTTTCCAAAGACACCAAAAAACCCTGGCTTAATTACAGGGCAATGTGTCTATATGGCGCACGAATTGTTCAAAATAAGATACTTCGCTCAGAATCGGTGTCTGTGTAGGTCTGAATTTGGTGCTCTGGTTTCCAGAATACATGCTGGTTAGCTTGACATATTTGTTGAGCTCTGGGTGTGAATGTGAATGTCAGGGTGCCTGGGACCAGTTCACAGCATGCTACGTCCACATGCTGAACAAAAGAAATAGTATATCTCTCTTTATTGGCTAAATTCCGATGACCATTATAATACCATTGTGGGACACTTTGAAACTTTGGTGATGAAGGGAGAACTTTGGAGCTTTGCATAGAGCCAAAATAAAAACTTTGCAGGTTCAAACTTGGCTACCGGTGCTCACCAGATGATGTCACTGGGCGCCGATGCGTAGCTGACACCCCATTTGTGCGACTGCACCACCGTGGTGATGCTGGACTGCTGAGGCCGGCGACGACAAAACACACGGCTGTAGTCCTTCACAATGCTGGAAAAGACAAACAAAATGCGAGAAGTCGTGCCTCAACCCTCGGCAATGACACCCTAAGTGCTGCGGTCTCTCGCTGGTGTGACAGTGTTTATGTGATGAGAGGTGATGTCATGCTGCTGTTTACTCACACGGCCGTCATCCTCTCGTCTCGGAAAGTCACAAAGGCGATGCCCAGCCTCTTCATGGAGATGCGGTTCTTCTCCGCGTTAAACTCATCGGTTCGCTTCTCCTCCAACTCGCTGTAGTACTGCTCCGCATCCACCTGAAGTTAGACAGTCATAACACACTTCTTTTACTCTCAGTTTCCACACATTTGCACAGGCAAGACTCCTCTTACTGGACGTTCCTGCTTTTGCATTACAGTGCCATCCAGTGGTAGTTCTCCACCTGTGCAGTGCAGCTAAGTTGAGTATTCCCGATTAAGACTCACCTTCTCAAAGCCACAAATGTCACAACAGAATATCTGTGCACACGGATGGGTCTTTATCATGATCCTCCCCTCCTTCTGGGCCTTGGTTGCGAAATACAGCCTGCCTTTCATGGCCTTGCGTCTGAAAAATACAACGCTCTCAGAAAAGTGTCAACGTTTTCTGGGCAGCTCCAGTCCGTGAAGGATTCCCGTACCTCTCCAGGTCTAGCTTCATCAGCTTGTGAACGTCAAAGCAGAAGCGGATATCGGTGACTGTGCAGCTGGGATAGGCCTCACTGGTGGGGGACAATGAGAAACGCAATAATCCTGATTCTGCCGAGGTTGTCTAAAGAACAACATGAATATCTGAGCCTCCTGATGAACAAACATTAAGGAGAGCATTTATCTTGACTTAACAATGAACTAAAGAATGAAACATGTGTACTGGAAGTGTTTGGTGACGAGTCCTGGGTCAGCGATCTCTCTTGGTATGGAAGTAATCATTAGTGTCCTGGCAACCTGTAACACACAAATTTACATACATATATTTATGTCACAGACACAATGAGCACGACATCCTGGTCCAGTTTTCATCATGTGACACAGAAACTGCTGGATCAGAGCACCAAAGCATCTGTCATGCAGTTGAAGAACTCGCTCCATGAAACTAAACCACAGCGGCAATCTTAACCCAATTCATTGTTTGTGGTACAAATATCTGTAACACCAACATAACCATACATGTAATATGTATAGCACATGCTGGTGTTAAGCAGTCAGAAACAAAGTGCTTCTATTGATGGAACGAGACATATTAGGGTGTAATGTGTTGCTAACAGACCTTCTCATCTTCTCTGTATTCCAGCCGTAATGAGTGGTGAGCCATACACAGCAACGTTATGATGAAGTAAACCAGAGCAAAGATGCTGTGCAGCCACAGAAAGCTGTTCCTTGGAGGCACATAACACATACAACAATTACAGGTCGCTTAGTTTTGGGGGGTTTTGTGCTTCTGGGTTATTTCATGAGCTGTGATGTCATGCTTGCTGTGTTGCGCTTACTTTGCACTGACATTAGCCAGTGTTGTTCTTCCAAAGTTTTCGGGACTGTCTCCTGTAGAAATAACGACACATGACAAAGAATGAGACGTTTTCATTTCTGTGATGTCTTCAAGGAATCCTATTCTACTTTTGTCTACAGGGTGAGGCCCATGTGAACTGAAGACACAATTCTGGGAACACATCCTCCATACAGTTTGGTTTATGATGTATGCAGTTTTAGTTTGGGAACCTTTGTTTGCTGTTGCCATGGCAGCCTGTGTTGGTGTTCTTTAATAAGGGGTGACACACTTGTTCATCTGATGACAACCAGCAGTAGTAAAGAAAGTTTCTGACCGCCCAGCCCCTCGCAGACCCCATAAAGGCCTCTGCTTTCATCCTGCTGTGGAACAGCTTTTCTCAACACTTCCTACAAAATAAGCATCCAACTGCCAAAAGGCATTTCGGCCGTTATTTAACAGCTGGTTACGTGTACCAGCCCACCCTGACACCTACATGTTTATGTTGAGAGGAAATTAAGTTCTTTCTATTCCTGCAGCCTGTCTTGGGGAAGAGCTTGCTGTCTTTTCACTTCGGTGTCAGCAACTCCCTCAGATGTAGGAAAGTTTCAGCACTTTGTCTCTTTCTTTTTAATCAAAATGATCACACCTCAGTCCCCTGAAATCCTGGCTCTTCCTTTTTGAAGTCAGCCTTACCCTGTTTCTGTAAATTTAGCTAAAAAATTATGAACAGCACCAATGAATTTAGCTAACAAATTTGTTGGTGTTCAGATTGAAGATATTCTTTGCCTTTTCAAACAGGCGGCTAGTTAGACCATTTTTAGAAAACCAAAAATACCCAGGAGATTCCCGGAAAAGTTGACCGGCAAGATTACAGCCAAAGACAGCAGGGAAACCACTGTCAGGAGAAGGATGATGTGGCGCTGGAAGGACAGGTATGTGACAGCATCAATGCCACATTTGCTGCGGATCTCCTCATCCCTGCACACAAACACAGAAGGGAAAACATCAGAATACCCAAATGTCTGGTATTCAAAGTACTGCGCACATCAAGCCAAAGAGAGAAAGGTTTAGACAGCTCATCAAGTCACATGGGTGAAATTTCCCACAGCTGGACATATTTAAATTTAACATTTTGACATGGATAAGATTGCAGTACCTACAGCTTTCCCCTCATTGTGATTATAACACTGGGACCACTACTTTGCAGTGAGATGCTGTGGTTACTAGAGAGGAGGTTCAGGAAACCCAGTATCATAAAAAAGAGAGGGAGAAAAAGAAGACATGGGTAGCCCACACATTGTGAACTTGCAGGGTGGGTTTGCACTTTCCCAGGGATCCCAGGGTGAGCCACTGGCATGGAACTATAAACAAATGCACCTTAACTCCACCATAATAGTATGGAAACCATGGATACAGCGAAAACTGCCTTTTAACAGGCCCAAATCGGCTGTGTGGAGTCAGACTTGAGCAAGTGCAAACATTCAACTGGAAACCACAGCACCAGCGGTCACATGAGCCCAGACTGGTTTGCTTTTGCTGCTAAATGAGATATAACATGAGACTTTACATTAGAAAGTGACATCAGCTTTGAAGTCTTTGAATGCTGGAAGCTGACATGAAGGAAGAATGAAATCATCAAAAAGGAAACTGCGTTGCGCTAACTTACTTCATATGGTAAAGAGACGAAAGCCACGAGCAGAAGCCCTGGAATGAGAGGAGAACCATAAAACAGCTGATGTATTGGTTATTAAAGCAATATGACACGTGTGTACAAGTGTGCAGCGACCACATCTGGCTACTGGTGTGCATCTCCATTTGCATAGAAATAAGGTCTGTGGGGTGACACAGAGATGGCGGTTTAATAGGTCTAGCCTGGAGCTGTAATCAGTTTACTGCAGCCTCAGCTCTGTGTGGGCACCAGGCGATGACTCCTGTCTGACTCTTTGACTTACACTGTTATAAACATGCAGGGAGTGACCTCAGTCTATCACACAGGTGTCAGGAAGTCACAGACGGTTCAGCTGAGTCACGCTCCAAACTTTCCCCTCACGACGGTCGAGGCAGGGCCATCTTAGGCAACTGGCTTTTATCATGAAATTTAGCCAGCAGCATTTTTAGACCCAAACATACGGGCAAATTAACAGTGACACATTGGTATAATTACTGTAAATAAACGACAGAGAGACTGGCTGTCTGTCTAGCATCTTTGGTATGGGTAATGATAGTATTTCTTTAAAATATTTTGCACAGTGCTGATGGCTAAAAGATGCCAGTCTCCTCCACAAAGACTATGCCTCTTTACGCTAATTATAGTTGTATTGACTGAAGGTATTTCTGGTGGCACGTTGGAGCAGAGTCTCAAAAGTGACATTTATTGCGTTGGTGTTTTACTACCATGTCTACGAGCATGAAGTAAGCGCTATTTTTCCCCATCCTTAACGGCCTGCTGGGGTCTGAGCAACACACATTTGTCATCAGAGGTTGTGTAAGAGGCTCTGTGTTGATGCCCACATACATTTTAATTTATTGTGACATTCTATTACAAGTCCAATGATAAAAAAAAAAAACATGAGGTAAACAAATTTGATGCTAAATGCAAATAAAGGCAGAAATGGAAGGTCTGTGGCTAAAACTGGCATTTAATTAAATCAAATGTGCAACAAATAATAAAGGTGTGAATTCAGTGAACAATATAGTTTCTGACCAAATCGGGACACAGTGTAAAATGTGAATGAGAACAGACTTCAGTGATTATAGCGAACAAATTCAACTATTTTGTTTTTAGGAGGACGTTCAAAAGTTCAACCCGCACATCTGTCTGCGCACAATTCATTGCGTGTCAACAGCCTCTATCTATTTCAGCCAGACAACATCCTGCCCAGAGCTGGATGACACACAGCTTCAGCGGATGAATGAAACATACGCTTGATGTGGATTCTAGTGAGGCAAGAACAATATAACACATCTGAATATTATCTACTGCTGTTCCTGAGTGTGTAACACCACAACAGACCTTTTTCATGGTGGGAATTTGAGGTTTTCACAGAAGAAAAAGTACAGGTGACGTCAAATTTAGTGAAGACCAAACCCACAGTCTTCCAACATGAAACTATTCAAATTTCAGAGTTGCAATCTGCTGTGTGAATTCTTTTAATGTCTTTTGTAATGTTTTCTGATTGAAATAGCATACAAGGGCTGCCCAAGGCTGCACGCTGGTTTCAATAACTGTCACCAGAGTGACAATGCCATAAAGAGCTTTGTTGAAGCTTTATAGAGTTGAAGGGAAAAGAATCTAGACTCTACGAGACTCACCATGTCCTTGGTCTCGGTGTCTGAGGGGCTGGATTCTGAAGGAGACTTCTCCTTTTCACTCGGTTCTCCATAAAACAGGGATGTGAGACTAATATGTTGCGATAATACAAAAAAAGAAACAGCATGAACATCAAAATGAAAGCTTCCCAACACGTTTTTAATCACCACACAGCAACCTAACACTCCCCGTCTGTGAAACAGGACAATAAATGCATGTAGCCCAGTCTGCTTATTGAGTTTGGGGCTATTTCTCTGCGGGCTTTTCGACTGACACTTCAGCAACACGTCAAATTAAGCAGCCTAATTCAATTACTATGAGAGAGGACCGCTTGGCAAAACGCATGGATGCTGCTCACCCTCGAGAGCCGGGCAGTCACCATCGGTCAGGGGGAACTAATGGGGCCCGCGCTGGGCAGGAGGGCTGAGGGAGGTCGAGCGGACCAAACCAATTAGGAGTTTCATGGAGTGATGACAAGACTAATTTTGTAACGTTAAAAGTGTTCATATTAATAACTTATCAGCCATTGTTGTTTTTCTTTTTCTTTCTTAATAACCGTAGAATGTTCAAGATCTAAAACGGGCAGTGTTTAACATCTCTTAATGATTTAAATACAAACAAACAAAATCAAGAATGCCAATTAGCACAAGGCTAATCCAACAGTGTGTGGGTGTGTATGGGTCTGATTGGAGGGACTAGAGCTTTGGTTGGGGACTACAAAGTCTGAAAGCAGATCCTTTAAAGCAGCCTCATTTCTACTCAGCAGGGGGAGCTGCAGCATCAGAGGACTCGCTCCACTGAGAGTCATTACTCCATCTTAAATGCTGAAAGGTCTCACAGAGAGTACATCACATGTTTCCGAGCGGGATCAGAATGAGGGATTTACCTGTCATTCTCCATCAGAAGAGCCAGGCGGCCGTAGTCCCACGCGGCTTTCCTTAGACAAGAAAAGATGAGCAATAGGAACTGGAACAAAGAAGAAAGACATGATTTCAGAGCCTTTGAAAATTGGATTCTACGATCAAACACAGTCTCCACCCTGAAGGAGTCTGGTTGAAATATCTCCAAACTTCGTGATTATAAAGCTGAGGCTGAATTCAGAGCATATATTTAAACAATGGATAAAACATTCAGCAGCAACAATCAGCATTCTTTTTTCTTCAGCAGGTCTAAAGTGGTTGTCTTGGAAACTATCAGAGACAGGTCAGCATGCACACATGAATACATGCTGTGCAGTAATGTCAAATCAGTGTGGTCAGCTGCAAAAATAAACCCGAGCAGCCTCTTTTTTGCTGCGAAGGGAGGGCGGCTAAACCTCCGAATGAGGAGCAAGTGAGAAATGAGAGCCTGTTCATTCATTTTCCTTTAGTGCAACAGGGGACACAAGCTGAACAATCCATCTGAAAGGACATCACTGGAGGGTGAATGATGAGCGTTGATGAATGCGAAAAAAAGAGAAGATGAGCATTTGATTTTAATGGCAGCATTAAATCATTTGCTCGTTTGAGCTAATAAGTGGGAGGGCATGATAGTTGTGGTAGTGGAGGAAAACACGCATAAATGTTGAACGATTAAGCCTTTAAACTATCCAAACACAACTTCATCGAGACCTGTGGGTGAAACATGAGTCAACATTCGCCTTCTCATCGCTTCATTGTAGCCCATTACCTCCCTGCTGTCTCAAATTCTTCCGTCTTGCAGCATTGCTTTGCTCCTCTCAAGTCCAACACATAATTTATTCTCTATGATGATGGAATTGATGTGGAGGCGTGCTCCTGTCACCTGGGGGGAAGCACGCTTTGACTCATGCCTGTCATTAAGAGATGGTGCTCAAAACCCTCTGTGTTGGCTTGACAACCCAGCAGTGATAAAAAAGAGTCAATTAAAGCATGGAGGTGGTTGATCGAGAGTGATACCGGTGCAGACATCAAGTCTGACAAGACCTGACAGTGGAACTGAGTTGGTTGTCAACTGCAGGTGGAATTTTTTTTATAAATGGGAAGCACAGGAAAATCTCTGTGTCCGTGTGTAGACATAGTGAACACACTATGAAACCAAAAGCATCACTGAGACACACTCAACACAACACGTTTAAAAGTTGATGAATATTTTTGTTCTTAATTCTGGGGTCCAAAAGCACAGCTAGGTGGGAAGGGGTGACTTTAAAATGAGGATTCATTTTGGAGATTTTTTTCTAAAGAAAAATTAAACTAATCATTGATTTGTGTTTTTAATACAGTGTGAAGGCTTATTGAGAGACCCCTGGTAGGTGTTGAGCCTGATTGGACTTTCTTTTTGAGGAGGCAGTCTCCCCCCTAGTGTTTTGGGAATGTTTTTCTCAGAAAAGATATTTCATGTGCTGTCCCTGGTGCTGAACATTTCAAATAGCTCTGTATAATTGGCAACTTTACCAGCTGTTGTTGCAACAATTTGTGGCAATCGAATTCTGAGATTACTGTGGTCTCCCTGGACAAGCCACATGACCACCTTCCCACAGAGAAAACTTTCAATGTATACTTTCAAGATGGGGGCCATGTTCAAGACAGCCTAAACGATAGTTGCCTCTATTACTTACTTGCAACATCTGATTTTCCTTTTAGTTTCTGAAAGAAAAAGGTGTACTGTGACTTCTGACTCACCTTGTATATGACAACTATATAATATATTTAGAAATCCTATTCTCAAAATGTTAACAACATTACATTTCTTGTTTTTAAAGGTCTTTTCTTCTTTCATCTTCCGTGGATTAAAAATGGCACCCTCCTCATTATGTTGATTAAAAAGAATAGGATACTTTGTAAATGATTTGATTAAAGTGAACTTGCACTGACAGATATTCAACCCCTAAATTCATCATTCACACGTCTATCACTTGTGAGGCTAAACTGCATGGAGCAGACTGAAGATTTTGAGAGGCGACATCTGTTAAACAACCTGTCACATTTTACACAAAAATAAAACTCTGCTCACGGATCATCTCTGGTTGTCTGTTTGTGTTAAGGCTCAAAAAGGTGTTGGCAGGTTTGGATAAATTCAGAAACATTGTCAACTGAAGCTCCTCTAGCATCAGCAGCGTTAAAAAAGAGATGGTGATTTGAGAATGGAGAACACGCAGAGAACACAGAGAACCAAAGAACCAAAAAAAATAAAACACAGTCAAGTTGAAATGAATAACCTGATTATAATTATAATTAGAACTATATACTTTTCATCGAATATTATTTTGTAAAAGAAGCAAATTCCAAATGTGAGAACGTTCTGAAGGTTTCATGTTAAAGTTTGTTAATGAGTGAAGTGTGTGTTTTGTGCGTGTCAGTCTGTACCATCCAGAGCATCACGTTGATGGCGAGGACTGTGGGCACCCCACCAAATGGCAGGCCCTGGAGGACACTGCTGCGGGAGTGGGAGCGGAAGCATCGCTCTGCCGTGCTGTTTTCCTCCGTAAATGGTTCCAGGAAGCCCAGGACATCCAGCTCCACAGGATGTGCCTCCACAGGGGGCGCCCTCGTCTTAAACAGCTCTGACTGCGCCATCAGCACTGAACCATATCTGAAGCGAAAGATTCAAGGATTTAGGGAGTTTTTATTGTCATTACAACACATGTTAAAGACTCGGGGTGGAATTAAATCAGTTACTCTAATAGCAAAGTAGGTATAAGTACAAAATCAACAGATAGAATAAACAAAATAAGTGAAGTGGCGAATATAAGAGAAAAACTAAACAGCATAAAATCATATAGACTCATACATATATGTCAAAGATATGGATCCTTAAAAACCTCGAGACCATGTGGGAGCTGTTTCAGTAATGTGCACAAGTATTCTAACCATGCATGTAAAGAGACGGCACAAAAATCTGAACTGAACAGAAAAACACATTCAAAGCATCTTAAAAAGTCCCATCTTCATTCTCTAAGAGAGAGAATGAATTAGCTATTTTCTCAAACGTTGCATGGCTTCACTTCACTTAAAGTCTGCGCTGAATGTCGATGGAGAATGTGGTGTTTGTGATAAGTGTTTAAAGTGGAGATTTGCTCTCCATGACTAATTTTTGAAAATGGGCAAGTGGCATTCATTTTAAATCCAGTTAGCATTTGGAAAGAAGACTCTAATGAGCATTGCGGTCCTTCGCGGCAACTTATCAGTCCTGACTGTTTTATTACTCAATTACATGTAAAAATACTCCATTAAGATCAAAACCTGTCTGAATAATAGATGTGCAGCAGACTCTTCAGACCCTGAAGGGACTCACATTGTAACATGAAAGATGAGAGTCAGTTGTTTAGTTTGAAAGGGATCAGGATTACTGCCTCGTGATGATTCCACAACCCACTCAGGTTGACGTAGATTTGATGATATTGTTTGCTTAACTAATTGTGCAGCCCCCTCAGACAGTTTTTTAAATTAGGAATGCATGGAATCATATTCGGGAAAGGAAACACAATATTTGCTCTTCTCGTGTTGCTGGGTGTAGGTCCAATAATAGAAACATGACTGCCCTCCTCTTCTGTTTAATGGGCATGGCACTGAAAAAGGGCAGACATTATTTTATTCTGTTAGACATGAAAATAAGGGCTTCACTTTGTTCGACTTTGTGAAACAGATTCATATTATGGATGTCTTTTTTAAAGTTATTAATTAATGCAGATTAAAGACTTAAAATAATTGATGAATGGATCAGGAAAGTGGTCATTTTAACAAACAAACAGTTTAGATGGTGAATTTGATCATAAACCCAAACAGAAACAAGACATTTTTTTTAAATTCTGGATTTTGGAAAAGATACATTTTCTATAACCAAAGCTCACAGTGAGCTAGCTACTTAGCAGAAACATATCTAGATGGCATAGCTGTTTCAAAGAAAGCTGATGCATTGTAGGAAGTCCATTAAAGCAACACAGAGTTAGTGGCAGGGTTTAATTGAACTTTCTTTAATTACCAGCTCCACCGCCCCATGGATCAGTGAGTTCTAAAATTAGCTACTACAAAAAAACAACAAAGGTCTGTTTAAAACTCCACAACTCGAACACGGTTCTCTTTCTCCACATGCGTTATGCAGTTACATGCAAATCTTTGGTTTCCATATCCTTTAATAAGACTAAAAATTACTTTCACTTCAATGACTGAAATTGTCCTTCTGAAACCCATAACAATGTTAGTTCTAAATTTGGAGATATCATCAAAAGGTTTTCCCAAGACAAACCAACCTTACATCATGCCCGCATGAGCACACAGACAATTCTGAAGTAAGTTTTTGAGCGGAATTTTGCACATTTTTCACTTGATAACTTACACTGCCAAAAGCATAGAGTTAAGGCATCAGCTGCCCTCCAACAGCACACATTAATCTCCCTTTGAATCAATACAATTCTGCCTGCTTGTGTACACTCCTCAGTGAGTAAACAGGGGAAATGGAGCAGCAACAACGCTGACAGGGCTCTGCATCAATAGCGCAAATTCACCTGAACAAGAGACGTCAGGTGGATCAGATCCGATTTCATTAGAATATCAAAGCTCCGTTCATCTAAATCCCACAATATCAGGAATCAAGTAACTGTGAAAGAACAGCAGGCGTGGTGGTAAATACTATGTGTAGCAAATGGCATCCAAAACTGTGCCTCAGCTCTCCCAAGAGCTGTGAGTTACCAGAGTGAGATGAAGGGAGCTAAAGGCCTCCAAATTGGCACACATGACTGAACCGAAACCCCGGTATGATTTATCACTGTGCCAATGATGTCACTTCCTGAGAGGCTCCATCACAGTTTTGTGGAGCGTTTACCAAACGCTGCCTGTTGTGCAACAGAAGCCCCGGCAGGATGTCTCGTGTAGGAGGCGGCGTGATCAATCGAAGTGCTGCTGGACTGCTGTACGTTTGGCTCACTGAGATCTGGTGAGGAGCAGAAGTAGAGAAACATCCCCCCCACTAATCTTTTACTAGCTCTTCCTGCACTGCTGTGGTCTCCCTCTAAGCTTGTGTCTTGAAATCGTATAGGTTGAAGTCGATATTCTGGGAACACAGTCCCTAAACCTGGGAGAGATGACAGGGAGGAGATTCCCCGAGGGAGGATCACAAAGCACATCCATAACACGCGCACTCCCTGCTAGTCTGCAGAGCTGTTTCCACAGAGACATCGATGACTTTTTCCTCTTTGTCAATAATGAAAGTCATCATATGTACAAAAGGGTGAAATTATGGATAAAAATGGACTTCATAAAGCTTCAAGGCAAGGAGCAACTCGCAGAAAGAAGAAAATTTTCATCTGCAATTTTCTGTTGGGAACAAGTTCTTTTTAGAAAGCAATTTCTAAAAAGCACCAAATGAAGCACAAAATGGTGATTAAACTGTTCAAACTGGGCCGGGAGAGCATTGCTGGTGATCACACCGTGGCAGAGCAGCTGTCTTATTTCAGTTTTGTCCAAAAAGCTGCTGCAAAGTGAACCCTTTTGCAATTTCTCTCAGGAAAAGTAGCGAACAAAACACAGAGCATCTGTGTGAACTGTGACATGAAGCAAGACGAGCCAAATCAAACAGAAAAGACTCCTTACTATGGGCAAACACAACCAGTTAGCTGGAAACTGGAAAAACCCAGATAACACACACAGCCTGACATCCAAAAGCTTAAGACCTTTGCGGGCACACTCAGCTTTTCTGGTTTCATCACAAGACGAGTCACTTACTTTGTCCGCGACCGTTAGCTGATGTTGACAGAGCAACTCTTCTTCTCCACCACTAAAGCCATGCAGGATGCTGTGCGATTCAGGCCCACTGCGGCGTGGTTTCACACAACATTTGGACAAACGTCACAGCATGACTCAGCAGTTTAATACTGTCTAATCCCTCATATAATAACACTTAGAGAGGCCCATTCTTATCCCACGGTATCCATTTATCCTCTTCTCAGGTCTTTCTAATCTTTTCCCTCAGCTCTCCTCTCTCCTCCTCCGTATGAGGATTCCAAGGCACCGCAGCAGAGTACAAACTGATGTTTGGCTTTCTGAAGCAGTGTTGTGCCTCGTGCATGCAGAAAGAGGGAGATCACTCCTCTGTGGTCAGTTTAGACCATTAGCATTAAAGATGCTGAAGTCAGTATAGGAGCAAAAAGGTAGAGATGAAATACATAAGCCTGAGTTTGAGTCAGAGGAGGAGAAAAAAAAGAGAGAAAGCCGGAAAAAGCAAGCTCATGACAGCTAATCTGCTCATTTCACCAGAAAAAAACAGCTGAGGTATCTGTGAGTGGGGGCAAGTAAAATTCTGTTTTAACACTGTTTACTTAGTCAGCTTATGAGGACGGTTTTCCTTATAGGGACAATAATCAAGTCCTCATTAACAAAAATCGTTAAACTTTAAGGAGAAGCAGTCTTTTTATGTCCATATGTTTGTGTGTGTGACAGAGAGGATTTAATCACTCGGGCCATACAGACAAGACAATTAATGACACTCTTTGTCCGAAGATCAATGGCTACCAGCAAACACTGAGTGAATCCAGATATCTTAATCCCCTTCTAAAAATACTTTATTGATGCTTTTGCTGTCACTGTATGGTGGACTGTCTCAAAGCAGCATTGTTCTGGCACTGTCCCAGCTACACGCTCAGCCTTGAAATAGAAAGTGCGAGACAGAGAGAAGGAAAAGGGAGGAGAACCGTTAATGCCGGCAGAGAAACAAGCTCACAGTGACAAAGCAGAAAGCCCGATTAAGAGTAAACACAAACCAGAAATGTCAGACCGTATGTCGTTTTGACCTGATGAGGATCACCAGTGTGAGTGGGACAAATACTAGCAGGCACTTGAGTGTGTGAATCACCTCTGATGACACCATGCGAACATCGTGGAACACCTTCAACACCTCACCGACACAAAGAATCAGCAAATCCTGCTCAACCTGAGAGACGGAAAAATGACTCCCGTGGGACGGATGGCACAGTCCTCATAACTGTAGAGGGTTTGTGACTTCATCCTCAGTGGACCATCTGACAGTCAGTAAACATGATGTCAAATTCTGAATATTTACCGCCTGATTGTCTGAAAATACGTAGCATGCAATCTAAAGATGCCACACCTAAGCAGTATCTGGTTCGTGTTGCAGGTTATGGAAAAAAACTTATACCAATAGTGCATTTAAAAACAGCAGTGTGGCCGTTATTATCAGTTCATTTAGTTGCTTTCCAAAGAAAATATTAGACGAAATAAGACTGATATTGCCTTGTTTTCCAGGACCATTTTCTACAAAAAGCTTAAAACTTTTACAAAGAGACGCACCAAATGGATCGTCAAGGACAGAGCAACAAGTATTAAGCAGCCTCAATTGAATAAAATGCAGCGAACTGTGACTATTTTAAAAATGCAGCATCACAGACAAATAGTTGTGTGATGTAATATAGAGAATAACTGACTATTTAGATGTTAGCTAGAAAGTATTGCGCTTCTCTCCGTCTGCAGGACCTGGAGACCATTTATCCCAAAAAGGTTTAAAAGAGTAACGCTGAATAAAGAAACTAGGCCAAATAGTCAGTGGTGTAATTTAAGCCATATTTGTGTATGGATAGATGA